AAACAAAGAGAAGTATGTTCTGCATTACAGAAACTTGCAGCAATATAAAGCATATGGCTTGAAAGTAACAAAAACACATCGAGTGCTGACCTTTAGCCAATCAAGATGGCTAAAACCCTATATACGAGGGTTGATCATAAAGTTCTCATAATATCTCTCTAATTTCTTTATTTTTCAATATATTCTAATGTAATTTTCACAGAATGTGCGGCAAAGAATGTCTTATTAATTCAGCAAAAAATATTAAGTTTAACAGAAACATTAAATAAGAAATGGTTGCCATAGTAACGGGAAATCAAGGCGGGGGCAAATAAAAATAATTGAGAGAATGAGCTTAATTAACCATGTTTACACATATAATAAACTCTCATGAATTACCAAACAAGTTAAAATATTAACTTGAATATATTGTTAAGTGCTTTAACAATTAAATAAATTGATTGTGTAAATTGTGTGATGCCATAGGGGATGCTTTCATGCTTCATTAGATGTAATACCAGAGTCTGAGACTCAAAGCTAATGATCAGAAATGACTGAGTAAGAGAATGCAATAGATGCAGAGATCTTCAGAAAAATAAAATTCATACTGATAAAATGTTATGTTAAGTTTGTAAGATCGTTTGGTCAGACTAAACATGATCTAAAACAAACATATTTCTAAGATATCAACAAAATTACACCATGTGTGTGGTCTGTACATGTTAAAAATGAACTAAAGGGGCAAAATCAATTTTCCTCGGATTAATATAAAATTCCATGCTGCACATTCTGTGAAAATTTCATAGGAAAATATTGAAGAATAAAGAAATTAGAGAGATATTATGAGAACTTTATGATCAACCCTCGTAGACTTAAAAATACAGAGAGGAGGAAGTTGGCTAAGAATGGCTTCGAGAAGGACTTCTTTAAGCTCATGAACAATAGGTAAGAAATCCAATAACACCATGACTTTACTAATAATTATGTACTGATTTAATAATAAACAAAAATATATACATATAATATACAAAAAATATCAAACTTTACATAAATTAAATATGACATAATATGCTGCTCCTGATTACAGTTCTTTGGCAAAACGATGGAAAACTTAAGGAAACGATGTGATATACAACTGGTCCACAAAGAACAAGGAATGTTGAAGTTGGCGTGTAAACCATCATTCCATGCATTCAGCATTTTTACCGATGACTTGGCTGCAATGGAGTTGAGATAGACAAAACTGTACCCCAATCGGCCAATCTAATGTGGATTCACTATATTGGATGTGAGCAAGACCTTGATGTACAAATTGCATTATGGTCACATAATACCCAAATATGGATCCAATGCCAAGCTGCTTTTCACAGACACATTCAGGTATACCTATGGATTAATTCAAATATTTCTCAATGAAGTGTATAGGAAATATGTAAATACATGTGAGAGTATGTACCCCGTTTACCCTGCCAACCACGGTTTCTTCAGTAGGATGAAGTGTATAGGGAATATGTAAGTACATGTCAGATTATGTACCCCGTTTACCCTGCCAACCACGGTACCTATAGTAGGATGACATGTATGGGGAATATGTAAATACATGTGAGAGTATGTACCTCGTTTACCCCGCCAACCAAGGTACCTATAGTAGGATGACATGTATGGGGAATATGTAAATACATGTGAGAGTATGTACCATTTAACCCCGCTTACCACAGTACCTATAGTAGCAGTGTTTTTCCTAAGCAAATATAAATCACAGGACCAATGGACTGACAATATCAAAATTTCAACCAGTCCAGGCTAAGCATCATCAGTCATCTAGACCTGTAACTTCTGCTACATCACAGGTCCAAGTGAAAACCAACCAGTCCTTAAAATATTAAAGTTACTTCGAATTCAGAAAACGTTGTTTCTCCGCCTCAAAAGATTTAAAATAACAAAATCTTACCGAAAAGTCTAAGTTTTGTTTGTTTTTAAATTTTTTCTTATGCAGTGTTTTATCGAACGCATATTCCTTTGCTTCAATTACAGATTTACATGGAAGAAAAGCGAACGTTCGCTATTTTAGTTGACCGATCGTAAATTCACGTCATCCGTATATGCAGAACTTTATCGAACGCACATTTATTTGGTTCAATGACAGATAAACATGGAAGAAAATGAATTGTTCGCTATTTCAAACCATATAATTTTTTCCCCATTTCTCGTTATAATTATATTTATTTGATAGTTAGTGGACAGTAATGAAGTCCCCGTGTTGGAATTCCCGGTTAATTTGCTTCCATAATCAGAAATTTTACATCGAACGAAATACCATATGGTCACTACCCACAATTCATTCGACCAATCAGAAAACAGTTTTTCGAAGTTATTGATAGATTATGCTACGCAATTTATCCTCGTTTGCAGACCTGAAACTCAAAAAATATTTCAAAAAATCCTGTCTGTTTTAAAGATTTTCGATGTGATAATGAGTAAAATCTTGAGTAAATGAAGTTCAACGATCGGACTGATGTTTGAGGTAAGACTTTGGTGCATGTCTTAGCCATCGGACTTGGACGGTCTTGTGGACTGGTTGGTTGGAATAAATCGTCAGTCCTGGGTCAACATCATCGGAGATGTCCCATGGTCCGACGCTTAGGAAAAAACACTGTATAGTAGGGTAAAGACAAAATGTGTATACTGAGGGGATATGTAACTACATGTACCCTGTTTACCCCGCCAACCACGGTACCTATAGTAGCATGACATGTATGGGGGATATGTAACTACATGGGACAGTGTGTACCCCGTTTACCCCACCAACCATGGTACCTATAGTAGGATGACGTGTATGGGGGATATGGATATACATGTGAGAGTATGTCCCCGTTTACCCTGCCAACCATGATACCTATAGAAGCATGACGTGTATGGTGGATATGGAAATACATGTGAGAGTATATACACAGTTTACCCTGCCAACCAGTATGGGAGACAAGATGAAGTGTTCATGGGTGATAGCCGGTAGCCTACGTATAAGAATATAAAGGTGTGCACGACGATTTCACAGGCAAAACTGCATATGTAGAGAAGATTTCACGGGCAAAATGGAAGTAAGCGAGATTTGCTGAAGTCTCGTGATCGTTAACATGGCCATCTACCATCTAATTGGCCTATGACCTTTCAGATCTGAATCAAGAGCAAAGGGTCTCATAAGGTGGTAATAAGAGGTCCCCATTTTGCATCAGGAAAGACTCGGATGTTCTTGAAGGCCTGGGGCATCAGACACAGGATCTCATCTGTCGCCAATCTCCACGCTAATTGTATCAGGATCACTGGACATTGACAAGTTTCAGTGAGCATTGCTGATGTACAGAAATTCAATTGACCCTGAAACAAAGGTTTCCACAGCATTGATTCTGTTTGGTAGGCCTATTTGTGACGCAATCCAAATCCACATGGGTAGAAATACCCCGCATGAGACTGGGATAGAACTCATGTCATAACGTGAGAAGGCCCTTGCACATCGTCATTCAAGAGAACGAGAATGTTGGAGTGAACATACCCATCACGACGATTCGGATGATGAAAATTTCATCGGAAATCTAAGAAATGTTGACAATCAAGAAATGCAAATTTTGAATTTGGATCTTGGATTAAATATTGATGGGTGATTTAGTGGACTCTGACAATGAAAATGATTTCATGGGGTTTAATGATGTGTTGATTCAACTGCTTAACATTATTTTGAGCTAATGTTTAATGATGACATCATACAGTTGATTTTTATTACCACTTGTTGAAGAAGAAATCCAGACCTATCTTGGGATATGTTTATCCATGGGGATTATGAAACTTAGAAATAGGTGTGTTTTTTAATTAACTGAACACTGAATAATTTAAGCTTGCAAATTATTTTACACTTAATTATTTATAATTTATTTATTTTACAGGGATAATCAGGAATTTTGGCTATTGGCACAAGAGTAGGCGTATACTGGCAACCAATTTTGGGGAATTCATGTCTCGTGACAGGTTCAATGAAATCTGGAGGTATTTGCATCTCAAGGACAACAATGCCACTATTACTGGACACCCTCAACTTCAATTTCAAGGAGGCCTACACTCCCAATGGAAATTAAAGCCTTGATCCCAGATCTGATAGATGGCGTTGAATACCGTATAGGAAGAAGTTTTGCTTGAGACAATTATTGTATAAGTGAATGTGAATGTATATAATACTATAAGTGAATATAGAGTGATTGACAACCTGGAAAGACAGGTAACTTATATAAGGTCCAGGAAACTGGGCATGTAAGACATAGCCGCAATGCTGTATATGCAATGTTCATGTGGAAAAGCCAGTCGGTCCATAGTGAACAAGGACGCTCTACTTTACCCGTTTCAAATATTTTACCGAAGAAGGCCGAGAAAATTTTTTCAGAGGAGTACCGATTCTTCTTCACCAAGAATAACGAGCCTCTCTTTCACTTCCATGCCATATTTGAAGGGTAAGACAAATATTTCATATTTGGCTTTAATTTTAGTGAAAGCTTACGATTTCAAGATAGATTTGACACAACCTCATTCCCAAATTAAAATCTGTCGTGCGTGATCCTCCTCAACAGTTTGTGGTGCCATGCCTATCTACAGCATCCAGAAATGTCCATGACAGAACCAGAGAAAATCCTCCACAAACCACCACCAATGCTGACCCACTTAAAAACCAATCATCTTCAGATCCAGTTACTCATACTGATGTATATGAAGATAGCTATGAGACTGCCACTGCCACCAGTATACCATCTATTGTGAATGCATACCTGAAATACATGCTTAAAGAGGTAAGATTGATTTATAAGTCACACTTTAAAAGCTGTGAGATATGAAGTCTCAAAATTACTGAAACTTGCAAAATCTGCCATGTGGTGGTGACATTTTGTCTCGTTTGTGTAAAAAATGCCTTCTTTAAAATGTTGCTAAATGCCATATTTTCCAGGGAGAAAACCCCATATAGAGGAGCATTGAATGGAAGGCACTTAGTGAGGGTCTCTACAAGTGCAAGAGTTTGACAGTTGCCACATTGGTCCACCGTGAACTAGAGAAAACTCTTCCACCCACAATGACGTGTGATATTGAGTCTACACAATTAGGCCTCTTTGGTGATGGGTAAGTTAATACTTAGACAATGAGTATCATTCTAATAGGTCCCTCTTAACTTTCCAAGTTGTAATGGAGGGTAACGAGTGAAAACATTTAGGATTTCATATTCATTACGTTTTTGAGAGGAAAGTAACACTTCAAGCATTCAAGGTGTATTTAACAGTCATTTTCCAGCCAGCAAAAAATGTAAATCTATAACTTATAACTTTTATTTTTATTTTCATTTTAGGTTCATCAATTACATTCCTAAAGATGAACGTCACCGAAGAAAGACTTTTGTTACATCAAGCGAAGACAATAGCTGCCTCTATCGATCCATTAGCCAAATGATGTATGGGCATGATCGCACCTACCATGCCCTGAGAGTTTGCTCTACAACATGGGGTGCAGCTCATTAAGATGAACTCGTTACCAAGGTATCTCATAGTAACATAGATCTATAATGTTTAAACTTGTAAATATTGGTATATAGCCTTGAACTCCATTGAATTAGTTATTAAGTATCAAAAACATTAAAAAATATTCAGTTATATGCAGAATATATTGAACCACTTTTCATTACCTGTATGTAACACCAATGTGAAAATGGCAATAACAAAGAAAAACTATTTGTCTGATAATATATTATACATTGACACTACCTTATTATTTAAATGTTCAGATCTGTAGTGGCCTAGAATCGTTGGAAGATGTCCTTAGCTGGGCTACTACAAATGCCAGCAGTTGCAGTATCCCAATATACAGGTCACTGTCCATCCAGAAAAATGTCAAACAGATTGTCACTGTGGAGATCCTAAAATCGTTTTTGTACAACAGTGATGCAGGTTTGTACTTCTGCACAAATTGGCATTTGGTGGTCTTTGGTGGGTTTGGGTTTGGTGGTCTTCTGCATTGGGTGGTGGTGATAAAGCTACTTGCGTTGTATTTATAAATGTAAAATTCTTTCAGTAAAGGATTCCCTTGAATTTTATATGAACTTGGAACGAAAACTTTTGAATTCATGTCTACCTGTATGTTTTAAAATGAGTGAATTTTCGTAATCATGCAGCAATACATATTTCTACAGGATCCATGCAGACGATGATGCTGGCTGGATGGTTGGGTCGAGACATCAATGTACACTCCACAATGCCAGGCATACCACAAATGCGCAACTTTGATCCACTGCCATCATCCCCTCGACCACTGCTAGAACCACTTGATATTTTGTTTGTACCATCTGACTATCACAGAAATCCTCCCGTGTAAGTAGCAGTTCTTCTTTCTTTTTCATCCATCCAAGCAGTCACTCATTATTCATTTTCATTTCTTGTTAATTTTTTGGCACCCCTTTATTCAATATCCGGAGTCTACCTAGCTAGACATATAATATCTTCTAAGCCATGCTTCTAGTGTAATGGTACTATTAGCAAACTAAGTATTTTTTTCTATTTTTTATTTAGACCTGTCATTTGCTCCTAGAGTTTGATAATTAATTTATTATTGTTAAATATAGGTATAACCACTACCAGCCCTTCCCGGCATTTAGCGACGCAGAGAGAGTACTCATTGAAAATGAGTGTGCGGCTAGCTACCAAGACCCCACATGTTGCAATGGGGAAGGAATCAGCCAACAGGTCAATTGGGTAATGTGTGATAGCTGTAGGCGATGGTATCACATGACCTGTGCTGGTGCCAAGGGGAAGGATGATTTCTTTTGTGGTTGCAACATGAAGCTAGACCACAAAAAGTAAGTCAATATATTAGAAAATTATTTCATCACGCACTGTTTACACTGTTAAATTAAGGTACATTTTTACATCTTTAAAAGTTATTCATCTTTTAGAGGTGTTTGCCTTTACAGGTCACTACTGTACATAATGAGTTGTAAAATGTAATTATTGTGCTCATATTTCAGATTGGTGATGCCAGCATACCCAAAGACAAGACTTTCTGCCTATGTAGCAAACAAGAAACATGAAATTCAGGTATTCCCATATATAGTGTATAATAGTATATTTCTTAACCAAAACCATTAGGACCCATTCAGCATGACTAAATACAAAGTCAGCAGATTTCTTCTGGAATATTTTTGATTAGAATTTTATTGGCTTAATACCTTGTCTGGAAGGGACTTTTCAATTTAAGATTCAAAATTGCAGCCATTTTCATAAAATATCTTTGATAACTGAAATACAAGTATTGAAATATATATGTAGAAACTGTTATATCTGTATATTAATAATTGAAATAATGAAATAAATATTTGTTCAAGGATTTGTGCTCCAAGCTGATCAGTAAGAAATTGCCTTCTTGGCGTTATAACATCCTTGCAAAGGAGGCAGAGAGGAGGCACTTGTCTACGCATATGATAACACTCCCATTTCGTATGCAGATGGTTTGCTCATCAATGTCAGGCATATCTGTCCTGAGGGAAAGCTCAGTATGTATACATTGGTCAACTAATTAGCTTCGAAATCTTGTTGAAGTCTACTTTTAACGAGATTTTAACGAGATTTTAGGAGATATGCATTTAAAACAATTGAAAATGAACACTTTCTTTTGTATGATGGCATTTTCGAATTATCTATGTATTTTTCACAGTGTAAAAAAGCCATAAAAGTTCATGTATTCAACCCGTGCTGGCATATATGGTTCATTAAAAAATCTTGTTTTGTTAGCTGTTTTCATGATTTCCAATGGTTATTGATGGATTCCTCTCAAATTCAAGCCATGCTGCCCATGTCACTAACTATTGAAATTTTGACACATTTCAGACAGAGTTGGTCCTTGACTGCGTAAGGAATTTGCGGGAGGTCAGCGAGGACTTTGCTCAATTTGTACTTTTTCCTGAGGTAAGTATGTAGATGTCAATAATGCAACATAACACCTCAAAATATCAGTATTAGGTTTAAAGAGCATTTTTTAAATGCGTTGTAGCAAATATTGCAATTTATTTTCAAGAATTTGACGTTTTGATGTCTCCTTTGACCCCCATTAACTTTTTTGATACCAAAATTTGTCTCACTCGATACAGTATTGCCCAATATTAGACCAATATTATGCACATACTCATATAAGTATACTTTTTTTTTTTTTACTCATAGGTGCTGATATATTTATTCATGGACTAAGACAAGACCACCCGACTGCAAGCGGAGCAAACACTTTCAACATGGAAACGATGAAGCGCCATACACAGATACAGGAACATTTGTACAAGGATTTCTTGGACTTTACAAACTCGCATATGTTCAACTTTTGTGTATACAAATGTAACACCATACATGTGATTCTACCTTGTATTTCTTACAGGGTTCTTACAGGGTGTTATGTTTTTAGTACTTTCTTCTGATCAAGTTCTTGACTTGCCCACTTTTTGTGTTTGGTTTCCTCTGCCGTGGAACCAATGGGTAAATTAGGAGCTTGATCAGAAGAAAGTGCTTAAAATGTAACACCCTCTCCTTGTTTTTTTTCTTTTATAGGATGTAATGTTTTTAGTACTTTCTTCTGATCAAGTTCTTGACTTGCCCACTTTTTGTGTTTGGTTTCCTCTGCCGTGGAACCAATGGGTAAATAAGGAGCTTGATCAGAAGAAAGTACTTAAAATGTAACACCCTCTCCTTGTTTTTTTTTCTTTTATAGGATGTAATGTTTTTAGTACTTTCTTCTGATCAAGTTCTTGACTTGCCCACTTTTTGTGTTTGGTTTCCTCTGCCGGGGAGCCAATGGGTAAATTAAGAACTTGATCAGAAGAAAGTACTAAAAGTGTAACACCCTCTCCTCACTACTTGTGATTCTTCCTTGTATTTCTTACAGGGTGTTATGTTTTTTAGTACTTTCTTCTGATCAAGTTCTTGACTTGCCCACTTTTTGTGTTTGGTTTCCTCTGCCGTGGAACCAATGGGTAAATTAGGAGCTTGATCAGAAGAAAGTACTTAAAATGTAACACCCTCTCCTTGTTTTTTTTCTTTTATAGGATGTAATGTTTTTATTAGTACTTTCTTCTGATCAAGTTCTTGACTTGCCCACTTTTTGTGTTTGGTTTCCTCTACCAAGGAACCAATGGGTAAGTTAAGAACTTGATCAGAAAAGATTTCTAAAAAATCATCTTCTATATCCTTTGTTTGTTTAAATTTTATTTTGCCCTGCCATTATTTTTATTATGATTGGACATTCGCTAATGGCAGGGCCAGCACTCAATAGTTCTCAAAGTCATTGTTTTCTGAAATATGTTTATATTACAGTACATTCCATTCTACTTGAATGGTTTGCATGCACTCTGCAGCACATTTCATTACAGTTGCTCTTCGCCAACTTTGCCAACTTATTTACTCTTTTTACATATCATTTACTTTGCATCATTGAGTGCTGTGCCCCTTAAAATCCAACATTTGCGTCCACGTTCGCAAGGGGTGGAAACAGACAACTCTAGGGAATAATGAAGAAAATCCCTACAGTTGTCTGGCTAAAAATGCTCTGGTAAAATGTGAATAGATCCATTGACAAGTAACATTAAATGTTATGTCGATTTAGTTTCAGCTTGGATATGTGAACAATAATAATAAACAACAATAACACTCTATTGATGATCTTTTGTTCCAAATTACAACTTCCCAAATTGGATATTGGAAGTTTTAAATAATGGAGAATGCAAGAAGATTCGAATTACTACTACTGCCTACTGCCCATGAAATCCAGGGACTACTTACTACCTACTGCCCATGAAATCCAGGGACAAATGATCTTTTCTATCAATATACGTGATACTAAGCAGTCTATTGTGATGATCAGATTTTTTGTTATCAACCTGGATACTTCACCGAATACTTTATCATCTACAAGATTGATTGGTTCAAGATTATCTACAGAGAAGCTCCTTCGATTGGACATTATTTCAGCTGATATTCCTCTTGAAAAGTGCTTAAAAATAAGTGGGACTCCCTTTTTAGAAACTTTGAATGAATTTACCCTTCTTATGCTGAAATTGATAGTTTATCCATTCATTTTGAGAATATGGTGCACTGGTAGCTCAGAAAAAGTAAACATCTTTGAATTTATTCTCTAAAGGCCTTGTTGGCCTTGAAGGTAAGTTCAGACTATCAGGACTTGAATAACCTTTGCAATGATACATCATTTGAAGTCCATGCCCTAATATGATATACAGTACAGTCAGATTAGCCCTTTATAAATGGAAATGTTTACATCACGGGGTTGTTTAGATGCCACGTGCATTTGTTTACACCACATGGTAATGTTTGTACCACGTGGGTGCTACTTTTAAAGGAATCAAATTCTTTGAAGAATTGTCGGTCGTCCTCGGGTGAGAAATAAGTATATTCGACTGTTCAAACTGTCTTCGAATGAGATTAATGACCACGTGACTCATTTACATAATGACGAAATATTAAACCAATCAAATTCGATGAAATATCTTCGGCCATTTCCGCTAATCATTTCGGTGAACTCCGACTGAGATTTTGTAACACGTGACTTGTCACACGTCACATGACAGTGAACCAATCAAATTCGTCGAGTTGAAGGCGATTCGATTCAGGTATAAAAGTCGTCACCCCATAGTGAACACCATCCATTGATCTCTATATTGAAAGAAGATGTGAAGTACAGTTACTTGTCAGAACCCTCCATTTTTGAAACGTTGAATTTGAGCTGTTTTACACTAATATTTCTACATTTTTCTTAGCCAAGATGACGGGAATAAATAAATGGTTAAAAAAAGTAAACGTTTTACCTGAAATGTCAAAAAACTGCTGAAATCTTTAGAGATGTGGTGATATCTCTGGGATTAATGGATGGTCGGTTAACTGATGATGAGATCGTTGATAATTTCAATACAGAGAGGACACTTTTCAGTAGTGGCTGGTGATGTATTTGTAAGTTCAGTTTGTATTTTTTAATTAAGAATTATAGACCAAAGAGCAAGTATTATGTTGACAAATAAATATAGCAAGGCTAGGCACAAACATTTTCTCTACCCCTAACTGGCAAGTGTATTTATTACTCTATACAATACCTGATTTGAGGTCTACATTTCTATTCTAACATGATAAAGTGTCACTTCATTTCCAACATTGAGTTAAGCATTTAGCACATAGAACACTTAGTACAGACCAGATAATGTATCAAGAAATAAAAACGTGGTGAAATATCGACTTGGTTCACATTGTATAGAAGGCCATGAATACAGTCATGTTTGAATTAGAAATAATTATAATTGGAAATGTATGGATACAAGATGTGACAAACTGTATGTTTTGTACGTTATTCATGATCATGTAAAGTAAAGCTATTGGCTATTGATGAACTGTCTATGATCAGTTACAAATTATTCGACCAGGCGAATGAAGTTGCAATGTCACTTAGAGATTCAAGAAGAAGTTTTGGGGGATGGAAGTGATTGCTGCTGGAGATTTCTATCAACTTGCTCTCGTGCAAGCATTTAAGTAAGGCGACACTGGAGAGTATGTATTCCAAAGCAATAATTTCTCAACTGTATTTCCACATGTAGCTCCGCTATTCCATGTATACAGACAAGAGGATCCTGCTCTTATTAGAGCAATTCATGAAACCAGTCGTGGTGTTGTCTCGCCCGAGACAACAGCTATTATTCAGGCCACAAGAAACAATGAATTGGATCCTGACATAACCTTGTTCGCAACAAATCTAGAGGTAAGCTGAATGCTTAATTAAAAATTTTTTATAATGTTGAGATTTGTTGACATAAGACTGATTCTCAGCATACATATAATGCGATAACAAGTCTACTAAAAATATATCATTGGATTTCTGTTTCTGAAACATTATGGTTTCAATGGGAAGGGAGGGGGAACACTTTGATCACAGACAAAGGTATCTGCCTTTTTCACTACAAGTACTCCAGCCACGTAAACCGTAAGTAAACAAAATGTCGAAAAGATCACTGCCAATAAGGAAAAAGAAACAAAAATGTATAAGAACAAATATGGATAGAAGCGGACCAGTTGATGAATACAGTGATGAGCGTGAAAGCGAGCATGAACCAAAGGGGGAGGACATTGATGAAGATACTGACGATGAGGATCTCACGAATAGCCAACTAAAAAATGGATCGTAAAAACTTTAACAAGATTTGATAAGAGATGGAACAAATTCTATTTATGATTTCGGAAAGCAGAGAAGGAAAATGTTGCACTCAAAAGTAAAGTTCTGGACTTAAAGTCAAAAATCAGCAACAATGACATGAAACTCAATGAGCTATTTCTGGAAGCAAATAGAAGTAATCAATACTCCAGGAAAAACAATATTACTATTCATGGTATACCTGAATCTAATCAGTCTGAGTCATTAGAGATGTGTACTTCATCTGTTGTTGAAGCTTTATCAGACAAAAATGTGCATATAATCAATGAAATGGTGGAAATTGCCCATCGTGTTCCAGGATTTAAAAAAAAAGAGGGACTTTCTACCCCAAGAAAGATCATTCTGTGATTCAAATTCAGATCTGACAAGGACCTTGTTATGCGTAATGAAAAGGCCTTAAAAGTTCACCGTATTGTATCTATGAGGATGCTAGTTCACAAAACAGCATACTGCTCTATGATCTGCGCAAACACGAGAAAGGTTGAAAGCTTGTGGATTTCAAATGTGAAAGTCCTGGGCAAACTAGCTGGTTCAGGTAAAATATGCTGCTTTAATATTCTGGAGAATATTGATGTAACCATCTCCAACTCAGACTGACCCATGGGCTTGAGGACAATATGCAGATATGTATCTTTTTGTATATAATACTGTATATTGATATATATTGTCAATAATTGACATGTCTCGAGAATAGAACCGTTCTAAGTGCCACATATACAGAATGTCTACAAATTCTGATACATACATATATATAGTGCACATATACGGATAATGTCTACAAATTCTAATACGTACAAGCATACATGTATGTAGATCTCATCATATAACTATAACATATATACCCTTATGCTACTGCAAACCACAGTAGTGTGTAGTGTTGTATCTGACGACCATACGCAGTCGAGTATATTATTGTGAATCACTTAATGGAAATGCTACATGTATTTCTTAGAGCTGACTAGATTGTCTTATCAGGCCTACTATATGCTGCCTCAATGATCTAAGAAATGGTGGAGAAGAAAGTTTTTTTATGGGCTCTTCACAGCAGTTCAGTACAGTTACATTTGTGCCAAGTCCAACTTAACTCACCATGATCTTAATGTACAACCGTTCTAGAAATGGGACTCTCTGAAGGACTTCCAGGAAGACCTTATAGAACTGTTGATCAAGCCAAGCACCTCCTCTGGCACTTGCTCCTGCACCCCCATAGCTTATCATTCCTTGGAACTTTGCTATGAAAATTTCAAAACTTGCCAGGAGTATATAGCAAATGCCAGACCAGGTAAAAGGCCTGGAGTCACCAAGCACAGATGCCAATAGTGCCATGTTTCCCATATACGAAAAGTGTTTGAACAAACAATATCAAGCGCTCCCTGCGCCAGTAATTATGACCATAAATGAACTATAATGTTTAATCGTGTAAGAGGCTATATATTAACTTCGTTAACATTCAACTAAGTTTATATTAACTGTACTGCCTGAGGGTCAATGATTTTTGATTTTCCACAAAGTGAAAAACATTTTTAATCTGGAAATCTGACAAATTGCTAAAAATGATATCTTCAGAAGTACGGGAGTTATGAAGGAGCATCAAATAAATTGCATTTTTAAGCTAATTTCAAGACAAACAAATTATTCATAGGAACTTGTGCATTTAAATGAACTTTGTAACTGACATTTTTCAGTTAAATTATGTACAGTGAAATATTTTTATTGGGATACCCAACAACTACCCTATCCATTTAAACCTGTTTTTGAATGTTCCTATTTAAAGGTAATGCAATAACCTTCATTTTGAAATAACTTTTAATCAGAAATATTAAATATTAAAGATCTTATGTACAGTTTAGCAAGGAATGGTAATTTTTAAAAAATTTCCCCAAATTCATCCAGGGATATTTTCTCGGATTAGGGTTCAGGGAAAAATGAGTTAATGTTGTTTATAAAACCATAAAGGTCAAGCCTGAATCACTTACCTTAGTTATGTTTGTAGGGATTATAATGATAATCTTACTGGCCAGTACCAGGACAAGAAATAGTCAAGAGAACGTTCATCAACGAAGTTCATACCGGAGTCACTTACCTTAATTTTCTAGGGATTATGTTGCTCTTCAATGGCTAGTGCCAAAAGAGTAACTAAGTTTACAGGATAAAATATAGTCACACAAATTATACTATCAGAGTGGCTAAAATGTACCTAAAATAGAAAAATTCTGGAAACATAATAAGCAAAGTTGGTGAAGTAAAGTGTCAAAACAAGAAATATAAAATTATATTGTGGCAAATAGACCAATCTGGTATTTATGGCAATGGCATGGTCAGATGACGTATTGGCAAGATGATGATGGTTGCATAATGAGCAAATGTTAACTCTTGAAATCAATTTACTTGTTACATATTGCTGTAACATTCCAATGAAATAATAAAATATTTTGCTTACCTTACGCAGTTTAAAGTATCTTTCTGCAGGCGTGTCAAATGAGTGTATTGATTCAGTCTGTCCATTGCTTAATCCTAATAAAAAAGAAAAATATGTGTTTTATATTTATATTACTAGAGCAAAGTCCTAATAATATCCCTTATATTATTATGCATCAGCTATAAAATTTCATGACAAATTTGTTATCTAATATGTGAGTATATCAAAGATTCTTTTTTTATGAAAAATGGTAGCGATTTAGAATTCAGACACCATCTTGAAAAATCCTTTTTGAGCAGAGTCCTGTATCCCTGCAGCTTCTAGAATAGTACATTTTATAGGGTATTCCATCAGGGAAATAATTTACACTATTGGCCTCAATGGCATACTATTTTATACTATTGAGGTGAATATAGGTAAATCATGAGTGATGTTCCACGAAAACCTTTCTTGTGAAAGATGCACAAATATTCACAGAAAATAGAATTAATCATTTGTTTTAGCATTCGCTGTTATATTTCTCACTCATATTAATGGAATAACATACTATTGGTGTCTAATTAATAATAACATTGTATACCTGGGATATGTAAAATTGAAATTACACATTCATGACATTAGTCATGACTAATGAATACCATTTGATATTCAACAGAAGTCATGTGACTTCTCTTGAATATCACTTATCTTTTTAGTCACATGTAGGACATAGACCAATCAGAGAGTGAGAAACATGACAGTGATATAATAATGCAAATTGTGAACAGTTTCAAATGATTAAACACCAGCTATGAAACTTTGATGGAATCCTGAACAATCTAATCTATACTCTGAAGACTCAATACAATCTATCCATACAAAACGTCTCTATATGATTTATCCTTACCTGTAAATTCAGCATCAATTGCTAGAAAGCTTGCCTTATCTATTGCTTCCTTTATTTTTGGAAGCTCTTCTTTAAAATCTGAAATCAAAATTAACAAAAGGGTTAATAATTTATATTGCTAATGTTCAGCACTAAGATAAAACGAGAACATCGAAGAAAAATAAAATGAACTAAGATAATGGAGTGGTCCATGACTCGTAAAAAAAAACTGTGCTGTGTACTTGCATGTATGAGTGCACATAAAAGAACACAGGGTCCCTTGAAGAAGGGGTTTCTTGGTCTGTCTTCCAGGATTAAATGTAAATTACAGCCCTACATTACTTTAGAGGAGAGAAATTAACATTTTATAAGGAATTCTCATGTTTTTCACAATTGAAACTGCTCCCCAACAGTAGACAAAAAAAGTTAAATATTAATTTTCATAAAAAAATCAAGAAGACCTACATCTAGATCTTATTAGTACCTTCAGAGTTATACTGAATATATATGTAAATAATATCATGTCACAATTTTGTGCCATTAAAAAGTTAAATAAAAAAGAAACAGCACATTTAGAGTGTAATGGTACCATTTTCAATAGCTTTTACTCCTAGTGTTATTGGACTTCAAACAGATGTAAATGTTACCAGAAAATGATATAAATGCACAAACATGGCCTTATTCGGAACTACACCCTTATTGGAAAATACAATAGAGGATGAAAAACAAGGACACTTTGAAAGAGCTGTCGGAGGCAAGAAAAATGTCAAACCCTGACAAATGGCAATAAAACAAATGTTATCACAGATGGAGGTTCTAACTACTGCAACAACATACAAATTGTAATGAAAATCCTGGGCAATGATGTAGAATACTTAGCAACAGGCTTGATTTATCAACCAACCATGAATCAAAATCAACCTATCTTTCCAACATATATAAATCATAAGCCAACTTGTGACTAAGAGAGTCACACACCCTGGCCACACATGGGCAGATCATCTTATGTCTGGCTTTCACATTTTAAATTACTAACGATTAAAACAGAAATTTACATTTTATTTTTTTTGCATTCAATATAAACATCCAGAAAAAGATGACATATGAGGGGTTCCCTAGATTTTCTCACAACAGGCTAAATAAATGAAAACAACGGGCAAAATTAATGGAAATCATAAAATTCATATGGAAAAGTTGAAAAGTCCCTCAAAACAACAGGCGGTTTTGAGAAAACAACAGGTCAACCTATCTTTCCAACATATATAAATCATAAGCCAAATTGTGACTAAGAGAGCCACACACCCTGGCCACACAAGGGCAGCATTTTCATCTTACACCTGCCTTTCACATTTTAAATTAGTAAGAATTAAACCAGAAATTTACATTTTGTTTATTGCATTCAACATGAACACTCAGAAAAACATGACATATGAGGGGTTCCCTAGAATTTCTCACAACAGGCTAAATAATCACCTGTTGCCTGCTGCTAATGAAACCCCTGCATATAGGTGAGAGTGCCCAGAGATAAAAGTGTAACACCTTGAAATGGTCCCAGGGAAATGGTACCTCCTCTGTCACTTGTTTCAGTCCACAAAATCATTCTGAGCATTTTTCAAGTGTTTTTGGCCATTACTGGGTATTAATTACCAAAAAAACACCCCTGGTTAAGGACCTGAATGGCTTGATCTTTCCAGAGGGAGGCAGACAGCCACTCACACACACATGCCATATTTAACAATTATATTCTCATCATTCTTTACATGATTTGTTTTCAACAATTAGTGAAATTACCAAATACACAACCAAAAAATGAAGAATCCAAGCAAAATGTTCCGGAGCTGACAAAGCTTGTGTGATCACGTCATTAAAGAAGAAATGATATATTGGCAGAGATGGACTAATACAGGAAAGAATTAACTCAGCATTAATGTGGATGAATCAGAATCTGATGACGATTCCGAAGCGTTTTCTGAGGATGATGAGACGATTTCTACAATTAACAACGAAGAGGAATGCTGCGGCATATGTTCCCTAGCAATAGGACTTCATGATGAATGGGTTGGGTGTGATAAGGCAAAATGCCAACTTTAGTACCATTTTAGGTGTTTGACATTAAAGGTTGTATATAACTATCGAAGAGAAAAAAATATAGAATCCAGGCAAAATGTTCCGGAGCTGGCAAAGCTTGTGTGATCACGTCATTAAAGAAGAAATGATATACTGTTAGAGATGGACTAATACAGGAAAGAATAACTCAGTTGTCATAATGTGGATGAATCAGAATCAGAGTCTGAATCTGACGACGATTTTGAAGTGTTTTCTTAGCATGATGAGGCGATTTTATTCAACCTGCTTCTACAATTAACAAAGAAGAGGAAGCTGCGGTATATGTTACCTAGCAAAGGGACTTCATGATGAATGGGTTGGGCAAAATGCCAACTTTGGTACCATTATAGGTGTTTGACATTAAAGGTTGTATATAACTATCGAAGTGAAAAGATATAGAATCCAGGCAAAATGTTCCGGAGCTGACAAAGCTCGTGTGATCACGTCAGTAAAGAAAAAATGATATATTGGCAGAGATGAACTAAGAGAAGGAAAGAATTAACTCGGTTGTCGTAATGTGGATGAATCAGAATCTGAAGACGATTCCGAAGTGTTTCCCTGAGGATGACGAGGCCATTTTTATTCGATCTGTTTCTACAATTAACAAAGAAAAATGCTGCGGTATTTGTTCCCTAGCACAAACATCATGGTGAATGGGTTGGGTGTGATAAGGCAAAATGTCAATGTTGGTACCATCATTGGTGTTTGACATTAAAGGTTGGATGTAACTATCAAAGTGAAAAAAATAGAAATCCAGGCAAAATGTTCCGTGTGATAGCTCGTGTGATAACGTCAGTAAAGAAGAAATGATATATTGGCAGAGATGAACTAATGTCATAATGTGAATGAATCAGAATCAGAGTCTGACGACGATTCCAAAGTGTTTTCTTAGCATGATGAGGCAATTTTTATTCAACCTGTTTCTACAATTAACAACGAAGAGGAATGCTGCGGTATATGTTCCCTAGCAAAAGGACTTCATGATGAATGGGTTGGGCAAAATGCCAACTTTGGTACCATTATATGTGTTTGACATTAAAGGTTGTATATAACCATCAAAGTGAAAAAAAGAAGAATCAAGGCAAAATGCATATACATTTAGAGTGGATATTCGTCTTTCATTTCATATGAAGAAAATGTTAATTTAATATTGACGGAGTGACCGCTACAATGACCCCTACTTTTAGCAATTTTTGCAATTCAACAAATTTTTTCAGATTTATATTTTATTACCTCGGAATACTACCTTCACTGTCCTCTTTGAATTAATTCAAGTAGGAAACCTAGGTTGCCAGAGGTCATGGAACATATTGGCAAGTAGAAACGTGGTAAAAAGATTGAGGACTTGCTCTCTACTGATAAACCAGCGGATTCAACATTTGAGGAACTTGTGGAAGTATTGAAATCACATTACAAACCTTCTCAAAATGTGATAGCAGAAAGATTTAAATTTTACAAGCATCAACAAGCTTCTAATGAGAACATTGAATCATACACTGTAAGTTTAAAACACTATCGGCTCAGTGCAACTTCGTAGTATTTCTTGATCAGGCTCTCAGAGATAAACTTGTTTGCGGATTATCTGACAAGGATGTTCAAAATAAATTACTGGTTGACTGCAAACTGGAAACCACTTTTCAGGATGCAAAAAACAGCTATATCAGTCGACCCAATTCCATCCACAAACAGGAATCAACAAGGTGTACAACTCAAAGGGATTATTCAATAGTGATAGGCATAATAAGAACACAAAAATTTAAAGAATCTAAAAAATCGCACCCATACTCCACTAAAGTTGTTATTGATGGTCAATCTATCAGTATGGACATTGATACAAGTGCCAGTGTAAGTGTCATGTCAGAATATCTATACCACAAACATGTCCAGATTCCCACTTCTGCCGACAGATATTAAACTAGGCACATTACTATTCTGGTTCAAAACTCGCGATACTCGGGGTTATAAAACTGCCTGTAAGTACTTCACATCATTGTAAATATACCAAGCTACCCTTAGTGATTACCAAAGATGACCATCTACCACCTGCCTTAATAGGTTGAAATTGGATCGATAAACTTAATGGAGAAGTCATATTCCGACCCAACAGCGTCAACAACAGCAATGCCAACAACGTCAACGTGATGGTACCATTTCAATAGCTTTTACTCCTAGCGTTATTGGACTTCAAACAGATGTAAAGGTTACCAGAAAATGATATACATGTGTAAACATGAAGTTCAAACGTCCCTAAAAACAACAGGCGATTTTGAGAAAACAACGGGTGAAAATCACATGTTGCCTGCTCCTAATGAAACCCCTGCATATAGTGAGAGAGCACAGAAATAAAATGAAACACCTTCAAATGGTCCCGGGGAAATGGTACCTCCTCTGGTACTTGTTTCAGTCCTCAAAATCATTCTGAGCATCTTTCAATTGTTTTTGTCCTTTACTGGGCAAAAATTACCAAAAACAACCTTGCTGGTTAAGGACCTGAATGGGTTGATCTTTCCAGAGGGAGGCAGCCAGCCACTCACACACACATGCCATATTTAACAACAATTATATCCTCATCATTCTTTACATGATTTGTTTTCAACAATTAGTGAAATTACCAAATACACAACCAAAAAATGAAGAATCCAAGCAAAAATGTTCCTGAGCTCGCAAAGCTCGTGTGATCACGTCATTAAAAAAGAAATGATATATTGGCAGAGGTGGACTGATAGAGGAAAGAATTAATTCAGTTGTCATTAATGTGGATGAATCAGAATCTGACGACGATTCCGAAGTGTTTTCTGAAGATGATGAGGCGATTTCTATTTAACCTGTTTCTACAATTAACAACAAAGAGGAATGCTGCAGTATATGTTCCCTAGCAACGGGGCTTCATGAATGGGTTGGGTGTGATAAGGCAAAATGTAAAAATGTCACAGGCTACCTTGGTGATGGAGATAGCAAAAGCTATGCATCTGTTGCAAATCACCAGCCACCAATATATGACAAAGCCATCACTAAATTGGAGTGTGCTGACCACATCCAGAAAAGGATGGGAAAGCGTCTAATGGAAAAAGAAGCCGCCTGCAAGGGAAAACCATATACTGAAGAAAATGGTCGCAAGTATTCCGGTATAGGTGGAGCCGGACAACTGACAAGCAAAGCTCAAAAAAGAATACAGGGACACTATGGCACTGCTATAAGAAATAATAAGGGTGACAAAGAGGCAATGCGATCAGGCATTTGGGCCATTTATTACCATCTTGAAGGTTAACATGAACATTGCGGTAATTGGTGCCAAACAAAGATCGATGGAGGCGATGCATCAAAAAAAAAAAAAAAACAGCTGCCAAAATTTGTTTGTGAAGAAATTAAACCCATTTTTGAGCAGTTCTCAGTGATCGGTTATTAGACAAATGTCTACATGGAGGAACCCAAAATACAAATGAATCGTTCCATAATATGATTTGGGAGCGGTGCCCTAAAACATCATTCGTAGGCCGCCAGAGACTGGAGCTTGCTGTGTATGATGCAACAATCTCCTATAATAATGGAGATACTGGAAGACTTGGTGTATTTCAATACCTAGGATATGATCCAAGGTATTACACTACAACTGGTCTTTCTGATATAGGTGGAAAACGAATTAAACGGGAATATTTTGCCAGACAAGGATTGGACGCAAGGAGGCGTCACGCATTAGTACACCAAAGGCAAAGAAATGATCCAGCTTACCAAGCTGGGGGACATTTTTAACATAAAATGTCTATAATCAAATATGGATATGCTAAAGAATATCAATTAATGTGGTTTTCAGGGCAAAAATAGCCACATTATTAACATTATAACTTATATTTGACTTTTAAGGCAATTTTCCCTAAATCGTGAATTTCTACTATAATAACAGTCTTTGCGTCATAATATCTCAAGATTAAGTCAAGATATCTTGTTCAAATTCTCAGAGTATGTCAGTCTGTTATAGATGTACAATATGGAATAGAATCAAAACATGATAATGTAAAATGAATGACATATGAAACATTTTCAAAGTGTTCATACTTCATCAAAAAAAAATATTGGGCAGAAGAAACATGATAAAATGGTTGACAAAGTCCCACTACCAAAATGTGAAAATTTAAAAGATCAGAAAGTAAATCAACAGATCAAAAAGCTAGCTAGCAAAGCTGCAAACAAGAATGACAAACACTGGCAGACAGTTCAGAACAAATTAGTCATGTAATGGCTCCTTTGTGCACCATTTAAAATCGTATAGATTTCCATAAACTTGACAAGAAAATTATTAGGACTCTTATCCAGAAAGCAATACAAATTTCAGGCCAAACAAATCAAATGCTGTCTTACTGTAGATGACATAAACTTATAGCTCCAAAATTGAGTACGGTACACTGTACTTATATTGATAATATGTGGTGCTCATATGCCCAAGGGACCAGGAAATTTCACACTTGGTGGCTGAGTTCCTAGCCATCAATGGTAAGTCACTTTCTCATATTGATTGTTCGGGATTTTGTTATTCGGTAAAAAATGTAGAGCCTAGAGCCATCATCAAAAACAATGTAATACAAATACATACTTATTCCATATGTATAATGACATGCACCATGAGGTCAAACAAAATGTATTTATGTGCCATGCATTTACCACTGATGCATGGCAGTCAATACCCACCAAAAGCTTTGTAACATATACAGTACATTGGTGGAAAAGGTTCAGGACGCTTTGGAATCTAAGGAGTCAATCTGCTGAAAATTTGTCACAGGGAATCCATCAAATCATAAATGACTGGGGTCTGGTAGACCTGGCTGGTATCAGTGATAATGCATGAAATATCGTTAGACCCATGGAACTTTTAGAAGGGGAAACTATCAATGTCAGCCTTGGTTGTTTTGTACATCCAATGAACATAGCAGTGAATCGATGTCTTCAAGTTATAGAAGTGAGGCAATTAGTTGGAAAATGTAGAAAAATTGCAGCAACCAGTCCGCAATAACAACTACCAGCATCATGAATGCCCAGCAACTGCTGGAACAACAATGTATAATGAAAAATGGAACAATTGTCCAAATTATCCGTCTCTCTGTGTGCAGGCAAAGGGTGGTCATTTTGAGCACAAACTGAAGTAAATAGAAGACAATACCCTATGGATGAATTGTATAAAATAACAGTGAAATAGCAGTGGTATTAAAAAAGTAATTAAGCTTCAAAAAGTAGCCATGTATGATTTGATTTGCAAGTCTCATTGATTCTGAAGTGAATTAAGGTAGAGCTTTTCTGCGTCGTCTTATCAACTTGACAATTGGGGTTGCTCGGTCACAGTTTAAAATAAGTTTGAATAAGGAACTTATTGAACTTATAGAGCGGACTTATTGACATGGAAGGTCTTTCTTGACAGCTTTAATGGCAAAGGTTTTTTTCATAACTCATGGGAACAAGATGATGGGATATCTCTATGCATCAGATGCATCAGGGGCTTTGGGATTCGGGGCCATATTTAACAACCAATGGTTCAATGGCTCCTGGGCCGGGATGAACAAGAACTCAATTTAAACATAGCATCGCTCGAACTCTTCCCCATAGTAGTTACTTTTCACCTTTGGTCTGATCAAATGAAAAAAAAACATTATTATTTTCTGTGACAATGAGGCTATTTCTTACGTTATTAACAAATCTTCATCAAAGGACAAGGATATAATGGTTCTTTTAAGAAAGCTCACTCTATGTGCAATAGAAAATAACATTTCTTTTCTTTGTGAGCACATTCCAGTAAAGTTGAACATTGCAGCGGATCACCTTTCTTGATTCAATTTACAGGGATTCAGAAAGGCGGCACCAGAGGCAGAGAGTACTCCCATGGTCCTGCCTAAGAGTTTGAAACTCAGCAACTGGCTTCAGAGCTAAACAGAAATATTGAAGCAGCTTTGGCCCCTAGTAGTAGGCAAACTTACGCGAGGGTGTTGGAGTTATGGAAGACTTTTCAATATGATACAGGGTTTCATTTGGAAGCATGTGATCCAACTGCAATTGCTCTATTTTGCCAATATTTAGCTAAATCATATAAACCATCTTCTATAAGAACTTTTATCTCAGCTTTGAGCTACCATTTTAAGTTAGGTGGTTATATGGACCCAACCAATACTTATTTGGTAAGGCAAACATTAACTGGTTTAGGAAAGCTTAACCCATCTTGCTATTCTCGCCTTCCGTTTTTCATTATCAATTTTACGAAAGCTAATAAGCATCAACTCTACAATGGGATTGTCAGACTTTCACCTAAAGCTCTTCAATGCTAAGTTCACTACTGCATTCTTTGGGTCTTTTGTGGGTAAGTGAGATCACATGGGCTTATAAATCAAAACATGCAATATCCATGAATGTTTCTAGATCTCAAAATTCATATCATGTCATACTCGACTCTTTCAAACATTCGAAGCCTAACAAAACTCACAAGATAGCTTTGAACCCGCAACAATCCGATTTGTGGAATTTATGAGAAAAAATTTCAAAGCATCGTTAAGTAGGGGAATTCTTGGGTGCTTCAATGAATTCATGTGCAATTCAAGTGCATGGTAGTTAGTTGATTAGTTTAACCCGTAAACAACATTTTAGAGCAAGCGCCTAAAATTGTGTCTATTTCATTACAGTAGCAGTAGACTAAGATAGAATGTACCCTACAAGAGTCCTTTAAGTAGGGCGTAGCCTGATAAGTCGATTGGAATGCCTGGTGGACTTACAGAAGGAGACGTGTGAAAAATTTCCTCATTCGTTGAATCTTCCTAAACACATATTGGCCTATGAAAGTATATCAGGAGGAAACTTAAAGAAGATAAAGAAGTTCGGAACTTTGATTCATGAGCCACAAAATTATGATTTATATTCTGTCAGATCACAGGGATTGGTGTGAAATGTTTGATGACAGATAAAGAAAGGGATGACTTAATAGTTGGGATGAAAGAGTTTATGCTGCCATTGATACGCAATACTAAAATAGTGGTGATAGGGAAACTGTTCTACCGAAATGTTTCAACGTCACATTACAGCAGGTTGAAAACAAAACAACAAGAAGAGGGATACAACAGAAACTTAGATCTGATCAACAACAGATTGAAAAAACTGTGTAATATCACGCAAAAATTCTATTTGTGGAAAACAAGAGGTGCTATCAAGAATGGTTTGGACATGGTGGGTGATGATGGGATCTACTTTAATGACAATGCCTACAAGAAATACTGGAGATCTGTGAGGGGTGCCATCATCTTTGATTACAACTATAAGAGAAACGTGATATTAACTGCTTGTTATTTTGAGTGGAATAGCACATTGACTGTGGCTTCAATAATAATATGTAAGGATCATGGCTGTAGGGTAGTTCCTTGTTGTTTGCCGATTAAACTGCTTCTCATTCTCTTGTGGCTTTTCAGCTTTTGTGGTTTAATTAGTCAGCAATGGCTCATTGCTGTGGTTTTATACAATATTAAATTTCTAGGCAATTAAAGCCTCACAATGCGAACTGGGGTTCAAAAAACATTAAAAAAAATTGTGGAAACACGTCATTAACACAGTCAATTGACTGCTAACAAAAGCTTCTTTTGTGCCAATATCAAGCCAATAGAAAAAAATTACTTACGTAAAAAAAACAGCCATTGAAGTTGGGACAGTCATTATGGTGTAAATATTCTACAAAAATTGTAAGAATAGATGGCATATTTTGCTCACCTCTAGCGGAGAAGATTTTGCCAGGAAAATGCCAGGGCCTAAGAAAATTACAGACTCTGAGAGAAAAAAGGAGAAAAAAGTATTCAACAAGTTTAGATTCGGTAGAAGTATTTACTTGGGTGCAGGATTAAGAGGTGGTTTAAGCTGAAGGGGTCTACTGGGGTCTCACATGTGGATCTAGCCCGTATCTTGATAAATATGTGCGTAAAAATTGTCAGATTTTTCACCTCCATTTTTTCGATGAGCCCAATTTCGTGTTGATTTTTCACCCATCAAGATATTTTATTGTATTTATTCAATCACAGCAACTCTTATAGGATCTGTCAATTCATCCACAGATTCATCTTAATGATGGCAGATGTTCTTTGAATCTTCTCAAATAATATTGCAAATTAAAATGTCTCTATGTAATACATGAAGCTACATATTGTAGGACATAGTAGGTGTCGTTTGCAAAGGCAGGATGGGCCTTGGAAACTATGGCACATCCAGGTGGAAAGATGCCAACATGGAGACAAGAAGGAAGCTTGTAGTACAGCAGATAAGGCAATCAGAGGAAGAGGGTAGACAGGTGAGGTTAGCACAATTAGTCAAACAAGGTGCATGGACCCACTGGGAGTCTACACTCGATCGACAGCTCTCATGGAAAGACATATGGGATATGGAGCAGGGCAAGATTAGCTTCTTATTAAGAGCAATATCTGATCTTTTACCATCTCCTGCCAATCTCACTACCTGGGGTCTTAATGAAAATGCATCATGTATCCACTGTGGAGCTCTGAGAAGTAACATCCAACACATCCTGAGTTAGTGCAAGGTTGCACTTGCAGAGGGAAGGTACACATGGAGGCATGACAAAGTTCTTCAAAAGATTTCTCACTGGGTGGACCAATCACGGATCATGAACAAAACGAATGCAACTGTAACACCAGGATCAAGGGCAGATATGTTGCAGCCCTTAGAGAAACATTTTGTGGGTGCTAACGCAAATCCTAAAGGGAAGGTTTTGCCTAGCAGTAGCAGGCACACCTCTCGAGGAAGATTTTGCATCTTACAACAAGCTCAGGACTGGGAGCTGAGAGTAGATCTACACCAAAGACTCACATTTCCCAGCTGTATCACGACAACAAACCAAAGACCAGATATGCTTTTATTCTCAGAGGATAAAAGAATTGCTGTTATGATAGAACTGACAGTACCTTGGGAAGATCGCATTGAGGTAGCACACCAACTCAAAAGTGCAAAATACCAAGATCTGGTTGAGGAGATAGAGGCCAAAGGGTGGAAAGTTCATTACTATCCCGTTGAAGTAGGTTGTAGAGGATTTCCATCAACATCTCTCAACCGAATGTTCAAGAATGTAGGACTCCCACCCTCATGGCTCAAGAGAGCGAACAGAGCAGTTGGATCTGCAGCAGAGGAAGCCTCCCGCTGGCTCTGGCTGAGGAGAAATGACAAATGGGCACAGGTGAGACAACATTAACCAATGACTTATTTGACAATTGCTAATACATTCACCGAGGGTTTGTTCACCATCCCTTTACCAACAAGGGCAGAGTAGTGCGTACAGCAGGTAGCGCTTAAAGGTCGACCGCTCTGGCTATAGTGGTGTTCAAACCATCAAAGAATGTAAAGGTTGGTACCAACATGACAAACTGACGGATTGAGTTAAAAGGCAAGCAGGAACATTGTAGCATAGCACTCTCTTGTGTTTAATCAAAGTGAAATTGTTGAACTTCCTTGAAAAAATCATTTGCTGTAGTTAGTAATTATGGTAACTGATAACAGTTTTGTATCTGAAATATTGAGTTCATGCATGAAATTTTACTTGTATCTTTTGAAATTTTACTTGTATCTTTTTTTCAGCTATGAAAAATCTGCAGACCAATAACCAACTAGTATAGACCTGCCAAAAAACTTGATGAACCTCTCTGCAATAAAATTAACCCAATACCGACAGCATCGCCAATGCCAACACATCTTCTAAGAACCCCCCATGCGTCAACATCTACACCTCTTCATCACTTCATCAGATTTATTTTTTAATGTTATTATACATTTAGTAGGATAATATATATTTTAAAGGCTAAAAAGTTTAAAATATTATTTTGAAAATGGCGGCGTGTGTTACTCATGCTCAACTCTAATTGAAAGTCCATGCTATAAGTGGTAAAGCAGTGCAGTCTTGAGTGGTTATTATTTTTTGATTTATATTATATGTGAATATTTAAAAACATGTCAAACTTCAAAAATTTGTCTTTGAGTTTTGCTAATAGGCAGCTATTTTACAGGCTTTTACTTTATTTGGTAGTTATGGCTGTTTGTTGGTGGGATTTGCTTCACCTTATCATTGCTGTTATTATCTAGTTAATATCAAGTTCTAATACATATACTCTCCTCCCTCCAGAAAAAATGATGTCATTACATTCAATATTATATTTCAGAGATGATCCATATACCCTATAATTGGTCTGGATCTGATGAGGAAAGAGATGACCTGGATGAAACTTTCAAAACATGTACTAATGCTCTCAATATTAATTTAAACAAAGTTTAACAGAGAGAAAATAAAAAAAAAACATGGAGAAGTTTCAAATTAGTAACATATTAACATCTGAAACTATGAGGACACTCGAAGCAAATGGATTTGACTCTATCGGAGCACTCATTACACTGCAAGATTTACAAACAATGAAACTGAAGCCTCTAGGACAATTCCACCTCTTAGAAAAGGGACTTTAAGCCCTTAAAAGAGATTGCCCCGGGATTACACCAGACAGAGATGGCCCTGGAATATCACCAGGTGGTGCCACTTGGGGGAGGAAAATCAAGTCCCTCATAAGGAGAATGAGGGAAGTTTGTCGGCCGACCAAATGTTGAAACAACTAGAAATAAGTTCCCAAGCCAGTTGGGTGGAACATAAAAGAAAGGTGAGCACCTTAAAATTGTGGATTTCATCTCAAGTGCTCTTTCCATCAAAGAGGACTATTCAGAGGAAGCAGCGGGGAGCTCTAGCCTGATTCTCAAGCCCTCTGCTAAACGCCACGCCCTTACCAGTGTCACCATCCCACAATGGAACCAGGCAAGTTTGACAATATTGCAACATATGCAAGAGCAGTCTGCCCGAGTTGATGCACTTTCCTATCTTCAACACCATATCAGGATTATGGAATTTTGTGAAAAATTTGATTGGATAAGTATATTGTGTAAAACCTGATATTTCCAGTTAACCACCTCATCTCATATTAGTCACTCACCTTAACACAGCATTCCCGTTAACGCAAAAAACTTGCGTATTTCGCAGATTTTTGGCCCAGGACCCCGATATTTTAGCTCTATTGCGTCCCCAGGACGTAATTTACTTGTCATGGATAATTTCAGAAACCCTTACCTTAATAATCGATGAAAAACTGAACGTAAATGGCACTAAAAACAAAAGATATATTCTGATTTTTTTCCACTTCAGTGTTTGTAAATATAGTGATGACGTGCATGCGTTGAATAAACAATATAACCTCCCATGATTCCATTGATCACAGGCTTAATTTGTAAGCCAATTAAACTGTCGATCTTGCAGAAATCATTCCCACAATTCATTCACTACCGATCATCTTCCTCTTGGACAAAATGGCGAACGATCTTTCGATCAGTTGCACTAAGAAGAGCCATTTTCTTCATTTTCCAATTCGATTATCGCACATTATGATAACAAATGAATTCATTATGTATCATGAAACATTTCCTTAAATTTTGTCTGCCTAAAAACGATTGAATCTGTAATAAATTTGACCTGTAAATCATCACTCAAATATCTAGGTCAACATATCACGTGACAAGTCATGTGACTTATATGTTTGATTGGCGGGAAATAAAAATCATGGCTCAGGCTGCTAAAAAAATTCGATCATTTAGAAAAGAATGGGAGGATGAGTATAAATGGCTGCAATATAAGCCAGCCAAAGGTATGTTTTGTTCACTATGTACAAAACATAAAAAAAATACCCAGACTTTGCTAAACTTATGGGCTTCTTTCTTACAATTCCATTGAATAGTGTACCTTGCGAATGTGGATTTAGCAACCAGAATAGAACAAAGTCCAAGGCAAGGGGGAGGCTTGGTGAAGAAAGGCTAGACCACATCATGAGAATATCAATTAATGGCCCTCACTGGGCACAGTTTGACTATACTGATCCTGCAAGAAATTTCAATTTGATTAGAAATCGCAGAAAGTAGTGGCATTGCCTAGTAGCCTATTTGCTTACGTTTCTGTGTAAGCCTACAGTGTACAGTACATGTACTAGTATATTCGAATAAATCTTTAACATTGTGACAGTGTCAATGTGTATTTACTATTTCTTAATTCACTCTTGATATGAACATTTATACTGGTTTTACTGAAAAGGTAGGCTATTTTCTTGCAATTTTTTAACAGAAAAATACAATTTAAAATGCTTTAAAATTTTTTGGAGAGGACCCAGATTTTTAAAAGCCCTTGGGTCCTGGGACTCAGATTTGAAAATGCCTAGCGCGAATGCTGTTAACACCTCAGACAGTCATTTGTCATCAGAAACTGATGTTACAAGGAGTCTCGAAGGGGAAATATTAAATCTGTTTAAAATTCTCAAACATCTTTCCAGCTCTTGCACTTGAAGATTACATCTAATATGCACGAAATTTGAAATCCCTGCAATTCCGTAATAGTTCAGAAGAAGCCGTTGCTTGCTAAATTTATCGCGGAATTCGAGATTTCATGCAGAATTTGGTGCAGAATTCAACTTTTTCTTGCAGAATTTCTGTGTAGAATTTGCATATTCTCATGCAGAAAACTTGAAGGTGTGAAATTCCTCGCCACAGGTAAGCGGATTTTTTCGTTGGCCAAGGAGTGATGATACTCATGATGTCCTATTGTTTCTGTACAAACATTATTTTCGATGGGAAAATTCAACAGTCGACACTCACATTTGAGTTTGATGGAACTATGTATGACCTATGCAGTGTGTACATGTAAGTGAGATCCATTTCCAGGAGCATTAAGTTCATTCATCGCATTTGATGGACAAGTCATACTTTTTATCAGATGACTCATTTTACTTCTGTCTGGATTGAGAGAAGTTATTCCAAGACTCTGAGAGAGATTATGGGTATTTTCAAGTGCAACTTTTGTGAGAAACACTATACAACCTTAGGTTCGAAAAATCGTCATGAATTAACACATGGAGATGTTAGTTTTAAATGCTTACAATGTCAAAAAGAATATCAATATCAAACACATTTAAGAAGGCATGAAAAAGTCTGTCAGAAAAATAGGGATGGAGAACAAAATAAAAAAAGAATAAGAAACACTGATGAACCATCATCTGGCACTCAAAATATAGTTAGGAATGTGGTAAAAGAAATGGTAGAAGGATTAAAAAGAAAGAAAATGTGAGTGATATAAGGACTGAGAATGGAAAGTATAAGTGTAGGTTGCCCCAAGGAATATTCAACTGCCGGCGCCAAGTCCAGACAAGAACAGATAGAGCACAAAAATCACAGATTTGAGTGTACACGTTGCCAGAAGAAGTATCGTTATAAACCTGATTTGATAAAACACTTCAAGTCTTGCAAAACAAAAGAAGAAAGGGCATTTGATGCTATAGATACCATTGCTCAAGAAGTGGAAGGTCAAGGGAAGTCAGATGACAAGTCTCGACGTGAAACAATGGAAGAGGAAAATAACCAAGATATTGAGGGTAACCAGAACCAACCAGAAGAAAGAATCAACCAACATCCATCAGAGGAAGTGTTCTTGCAGTGGTGCAGATATGAAAATGGACAGTATCCCTGGGACCAGGAGGATGGTTTGGTGGATGAAAACCTGAGAAACATCTACAGGGATCAGTTATGTCATCTTTGCCTCTCATCGACAAGGAAAAATTGTAAATGAATACAACTACCACATTTCACGAGGAAATGTAACCATAGACGAGTTATCTGACCAGTTGAAAGACATTTATCTAAAGGAAAGAAAGGCTTTCAAGTTGCGTCTATCTCTGGGATTAGTGCTGAGTCACCGTGAGACTGGAGAGTTGCGCTACTTTTATCCCCACAATAACGAATCAGTTCTATCCGAAATCATACTTATTAGTAATGAAGAAGATTTAGAACAAGTCATTAAAAAATTGAGGGAGATTGATTTTGAGGGGGAAGTTTGGCGTTACCGCCCCGATACTAAATGGCTCCCCTACAGGATCACTAACACTCGAGAAGTCACAGAAAAAGAAAAGAAACAAGCTGTCTGTTTTCCAACGGAACTCCCTCTCTTTGAAGATACCTTCCAGATTAACATCAATGTTTACATGCTCGAAGAAGATGGAAAAGTGGAAAGAGTGTATAATTCCACCAAGAAGTTTGAGGATACCATGAACCTGAATATTTATAACAGACACCTGAGCTATATTAAGAACATGGAAATGTACAGCCGAAAGTATGGCTGTAGGAACTGTGGCAAACTATTTCATAAAAGTACATTTTTGAAGCGTCATGAGACATCTTGCAGCAAGGCTTCCATCTTGAAGTTCCCTGGAGGGTATTACAAACAAGATAAAAATTTGTTCGAATTACTGGACTCGTTTGGCATCAACATTCCAGATGAACAACGATACTATCCCCATGTTTCCTGTTTTGATTTCGAAGCTTTACTGGCCACTGATCACGAAATCAGCAACACCAAGAAAATCAAATGGTTGGCGGACCATCAACCTGTCTCCGTCTTACTTTGTAGTAATTTGGAAGGTTACAAAGATCCTCACTGTATCATCAACCCAGATCTGGATGGTTTACTTGAGGACATGTTTACATATTTAGAAAAATCCAAACTGCTGCTGCTAGTCATATGTTTGATCGATTAGGTTGGATCTTTGAAAAAATAGATGAGGAGCTGGAAAAATTAAACGAATTTGACCAGGACGATGAGAAAGTGCAAAAACTGTTAAAAAAGCCATGGTTGAACTTGAAAGAAAAACAATTCACTTTTATGTAAATTGTATGTCAGAAAAAAGCATCAAAATACAATTGGAATGGTCTCTAGTGTAACTATTTCAACATCAATTGAAATTTAAAATTCAGTCATTACTTGGTATAGAATAATTTCATTCTCACTTTGTTTTAATAGAACAATTTGGTTTGTGTATTTGCTGTGAAGATCATAAATGTCAAAGGTGATGGCACATGTCTCTTTAGGGCACTTGCTATTGGCATGAATAAAGAGCTGCAAAAGCCAAAAAGAAGTATTTTTACTAAAGAAATCATTAGTCCAGCTAGTTACAGAGAACTAGAAAGACATTCGGCAAAGGAAATCAGAAATACTATTGTCAGCAAAATGGCAACATCTATTGATGAATACAAAGAGAGAGAGAAATGTATCGGTCATTTTTGGATGGAAAGATACAAGACAGTGCACGATGAGATAGAAGCTATGAGGGGTAGCGCAGAAGGTGGTTACCTGGAGATAGAGGTGAGATAAAGGAATAAATACTCTTGGCTATATAGTTTATCTTCTACTCACATTGTATTGATAACATTACAAAATGATTTCTTATAAATTCAAATTTCTTAAAATGCCAAATACCTAGACACTGACCTTTGACCTTCGAATGACATTGACCCATAAAGTTAACCTTAACCTCAGGTCACCTAATCGTGGGTCATCAAGGGTCACAGAACAGACCAAGGTTCTTAAAAAGCCAAATACATAGATATTGACCTTTTACTGTGAAATGACCTCGACCTCTGACATTCGTAGAATACCAACCAACCAATTAGTAAGGACAGACAGACAAACAGGGAGAGAGAGGCGGACAGACCACCGTGCTTTGTAGTAAGAAGATGACTGGAATGAAACAAATGTTGGTCATTTGGAAATATTTTTTTGAAGAAAATTTTTGTCTTTGTATTAGTGTCTAGAAGCATTATACATGTATATATTTTACGTCAGTTAAAATCGAATATAAAGCATCTGCCGTGAATGTGATTGGCATTTCACATAGTCTGCATGGTGTACTATCACTAATTCGTTTACCTTGTGATATCGGAGTCCCAAAATACTTTTTCGACCTAGATGTCGGCTCGATTTTTCAATTTCTTTCCTACATCCGGCATACTGATAATGCACTCGATTTGCGAACGACAATGAAGAAATGAGTCATTCATAGCCAATTAAAATCACCGTTATTTTAACAAACAACAACAGCCAATCAAAGTCACGTTATATCTTGGGCTTCGGTACAAAAACAAAAATATTTTGATTTTTTTTTCAATTTTCAACAAAAGTCATGGAATAAGCCGAAAACGCAGGGAATTCGGAGGATTTCCGGAATGAAATGTAAGTTCTATTCATGGACAATTTAACGAATGCCACAAATGTCTGGCAGGCCAAAATATCTGGGTGTTTTTATCAAAACAAGCCATCGATAATTTTGTCAGGCCAATGGCCGATGTCGGACGTCTATTTCGCGCACTGTATGAGATCTATTTAAAAAGGTGCATCATTCACCAACATGCAAAAGTCAATGTTTTTGCTATAAATCGGGCAACAATGGTCTACACGACCTTTAATAAATACCGTTAGGTATAAGGGACGTTATTATCACAATACTAATGACACTGCTCATTTTTTAAAGTTATTTTCCATGCGTTATACAAAAAATAATCGAAATAAATTAATTTCGGATGGAGGGGGGGATCAGATGGAGGGGGATCACTTGAATTTATTCTAATGACTCCAAATTTTCCCACTTTTCATTCTCCAGAGATATAATATCCAGTTTCTTACTGGGGTACTGAGTTTAATTTTTTCAAATAGTTCTTGTGAATTTGTTCCATTGTAAAGATAGACATGGATTGTGTTAAGTAACATAGAATACTGAAAGTATTACAGATCAAAAAAAATTCGAACAAACATGTCAATTTTACACACGCATCGAGTTCAAACTCGCATAGGATGATTCCCTTTTGCATAGGCTATCACAAACAACTTGCATCACACAAAGTGTGCGAGATTTGAAGGTACGTGACATTTACATCCTGGTTTCTACGATACGGCGCCCTCCATAGAAAGTCACACGAGATTTCAAAAGATGGTGAACAAAATCTTGAACATCTATAGAAACCAATTTATGTTACATCAAGGTTTGTGATCTTCATATCATAGTATGTGAATGGAAGAAATGTCTGTGCGAGCCGTATAAGCATTTGTTCGACTTGTGCTCTCTGTTTGATGCCGTTTTTGACAATGTATTCACAAATACACATGTACAAGTGTGATTTTACTAACATAGTATGTGCAAAATCAAACAAACCGTGTATGAAATCATTCGGATTGTGTATGTATTCTGCTAGACGCTATTCATTGTGTTAGAGATGTCACATTAATATAAGATGTCTAATTTAAATACAATTTTGACACCATACCATGTGTATGTACCTCGTAAATAAAACTGTAATATTAATTACTAGGTATAGACCAAAATCAGTACAATTTAGTTTGATCAATATGTACATGTTCCTCATGTTTTTGTAAGGTGAATCTAGGGGGAAATCAACACACCCAGGCTGTTGGTTAAGTCATCAAGTACAGTATAGTGAATGATACATGACATGCAATATGGAATTAGTTTTATCTTTGTTAATATTGTACTAAACTAAATCTCATTTTAGAGTGGTTGTGGAGAAATATGCTAAGTGAAATTTTTGGCCAGAGAAGTAAGAATACAGTTAAATACTAGATGGCCTAACATATTTTGCCATGCACTGCGCCCATTCATTTGACAATTCATTTGTAAATTTTCTCTTGAAAAATGTACTGTACGCCCGATATTATTCGCGTGCGATTTAGTTTCGCGCTTTTCGCGAGGGTGTTAAAATCGCGAAAAATTATTGTCGCGAAATTGCCAATTAAATCCCCGGGAATTTGTTTTTACCCGGGGCTCTGATGCATTTCGTTTTGTGTAAAACGTTTCGTCTAGTGTTATTGGGCGATAATTGGATGATTTCCACCAACATGTCTATTTTACGTTGGCTAGTCAGGCCAACTACTACCAATGGGCCTAGGCTTAATAATGACACGTTTGCTTTAATATTAAAAATGACGATGCAATAGAGGTTGATATGCAGCTTGCCGATGATAAAGAGCCCAGTTATTGTAAATCTCATCCAAATATGACATCAGGTAAGTGCAATTACTGTACATCTAACTTAATTTACACACGAGTAGCTTGAGAATTCCTGGAATAGTAATGAATTTCAAACTTGTGAAATTCGCGAAATTTAATAGCCACAAAATCGTGTTTTCGCAAAATTCGCGAAATTAAATCTCGCGAATAATACCGGGCGTACAGTATTTGGAACTTGTTATTTTTCATGTTGTCTGTCCAGGAAGTCTTGCCAATGCGCATGCGTGTAATCGGAAGCGGAAATCTCATGGCATGGAAGCACATGCGCATTACCCAAATTCCTGAGAGGCCATCTTGAAAATTATTATCTCCTCAACATTTTTGTCAATTACACTGTCTCCCGACTAGTGTTGTCGCGATTAATCTATACATCGCGACATACATTGCCAAACCTGATTCGGGTGATGCATCGATGTCTGAAACAAAACATCGATGTTTTTAAAAAAAATTAATTTGCTAAAAATCACCCTTTCTTATCTTATTTTGAAGCAAATCGCTTATCTTTCTCATGTCTTATTTAATTTTCCAATGTTTTCTGATATTCTTTTGCTTTAAAACTGTTTTAGCTAGTCTAAATGAACCATTAATCTAAAAGAATTCTGTACTTTACTTTCATTTCACCGTTACTAGAAGTTCCCGGATGTACCAGCTTACTCTTTTTTTAATTTGTTCTGTTCGGTATTTTAATGCATTAGCGTTCGGTATTTCACTGCACTTTTCTCTGACTTTTTCTCAATGTACATCGCGATATGAATCGATGTTTACTACTGAAAATTGCCGATGCATCAATGTACGATTATGGCACATCGCAACAACACTAGGGGAGGACTCCAGTTCGCATTATAAGATTATTACAACGATACTCTATTTATGATGTTATACATCGATTGAAGTAGTGTTAGTGCTCCCACGATTTCTAACATTTCTGTAAAAGACCTTTAACATGGGTTGGGAATATAGAGTTTTGCATAGCCATCTATCTTAAGATGACTATGTGCAAATATAGTAACTTATAGTATTCACATACCAACTACCACTACTTTTTGCGTTATAGTAAAATATGTTAAAATGACAGCAATATTTCAAAATGGCCGCCTTACAAAAGTGTCATTAGACAGTGTGCCGTGCTTATAGTATTCACATACCAAATATGAACAAAATCGCTCCACTACTTTCTGAGTTATAGCAAAAATCGTAAAATAGCGAGTAAAGGCCGCCATTTTTCAAGATGGCTACCATGTGATTCTTTGATATCTACATTTCTAACTTTATTAATATTCTATATAATTTTATTACATTTAAAAATATTGCTATTACAGTTTCACATTACTGTAAAATCGGCACTAAAATGGCGGCCATTTTTAAATGAGTAGCCATTTTGAAAATTGGCCTTCGAGGAGAACTTCTACCTCCATAGGGTATATGTGTCCAAAATATGAACAAAATTGGGCCAACGGTATTTGAGTTATTGCCCAGATGGACGGACGGACGGACGGATATATCCCTCCGAACTTTGTTCGATGGGATATAAAGGGAAGCTTCAAATGGAAGTTCTCATGCAATAACACAGAGTTGCATACCCTTCTCAACCTCCCCTTCTTTTGAAAGCCCATTGACTGTATATTTCGCATGTTCATGTGTTATGATGGGAGTTTCGAATCATATAATTCGAATGTCGCATCATATGGTTTAACTTTTCGCATGAACTGTGTATTGTCCAATTCTGATACAAAATAAATTCCGTAGAGTGGGGGGTTAATCTCTGTTCTGATGCCTGTGGTAAAAACGCAAATCAACCCCACATTTGATGGATGAAAATAGGAGACCCTATCTGTTGCAAGACTAACGGCTGGCGTAACCGTCACCATGTTATTCGGTGTTTTTTAAGTAGCGCAAGGATCCTGCCATGACCGTGGTAATGTTATCGTGAAAGCCTGGTATAACCGCGACAATGCTGTATTATATTAAAATGCCTGCCATGACCGTGGTAGTGTAATCGTGTAAGCCTGGCGCGACCGCAACCTTTATATAACATTAATGACCCGTTGCTGTTGGTATTTTTTATGAATAAATCTTATTAATTGATCATTATAGAAAGTATATGCTTTCGAATCGAAGCTCCTTGAATGAGAGTAGAGATATAGTTTGTTCGCAAATTATTTATGAGTAAAAATTAGGTTTTCGTTGTGAAATTAATACACATTTTTTCTCATGCTACTTTAAATACAACCACTGTCATGAGAGGCCTTGCAACTATTGTCACGGTCATACGGGGCTTTAACATTACCACGGTCATGACAGGCCTTGCAATATAATATGACAGTGACAATGTAATGTTTATGATAGGACTGCCATAACCGTGACAATGTGTATTGCAAAGCCTGGCATGACCGTGACAAGGTAATATAGTACTGCAAGGCCTGGCATGACCGTGGCAGTGTAATGTAGTATTGCAAGCTCAGGTATGAGAGTGGTGATGTAGGTGTTTAACTACCTTAATTATGTTAATATCAAAATTACTACTAGACATTATATTCACATTATTTCCGCATATTCTAAAATAATTAATCATTTACACAGAATAAGACAAGTTATTTGTGTCACACTAATAAACAATTTATTTAAAAGTGGATAGTAAACAAATCGCTTAACAAACAACAATAAAAAATTCTTAATTAAACGTAAATGCTACGGCCGGGCCAGGCTTCCACGATAACACTCACGGTCATGACAGGCCTTGCAATATAATACAGCGTTGTCACGGTTATACCAGGCTTACAAAATAACACTGCCACGGTCATGGCAGGATCCTTGCGCTACTTAAAAAACACCAAATAACATGGTGACGGTTACACCAGGCGTTAGTCTTGCAATAGATAGCATGTGGAAAATAGAGTAAATAAAACGAAGCTCTGCCATAAACCAATCAAAGGGACACCTATACAAGGTGCATTTCGTTCAGTTATCAGGAGTTATATTTTTCAATATATTATCGATATTATAATAATATTTAATTGATTAAAATATGACGGATTATGCTTGTATTACTAGTTAAAATGATGTCTTGATACTCACTTCTGCACGTTACCTCCATGATTTGATTCCATGACACACAACAAAAATTTTGAACACCTTATCTGAAAATAACAATTATTGAAGATGTATATCCAAATAAATTTAGTATCGCATGATATTCTTGTAGTTTTTGATATAGAGATATTAAAAAATCATTGAAACGAAATTCATTAGTATAACAATGATTTATATTACATTTAGTATTTCTTGTCATTTCGAAAAATTATAACGAGTAGCAGCTTTGATCTACATTTTAGACTTAAAAAATCTTGCCACGTAAATATCTCCATTACATCTCATATGCTGGGAATCTCAGGTGCGTATTTGTTTTTCAGTTACAAAGTACAAAACAATTTACATTGGAAGCATGCATTTAAAAGAGTTTATACACATTTATTGCATGACTTCACGTAAATGTTCAAATTTCATTCAACTTTTTTTCTGTTTTCTCAACCCATGATTCTTTCACTTTCACTGCCAGCTTTTTTGTGCCTGGCAATTGTCATGTGTTTAGCAGTGTTAGCAGTTGGATTTTACAAAGATTTTGCATATCTACTGTAATTGAACAAAATCCGTCCAATTAGCCTTCACCAAAATAAGTCATAAAGTTATCTTCTCCCTATATTTTGGGTGCTTAATAATTTTGATACCATGATCACAAATAACTTACGCAGGACTTCACATATTCAAACTATTGTATCCAAAGTCAATAAGGTACTTGGAATTCTCAGGTGCAACCTAGTATGTATCCAACAGACCGAATATAATATTCGGTCTGTTATGATTGATATATTTATAAGTACATCGCGAAATCAATGTCAAGGACGTTTGAGTTCACGAGATCCAAACGAGATATGCAAATTTTTTAACTTTGACAACACATGACCACTTGATTACCTTAGTCATATAAATCCGACCGTTGTATGCTGTTCTTCGATATTCCTTGTTCTTATTTGGATATTTATTTTTTTATCATTTTCTTTGCATACACCGTCGTAGATATTATATAGAACAAATTGCGGTAAACGCTTTTCTGGCCTGTCTCGGTAACCATAGTTACCATACTAACCAAAGTCACACAAATTATCGAGTAATTATTTAGTTCCAACATTAAAGTGTTAAATCTTACCTTAGACATGTAAAACGCTTGATAATTGACGAAATATGATCAATTGAATTATATTTTCATTATCGCCCGCCATGTTGCTGAATGCTGTTTCCAGTAGTCTAAATGTAAAACATGTATCGAAACGGAATCATAATTATTTATTACACAGAGATCGATTCCAAAGCCGTTCTCTTATACTTATTACTTTTCTCATTTTGAAACAATAACTTTTCCAAATAATTTCCCTTCTTAACGACACTGCTTCCCTTTCAACTGAATCTTCGTGTAACAAGTACTTATGATTTCGTTTGATATAGTTTTACATCTAGACTCAGATTAACCCGGAAGTGACCTTGGCATGGCAAAATGAAAAAATTTTAAAATTCAAGCGGCATGCTTATATTTCTTCAATTACCAAGCGTTTTACGTGTCTAAGGTAAGATTAAATACTTTATAGTTGAAGCAAAGACATTTATTTATCATTTGTGTGAATTTGGTTGGGTAGACAGGCCAGGAAAGCATTTCCCGCAATTTAGATGCGCGGAGTGTGTATGACCCTTGTATGCAAGAAAATAAGAAAAAATAAATATCCAAATCAGAAAAAATAACAACAAATAACATCATACGAGGGTCAGATTTATATGACTAGATTACCTCGGCCTTCTTCATGAATATTTCCGCTCTATTTACTATAAATGAAGAAAATTAATCGGGATAATGATAATAAATGACTAGATCTAATAAATTCCCGCACAAATGGAATTTATCAACACGCTTCCGTCCGCTCCACGTGTTATTTGTTTACAAATAGACTGACGTCACTGGCTAAATCTCGTTTATCGTGAGAATTGGCATTGCCAAAATGGCTTGACCTAATCAATGGCTTCGCTACAAGAAGCGTCTGTACATTTTATGAATATCTTCAGTAAGAGGACAATATACGAAAAAATAATATTTTAAGTACTTTATAAGGTAATCATTTTATCATTTAACAAACTTATTTGTAACATTTATTCAACACCACATTTTACAATAGGTGACTTACAGTCTGAATATTTATTCAGACGAAGGATACAGTCTAAGGTGCAACCTCCATCAATTCCCTGAAAAAGTGAAGGCTCGGGCGTATTAGTCACTAATACGGCCTAATTTAAAATATGCCAGTTTGGCATGGGATCCATACCGAAGAAAAATAAAGATATCATCATCATCATCATCATAAGGACGTAGTGGACTGAGCCAGTAATGTCGTCCTCTCATTACTTAAGCCACCTGGCTTCTCATTTCATTTAACAAGACAAAAACAAAAGAAACCTATAGCATATAGTGCTCCCTCTTCCAGGGATCATCCATCCTCTTCTTAAAGGTTTCCAGGGTTGGCGCACATACTGCTTTCTCAGGCAGATATTGATATGTTGGAAAAGGTACAGAGAAGAGCAGCCAGGTTTGTAACCAAATGTCACTCGAGGGAACCAGGATGCGTCACCAAAGCTCTTCAAGACCTACAGTGGGAGCCACTGAAGGAGCGTCGAGAGACTGCTACTGAGTTTTCCTTTTTTACAAAGGAAAGCAGAACCTAGCAGCTACCGACGTGCCTCCATACTTCCGCCAACAGATCAATACCAACACTAGGTTGTATCATCCTTCTAAGTTCATACAACCATCAACTAGAATGGATGCATACAAATTTAGCTATTTCCCTAGAACAATAGCTAAATGGAACACTCTACCTGGTGACATCTTAAACTGTGACAGTCTAAGTAGTTTTAAATCATCATACTATGCCTATAACAATAACTGTAATTTAATAGGTGTGTTTTTAATATAGATCTAATGTAAAAGGTCCCCAGTGCACAGCAACAAGCCTGCACTACCGGTAAAGAGGGGAAATGTCAACGCGGTAGCCTGGCAGTCGCCCCAGGGTATTTCAACATAAAGGGACTATCTAGGGGGGTACAGGGGCCAACCTTTCAATTTTAAATGAGTTGTAAACCATAGATCTATTTTTAAATGTTATGTTTTGAATTATATTCTATTCAAATTCTATCACTGTTAATATATAAATGAATAGGTACACATTATCTGTAAGATTTTCTATGATTTTTTCTTAACTGATAGATCTTTTTAAAAAGGGCAATGTCACCAATGTGCAGGTCAATCTTTTTGCTAGAAATCAAGTTAGTAGTTGAGGTCTGCACGTAACCTGTGATAAGACTAATAGATGACATAATCATCACCAAATGTGTGTCCTTGGGTGTGTGTCATTGCCATGCACCTATTCATTCAGCGATTTATTCATAAATTTTCACAAAATTTGAACACAAACACAGTGCCAAGCTTTGAAGTGCCCAAACTGTTAGAATACACCATACTTGGGGTGAAGTAATGTGACTGTATCTGCCATTTAAACATTTTGCCAATCTGCCATTCACGCATTCTCATGAAATTTTCAGAGAATGTGTATTATCCATTTACTGTACATTTTGACCCAAAGTTTCAATATCTCATTCTGACTACTAAAAGTTTTGGGGTTGCTCCAGATCGAGAACATGTCATACCTGGACCAGGTGAATAATAATGGGAAATCTATCAAAAATATATTTTTCTCAACCCTTCAATATTTGCAGGTGGTTGGGTGAGCAGGACATCTACATCAGGAACACCATGTAACCGTATCAACAACACCATATCCTTAAGAATCCCAACACTTGCTAGAAGACAAACCTGGTCAAAGTTTTGGGAATCGTCATCGCAATCAAGAAAGATGTCTAAACTACATATGCCAAGCGTTGCATATTCCGCGACGTCATTAGCTGCTGCGATGATGAACTCAGTGTTTATGTTTTATTATGTAAAAGTTTTTCTCAACAGATATAATATATCTCAGTGGTGGTTTGAAGTTGCACAAATAATCTTTATGATTTGGAATGCAATAAATGATCCATTGTTTGGGTATTGGCAAGACAATGCGACTTGGACATGTGTGAAAAGTCGTCGACATTCCATCCTATATGGAGCACCGTTTTTCGCATTGAGTTTCCTTGGACCTTGGTTTCCTTGGGGTTCCTATGGAAAAGACAGTATAATGTGTGGAATTCACCTAATTACAGCACTATGTATATATGATGCCTTATTCACATTTGTACTTCTTGCCCAGTGTGCATTATTCACAGAGATGTCGAAAAGACATGAAGATCGCTTACGATTAGTGAAATATTCCCAAGTTGGATCTCTAATTGGCTCTATGAGTGTATTTATCTGTGATATGGCGTCAAATAACCTAGAAAATTTTCTAACATTCCAAGGGGTCTGCATTGCTATAGCAATAATTGCATATGTTTGTATGACATACACAGGTAAAAATGCGAACACTATATATGATATACAGCTACTAGGTGCTGTTGAGGAATCAGATAGTTCCACACGTATCAAAGACTCCTCGGGAGAAATGCTACGCGATTCAGAATCGGACTCCATGTGGTCACTTACTTTACAAATCATCAGAGATCGCAACTTCATATGTTTTGTACTTATGAACTTCTGCCAGGTGTTTCATACGACATTTAACGCCAATTTTATCTCAATCTTAGTGGATAATCTCATTCCTAAAGAACAGCTCCCAAGTGCCATGAGAAGCAGCTTCTATGCTGTCCTAATGATATTTCCACAGGTAAGATCCAAAAACCAATATAATTGGGCATAAGGCCATTCAAAGTTCACCATATATGTTTAATATTCCTTTGAGGGGTATAATCTGAGGAAAATGAGTGAAACATATTTTGTATGCTTTTTATTATGTCACAAACAAAAAATGGTTACATATTGTTATGGTCTCTGTTTTTTGTGGCGGTGGTTGGTGGTTGGTGATCGGCGGTTGGTGTCTGTAAAAAGGGTCATTTTCAATTTGTGTCAAATTGACCTTTTTTTTAAATTCATCATTTCAGATTTGACATTTGGTTGACCTTCAGTGACCTTTGATAGTTTATTTTTCAAATTGATTTTTTGGATCCAAATTTTAGTTAGCTGTTATCACAAAATACCTACCAAGTTGGGACAACATCTGTAGCATTTGTTACACTTTTGTAACCATTTGCAGGTTTTGTCATGTTAAAGCCTTGTTGGAATATTTTGCCTGATTTCCAGTTCTTTCCAAAATAAGCAATAAACTGTTGTGTACTTTATTTGCAGCTGATAGTGATATTTGGCGCTTCACTGGTATCTAGTGTTGGATCTTACAAAATTATCAGAATGAACTTTATATTGAAGATTATAATTGGCCTTATGGTGTACGCTGTAGGGATCATACACCCTGTCTTTCTCCTAATATTCTTCCTAATTGATAGGTGAGTGATATAACTGACTGCTCAAGCACAAATGATGTCAGTAAAACTAAATTATATTTATTTATAAATCTAATTTTAGTGAATATATCAAAATTTTATTGACAATGAAGGGTGGGTTAATATATTAAGATAATTATTAAATTTAGAATGAAAAACTAAAAACTAAAGTAAAATATGTTTACTTTGGCCAGTTAAAAATTATATTGTGAGAAAACATGAAATGTTGTACGCACTGTAACGTGTTTCTGTTAATTTCAGTGGACTGTCCAGTGCAACATTTTCCTTGTTCAACATCTCACTGTCAGATATCATAGATGATGATGTAGAAAAATATGGAAGAAGGTATGGCATAATTGTTAGTATAGACTCTGGTCTTTTTCATGTTGAATAGATCAGGCAAATGAATGAGAACAACAGACAAAAATCCTGAATTCAGCCTCGGCCCTGTCATTTGTATGCTCATTTTGTAAAGTGAAATAAAGAAACTGGAAAAACCAAGACAGTCATGGAGACTGTTACTAATCGAAAAAAAAATCTGGAATCTTTTTTATTTCTTTTTAAAATTCGTATGAGTTTGTATAATACACTGTATCAAAACTTAGTCAACCATATTCATACCCAAATGCCAGTTTTTAGTAAATAATCCAATTTTCTGCCTTATGATATATCCTTAATAATATACATATAGGTTATTTCATGCTTGATTTTCAATATGAATTTTATTTCAGGGTAATATGATATTGACCGAGGGAAATATGATATTGACCGAACGAGCGTAGCGAGTAGAAAAAATGAAAATTTTTGAAAAAAACGATTCAGAAATGAAAATATTTGAAAAAATGAAAATCTTTGAAAAAATGAAACTGATTTTTTTGAAAAAATGAACTTTTTTGAGAAAAATAGGGACAATATGATTTTTCGAGTATATATGATTTTTTTTCCAGGGACAATAAATTTGATATCTTTTGTGCTGAAAAAATAATTTGCAAAAGTGTACTCATTGACACAACATTTGTTTCAGGCACCCTCTCTCCTCCATGATATTTGGTACAAATGCACTCATTACAAAACCAGCGCAGTCTTTTGCACCAATGATAGCAGTAGCCATTTTGAATCAGTTTGGTTACAATGCGCTAAAAGAGGGAACATTGAATTCTGGCTCAGGATTACAAGAACTTCATGCAGCAATGTTTGCCATGGCAACGATTTTGCCAGTCATTTTGGGTGCAGTACAGTTGCTCGTGTGGAGCCAGTATAGCCTTAGATCAAGCCACAAAGCCATCCCAAAATATATTGAAACATAAATACATGTATGAGTAACATTAAAGAAAATTATTTTTTTATCATATGAAATTATTTAAACTGCATATTTATTTTTATTTGAATCAACACTTTGCTGTGGCAAAGAACAGTAAAGAAATCAATATATTTTTACAAGAATGGAATTTACTTTTATAACACATAATGAGTTACATGTATTATTTAAACTGATCTAAGTCATTTTCCTATCCGTATTGTATTTATGCAGCTTCAAGAGGGAATAAAGGGTGGGGTTGAGTACAGGATATCCAATCTGTCATTTTTACAATTCAATTGAGATTTACCAGTCTAAGAATTATAAATTTATTGCATTAAAATACCTTAATTTTCAAGGTTATCGGGCAATTATTCTGAAAAAGTGAAACTGCAGTTTTCTTAAATATGGACATTCCTGCATCAAAATCTTCAATTATTTTATTATTTTATTATCCCAGATATCAGCTGTATGATTGTAAGGGCCATATTGTATTTCTAAGGGTTCTAAATGTATATCTTCAATTTGTGTTGAAACATAAAGGGACTTTATAGACAAATTGCAGTAGCATTCAAGTGAAGAATCTAAAGCTTGTAAAGGTATGCAAAATGAAGATATTATACCTGGAATTTAAATTCTTGAAAATGTTAAGAGATGAATTTGCACAAATTATATACTTCCTGTTAGAGATCTTTTACAATAGCAGCTAAGTTGAAATGAACAATACATTTATAAATGATCAAATATGATCTAGCCAAAACTTTTCATGTTTTCACTAGTATTGTTGATATTTTTATAATTGATCATAGCCATGTCAAGACAGCTATTGGCTCGTAAGGAATAACCCTTCAACAGTTTAACAAGTAGCTTCCTTTAGACATTTATCCTCTATGATGTGAAATAAACAAGAGGAACAAATGTCCCTTATCCCTCACACATCCAGTTACAATAAACTTGTAATGGAACACCACCATAAGCGAAACAGGTCAGAACTCAGTTACTCATTAACTTATTGCAGAATGCACCTTTGTAGTTGTAACACTATTTTGAGGTACTATTTTGATATCCATGATATCAATATATCATTGTATTTGAGAACATATCAGTTCATCATTGTAAAAAAACACTATTTTGAGGTACTAATTTGATATCCATGATATCAATACTAGTACATCATTGTATTTGAGAACACAATTGTAAAAAAACACAAACTATTTTGAGGTACTATTTTGATATCCATGATATCAATACATCATTGTATTTGAGAACATATATTAGTTCATCATTGTAAAAAAACACACACTATTTTGAGGTGCTATTTTGATATCCATGATATCAATACATCATTGTATTTGAGAACACATACCAGTTCATCATTGTAAAAAAAACTATTTTGAGGTATTATTTTGATATCCATGATATCGATACATCATTGTATTTGAGAACACATATCAGTTAATCATTGTATATAAAAAAAAACTGTTTTGAGGTACTATTTTGATACCCACGATATCAATACATCATTGTATTTGAGAACACATATCAGTTTATCATTGTAAAAAACAACACTATTTTGAGGTACTATTTTGATATCTTTGATATCAATACATCATTGTATTTGAGAACAAATATCAGTTCATCATTGTAAAAAAACACTATTTTGAGGTACTATTTTGATATCCATGATATCAATACATCATTGTATTTGAGAACAAATATCAGTTCATAATTGTAAAAAAACACTATTTTGAGGTACTATTTTGATATCCATGATATCAATACATCATTGTATTTGAGAACAAATATCAGTTCATCATTGAAAAAACAACACAACTATTTTGAGGTACTATTTTGATATCCATGATATCAATACATCATTGTATTTGAGAACAAATATCAGTTCATCATTGAAAAAATTAGAACCGTGGGTACTGGGCTCACATGGTGACAGAAAAAAATGGATATAATTTTTTGCTGATTTTTTGTAACAAAATTATTTTAAGCCACTTGCCACTATTTTGGACTGACTGAGAGACAGATGGACAAATCGATGTTAAGTAAAATGGCTGAAAAAAAACGGATATAATTTTTTGCAAATTATTTGTAACAAAACTATTTCATACAACTACTCTTTACAGTGACATGGCTTTTTGCAATGCAAGACACCTGAAATTATTTGTAAAGCTAGGAAATGGGCCAAAATTGAATTTCGCAAGACAAAAATGGCGACCATTTTGAAATCAGGCAAGCTTTTGAACCAGGAGTCATAGGGGAGTTTTTTTTTGTATTGATGTTGAACAAAAATAACTTGAAACTGGAATCCTATCGACAGAGGTTTTAAGCAAATGGTCCAAAAGAGGATTTCGCGAGACAGATGGACAAATCAATGTTAACTAAAATGGCTGAAGATAAAAAACGGATATAATATTTTGCCGATTTTTCGTAACAAAATTATTTCATACATCTACTCTTTACATTGACATGGATTTTTACAATGTAGGACACTCGAAATTATTTGTAAAGCTAGGAAATGGGTCAAAAGTGAATTTGAATTTCGCGAGACAAAAATGGCGGCCATTTTGAAAATAGGCGAGCTTTTGAACCAGGAGTCATAGGGGAGTTTTCTGTATTGATGTTGAACAGAAATAACTTAAAACAGGAATCCTATCGACAGAGGTTTTAAAACGTGCCACTGTTATTGAGGGAAAGTGGATTTCGCGAGTCAGATAGACAAATCAATGTTAACTAAAATGGCTGAAAATAAAAAAATGGATATAATTTTTCGCTGATTTTTTGTAACAAAATTATTTCATATATCTACCCTTTACATTGACATGGATTTTTACTATGTAGGACACCTGAAATTATTTGCAAAGCTAGGAAATGGGTCAAAAGTGAATTTCGCGAGACAAAAGTGACAGCCATTTTGAAAATAGGCGAGCTTTTGAACCAGGAGTCATAGGGGAGTTTTCTGTATTGATGTTGAACAGAAATAACTTAAAACAGGAATCCTATCGACAGAGGTTTTAAAACGTGCCACTATTGTTGACGGACAGACAGACGGACGGACGGACAGACGGACAAGTGAGTGATTGCGAAAGCTCACCATGTGAGCTAAAAACAACATAACTATTTTGATGTACTATTTTGATATCCATGATATCAATACATCATTATCCCAACGAACGAAGTTCGGGAGGGATATAGTGAAGCCCTCCGTCCGTCCGTCAGTCCGTCATTCAGTCAGTCAGTCAGTCTGTCCGTCTGTCCGGAAGATAACTCAAATACTAGTAGACAGATTTCCTTCATATTTAGTGGAAAGATGTATATTGGTGAACAGTTTTACGCAAAAAAAAAAATTTTCAAAATGGCCGCCGCTTTAAAAATGACGGGACTTTTTCGCAAAAATCATAAATTTTTCATTCTAAACTAAAGTAATTAATATTATTGTTTGAAATTCTGGTAGTATATTCACAACATTTATCTATTTCACATATATTCCGTGTTTTTCATCCTGACCCCCAGGGGCCGTGTATGGGGGGAAAGGAAAATAGAAATTTTTGCTAATTTTTAGATCTTTCTGAAGTATAGCTTTATTATACTCAAATGAAAGGCAATTAAGAGTAGATTGCAAATATTGTATCTTTTTCTGATTCGAGCCTCGTAAAATTCAAAATGGCCATCTAATCTACGATTTTGCAATAATTTTTCGATCCCTTCAAAGTATGGCTATATTATACTCAAATTGAAGGAATTTCGGAGTAGATCACAATTATGGTATTATTTTTCAGATTTGAACCTCATAAAATTCAAAATGGCTGCTTTGCAGGAATTCGCAATTCTAAAATCTAATTTTTTCAATTTTAACCAAAGTAATGAGTATAATTGATTGTAATTCGGTAATTGATATTTTGTTCGTTGGGATTTGCTACTCCGCGGAGTTGCCATTATCTAGTTGTATTTGAGAACTCATATGAGTTCATCATTGTAAAAAAAACACTATTTTGATATCCATGATATCAATACATGTACATCATTGTATTTGAGAACACATATCAGTTCACCATTGTAAAAGATTCAATTCAATAGAGTGGCAAGTGGGGCCAAATTGTATCTATATTATGGAATCATTTCATATTTATCTAAATTGTGATATGTGAACAGTAACATGTTCTAGACGCACCTATAATAATTTAATTTTAGCGTGCCATCGTTTCAAAGATGTAGATTCTAAATAAATAATAAATAAATCAGTTTATCCTTGTAAAAGATTCAATTCAATCAAGTTGCAAGTGGTGCCAAATTGTATCTATATTATGAAATGATTTCATATTGATCTAAATTGGGATATGTGAACAGTAAAACCTGTGTACAATTTCAGTAGGCCTTTTATGAAATTAATACAGTAGTTAAAAATTATTTTCTTTTTAGTAGTTTTTTAAAAATGTATCCCAAGCTTACCATTCTGCATTATACTTTAGACCATGCTTGGGGTCCATTATGTTCTATTTAAATTCTCTTTAACTGTTAAAACTATATAGCTTATTATGGGGAATTGTATATGATTGTATCTACGGTAATGCTTTGTAGTAAAAATGTTGGTAGAGCTCCACTCAAAAAGAACAAAAATGGCTCAACCCAATACTGTAAATTGCTTTAATTCGGCGCTATTAAATTTGGTGGATTGACCATCATAGGTATTACTAGATTAGTACTCACTTCACAGCTTGCCAACGATTTGTCTAAACCAACAGGTTCTAGTTTAAAATTGACATTTTATCTGTGTTTTTCCAGATTTTCACAAGGGGGGCTGGCAGCGACTTAATTAAAACTACTGTCGAATTAAAGCAATTTATAGTACCAAGTAGATTTCAATGTGGATTATGTGAGATGTGTAGGTGGGTTTGGTGTCTTGCCATTTGATTTATTTTGTATAAACAGAAATGTAACATTCCAGAATTTGTGTGTAACACATGTAATTATACTAATTAAGCACATTGCTAGTGCACAGTATATTTAAAGTGCAATATATAATTATCTAAAAAAATACTTATAAAGTGTATTTTGTAAAAAGTAAATAAATGAGTAAATTACACCAAAACATATTACATTGTTTTTGCTTTTATTTTGTCATTTGATTTCATTTGTTACATAATCTTCCAAAATTAATTACTGACTTTATCTCTTACTCATGTGTCCATTGCGTCAACCCAGAGAGGCTACCCTTCAACTTAAGCATACTTTTTATTTCATCCATACAAATGTTCCATCTCTAAGACACAAGCTTTTAAGCTGAGTACTTATCCTATACAAAACAAATGTCCAGTAGAAAAAAATGTCCAGTTACCAGTATCACTAGTCTTCAAACTGTGTCCTTATTTAATGTAAGTGTCCAGTCTTATGACACTACTAACAAACCAAGGTTGAAATGCTGTCTTCCTAGACACTCTAACCTCCTTTTCTCCAAGTAAAGCTGTGCACTTATCCCATATAAATGTCTTGTCCAAGTGATACATCATTAAATGAGAAGAATGATACATCCCCGCTATCTATGACAGCCCAGTGGAGAGGTACGCCATCTTTTGTCTGGTGTAAAGAACTAAGTATGGCCAAATCTGGTGGTGGATCTTCAACCCTGAAAATGAACGGAAGAAATCATAATGTAAGACTTAGACTGAACATTTTGAATATGAAGGTGAGAGCGTCTATTGGGGCCAAGGCAGGAATGAAAGACTTTGGAAATCTCAAGACCAGGCAGCAAAGTAGGATTTGCTCTGATTTGAGCTCAGGTCCCATCTCATTTACGTGATTATATTCTAGCTGTGGTTAGCTTTAACGTGAGCAAAAAACAAATCACATTAAAAGCCAAAATACTGTCAAAATAGGCTTGAAAACACTTTTGCTCCAATTTGAAGTTTAAAATGATCATTAAAAAACTGGCATATCAACTGGCCATCTGTGGGCAGAACTTTGAAGTTGAAGATTTTACACCCAGAAAATATACTAAACACTGAAATTACTACTACTACTAGTATTGAATTTAACCATAAAGAAGGTAAGTAAAAGAGGGAGAAAGAAGTTGGTAGATGTACCTGGTGACAACTATCCTGTGATTGGGCAGTCCAGGATTAGACTTCTTATATTGCAAGGAAGGTAGGTAGACATCAAAGCTGATTTTAGGGGCATCCGTCACACTGTAAGAAAAACTGGCCATTTCAAATCCAAATAAGATGTATCCAGATCATAGAAATAGTAAGGCAAATATATAAAGATTATGTGATGGGTGGTTTGAATAATATATGTAAATCCTGAGAGACCGAGGAAGATACATTTTTTCCCCTGGGGATAAACCCTGTGATTAAAACTGACCATACATAGCACTCCTTAAATACAATAGATATTCTGATCCAGTATATCATCTCCTTAAAACCTTAGTAGGTATGGGATACACTACTATTTGTTGCTTATGTTTATTATTCAAAGTCACATGAAATAAAATATTTCTATATTTAGGCTATTTGAAAATACTGTTGAGTTCATTTAGCTGTACTGTGTCTTTAGGCCCTCACAAATAAAATATGTGTTAATTAGCAGAACCTATGATCTAGTCACACAAAAATTAATCTGAGAGGGTTCATGTTTTCTGACTACATACTCTGGAAATTCACCAGATCAAAGAATCATTTCTTATTCAAAGAGTGAATGTGAAGTCAGCCTCTTGGGAAGGGTATGGTCATGAATCTTACCTGCAATTCATGTTAGAAAAATGGATATTTTCAACTACCTTTAGTCGACCAAGGATTGATGCTGAAAAAAACAAAATAATATGTAGTGTATTGAGATAATGATAAAATGAAACTTGTATGGCATTTCCCTTAATCTACTGTAAATATATCATTGCAAAAACAGATGGTGTCAGATATCTGTTTCTCCTAAAAATTCCTACAAATACAAGGTAAAGAGTCCATATTTGGTCTATTAGCCCAACCAATGAAAAACTAAAATATATTTTCTAAACATACCTGTGGATCTAGCATTACTTGGTCTGACAAGGGGGACCACATCACCTTTCCAAAGGGGTCCTCCTGGAGACCCCTTCAACTCCTCAAGATCAGTCTCCTTTTTACATTTCTTGGGTTCGAGTTTATACTCACTCCAACATCTACAATTTGTCGACTTTCTAACAACTCCCGCCATCTGAGGGAATGAGAATTGAAGCACAGTATTAGATGCTTCTAAATCACGCTGTCTAGCTTGTCTTGATTTTTTTCTTTCTTCTAACTGTAACTGTTTCGCAGTTAACTTTTTTGGCCATATTGTTAACTTTTCAAGATTTAAGATTGTTGATTCAGTATTAAATTCTAAATCAGGAGGTAGGAATTCTGGGGAACAGTTAGTTATTTCTATGCAATTTCCTTTGCCAGCAATATTTGGGAATGGGTGAATATTTTCATAGTCCCAGATAAACAGATGTGGATCAGTTCTCATAGTATCCTTACTACTCCTGGCCTTATCAATAGAGGCTGATATTTGTGTTTTTTGTACTTTTGCTATATTGGAATCAATCAGATGATCAATATGAGGTGTGTCATCCATTTGAACATCATCAGTACTATTAGGTACATTATAATCAGTGTTCACTCGGGTTCGTTTATCATTATTTAAAATTGCATCACATTTCATTTCCTTTGTTTCCACTTTGTCATCCTTCATTTGCACATCACTGTTTTTTATAACTTTATCAGTATCATTCTTTTCTTCTGAATTCTTGCATTTCTTAGAATCTTTGTTTGTATTTTGTTTGTTTTTCCGTTTCTTTGTTGTAGAGTCAGTTAATCCAATTAGTCTTTCATATAATGTAATGTCAGGTCTGAAAATATAAAAATGGTCAGTGATCTCCATAGCATCGGAGAAACAGGGTTCTGGACCCCGTTAAAATCTATTTTTATCCTATTAAAATGGTGAATTATCAAAATATTTTAGCCAAAATAGATAATAATTTTAGGAGCTAGATAACAGCACCGCAAAAGTTTAGCGAATCATTGAGGAAAAACAAGCGAGAGTCATATATGAAGATACAAGTATGTGTACACATTGTCAAGTTGTCAGGTTCAATAAAACTAATAAATGAACTTAAGTGTCTGATTTCATTAAACAAATTACTATATTGTATTTATAATCACAAATCATTAATTACAAAAATAGACAAAGTAGAAAGTACACTAATACTACACATAAAACTGGACGGCTGATGCTGCAAAACATGCACACTGGATACGTGGAAGGTTACTGGGCTTATGCTTTACGTAGACGGACGTTATGGTAGATGATACAATACACGTGAACTATCGAGAGTCTAATATCACGTTCACCACGTGAAGATACTGGCTGGACGTGTTGGTAGAGTCGGTTTATATTCACATCGACGTTACTGGATAAGACTCTATGAATGTGATAATAGTCACTTGGTTTTATGCTGTACGTAGACAGACGTTATAGTAGATAATGCATTGCACGTGAATTAACGAGAGTCTAATATCATATCATTAATTATTTGTGATTATAAATACAATATAGTAATTTGTTTAATGAAATCAGACACTTAAGTTCATTTATTAGTTTTATTGAACCTGACAACTTGACACACATACAGGAATATTTTAATAACTATAATTTATTGATTGTGATTGGTTTAAACAATCTCTCTCTTCATACCTTTTCGAAATGAACTATCAATTTCAGTATACGTTGTGCAAGGGCACATTGCAAGACCTCATACCTACCCTTGACTAAAATGTGTTATCTATATTATTTACTAAATGTATAAAGCACACAGCGAACATACCTATGTGAGTATCTATGTACCAAGTATCCCATTCTACAAAGATGTGAATACACCAGGTATTTGTCTTCAGAATGCTCTTCAGCCAAGAGAGTAGAATATGCCTGCTGTAGACTCATTGGAACATCATTATACACAATTTCTAAGTTGCCCTGAAATATTATAATTTACATTAAATAATACATAGGCGTACGCGTAGCCAGGCATGACGCAGATGAGGCAACTGAGGCCAAAATGTTCGAAAACTAATGATAGTACATGTATCCTGTTGCTTTCAACTCACCTATCATGTTGCTGTTTTGCCTCACCTATTTAAATTTGCCTCACCTATTTTATGATCCAGGCTATGGCCTTGTATTAATGGTCATATATGAAATCCAAAAATTGTGTTTTCATTTCACTCCATCTGTTTTCTGATTTTGGAGTTTCTATGTAATCATTAAATCATCTGAGGATGTATAGAAAATCATAAATTGATTTCAGACTCACCATTTCCATGAGGAATACAGCCTCCTCAGGATATAATAGCAACTTCCCATCTTCTACATACCCGACATGCTGCCAGAATTTCACCTAAAAGGAATTTACAACTTTTTGTGATGCATTGCTGAAATACAGTCCTTAACTCATTTGTCTGGGAAAGAAAAATAAGACATTTGATCAGATACCTCTATTCCTTTTTTCAAAATAAATTAAGATTGAGGGGAAAGAATTTGTGTGAGTGTTGAAAATATTGCTTCCAACAAATTTCCCTCTTCATGACTATCTGTTCAAATTTCTAAATAACATCAATCAGTGACTCACTAACATTTGAGGTTTTGAATGGAAGAGTACATTTATTGCACAAAGCAGAAACAGAACTCATCAAAAACTAAAAAATAGTTAATATTTCCCTTACTTGTTTTTCTAGTTCAACAATCTTATTTGCAGGATTCCAATGGGCCCTTGCCAACAATCCTCTGTAATTATACAACATTATATATATATAGCATTAAATACAGTAAAATAAGTTGCAACTTGATATTTAACAAATGAGTCCAAGGTCAACTGGCCCAATTATGTACTCATTCAGCACTTCAATTATTCAAATCATTAATTTATTGTGAATTTTGTAATAAATATTTCAAACAGACCAAAAATTTGTAAATACATGAATTTGGATTGAAGATAAAAAAATTATACATGTATACAGGGTGGTCCAAAAAATTGGAACATTTGATAATTGAACTCAAAATCGCTATTCTTCCTGTAAAATGCACCAAAATTTTGCTGTTCAGTCACTTATTTATCTGATGTAAAGTTTATAGGTGCAAACAACAAATAGTTAATGCATTAAACTAGACAATGTTTGATATGACCCCTCTTCTCTTGAATTACAAGTTCAAGCCTGGGACTCCGTTTTGAAATGATTAATTCAGTTTGCTGTTTGTTTGTTTGTCCAAGCAATCTTGATTAAAAAATTCAGCTTGACCAAACTTCTTACATGTTTGCCTTGGAAGATCAAATCTAGTAACATATTCAACATTTTTTCATCTAAATTGTTGAGTATCAAGCATATTTTGATAGCTATTGTAATATTGTTGGGTGTATTACTGATTGAATATTCTCAAGAAAGAGACCAGGGCAGTCCGTTTTGACTGGTAAATGAAGATCCATCCCCTTGCTTGTTCTAATTTGAATAATACTCATTGAATATATCAATATATGTATATCAATATCATAAAGGGGCCTCCCAGAACACAAATAATATATTATATAGGCTTAAAGCCTTGTAAATAACTGGTCAGTCACCTCTCTACTGAAAATGGAAACAATGACTTTGTCACGTTGGTAGCTGTATGGGTTTTGCAATCGCCCACCTCTGACATGTTCTTTCTTTCCTACACTTAAATAAAAATAAAGATTTGGGGTATTCTTTAGTTGACAATAAATAACACAGTAGTTTTCTTGTAAACCATAGATATAAATACCTCTTGTCAACTGAATATGATTTTGCCAAATGTGTATAGCAATCAACATGTTCATTAAAGCTTTGAAATAATGAATACTTGAAAAAGTAGCGGCGAAATTGACAAGTGTATATTTGAGAAAAGGGGGTCCTATGAAACATTGACTAGTTTAAGGTGTTAACTCTAACTTTACATCAGATAAATAAGTGGGCATAAATGACTGACCTATGCTCAGTAAAATTTTGGTGCATTTTAGATGAAAAATAAAGGTTTTGCGTTCAATTAACAAATGTTCCAATTTTTTTGGACCACCCTGTATAATATGAAATCCATTGTTCTTTAACTTATTTCACTCTATATTTCTATACCACAAAAAGTGAGGAAAAGAAAATTAACAGAGGCATTCTCAAAATGCATTTCGTTCGTTGCGTACCTTCAAGTAAAGGAGGCATGGATTGCACTGAACTAAAGGCTTGGAGATTGTAACAGAGGGGAGTACAGCATGTGTACTTACAATTTTTCAACACGCTCTTCATTCAAGAGATCTTGTCTATCTTCATAATACTTTTCTATTCGTTTTTCTTGAAGCCATGAGCCATCAGGTGCAAATTCTTTTTGGACTCCTCCACTTCTTTGAGGTAGTTCTTGATCTGCCACTTTACGTCTTTTAATAAGTTCTTCAGCACTTAAAAAACAAAAAATTAACAGTCCAGGTCATACAAGGTTATAAATATGTATCACATTTACTGTTAATCATTTTAAGTAACAGAATTGAATCTAGTTGCATAAACTGCAACAAGTCCACCAAACATCTTAATGAAGATATGATCTAGACTACATGTGTCATAGGGCTTTTTCCTTTTTAAAACCACATAAAACAGTGTGAATAGCTCCCTGTGGGCAAAGGTAATGTAACGAATTGCTACTACAGGATAGTACAGCTATATTGGCTTAAGCCTTTATAGCTCAGTTGGTAATGGTAGAGCACCAGGCTTTGAATCTAAGGATCTTGGGTTTGATTCACACATGGAGCATTCACTTTCTTTCATGCCTGTATCTGACCAGGGTTCTCATACTTGCTACCCTGGCAAGTATAATTGAGGTATTATTTTATGAAGTTATCAATAATTTCAAAGACATGTGTTTCAATGGTCAAGGGTAATCCATCATAGGCATAGCCAGGGGGGAGCGATGGGTAGGGCTTTAAAATGCATTTTATTTTAAACTTCTAGCTCAATTTTGAAGGAAGTTACATCAACTTTTGTAAAATTCAAGATAAATCTTAATTTTTTGGCTTGTTTATGCCACAATCGCACCCCCCCCCCCTGACTGTCTGGAAACCAAAATTGTTTTGGTGCTCCCCTGACTGAAAGCTGGCTACGCCCCTGTCCATGATGTAACAAGGTCATTCAAGCCTGGCAGAATGCTCATACTTTTTTAATATACTTAACAAAAATGTCAAATAAAGACAAACCATCAATTTACTAGATGCAATAACAAGTACCGGGACACTCTGAGAGTCTTACGAAATACCTCTACTGAGATTACAGCTGACAAACAAGCTAGACACAAGGTGGAAATTGGGTTATTAAAAAGGTACATGTACTTTCGATTTATTTTTTACTGGCCTTCATTCAAGCAACCAATCCATTTTGAAGAAAGGACCAGTGCCATCTATGAGATTTTTCAAGACACGTGTGTCAAAAATTTATCCAATCCACAACTACAAGTAAATCCCAATATTAACCAATTGGGAAAAATCCCACTTGCCCCATTGAGTCCTTCCTTGCCCCATCGAATCCCAACTTGCCCGATCAAATCAGGAGACCATTGTGCAATAAAATACATGTAAAGTATATTCATATTGTACATGAATGACAATTGTTTATTGCAATAAGCCTGTGCTCTCTTGTAATTTAAAGAATTTCATCCAAGTTATCTTACTGAAAATAACATGGCAGAGAAGCATCCAAATATAAGAGACCACACACTTTATGAGCTAAACTAAGCAATCCAAAAACAAATGTATGTAGTAGGATCAGAAGCTCAAAGAATAATTCGAATTATTTGAGCCTATGAGATCCTACTACAAAACGATCTGGCCAACATCGTGTATATTATTGCACAATGATCTTTTGATTTCTTATTTTTTAGGTTTTGTACCTCAATATTTTTATCTTTCCCGCCATGATCGCTGAATAAAGGATTCGAAATCCCAGACGAAATGTTAAAAACGTTGATTCATCTTGTACATGGTATCATGTTTTCGTCACGACACCCAGACAAATCCTATAATAAGGATTTTTTAACACTTTAAAAAATATTTCATGGGGGCTGCCATTTTGGATTGGTGTCTCCTACATCTACACACTTGCTATATTTTTCCATTTAAATTTGTGATAATGATACAAATAATCAACTTTCCGTAATAAAATTAATATATTAGTGTCTAAAGCAATAACAACGAATCATAAAAAGCATTAATGGAATGATATTTTTTGTAAACTCCAAAAGAACTGGTAATATTTGGGAACCATTACTTCATTATGAGACACTTGATTTGTTTACCCGCCATATTGGATTCTGCAAAAATTTAAATGAAAATCCCAAATCTTTTGCTCGTTTTGCATTACTAGGCAAAATAGAGGTTGGACATGGATCGTAAGTACACTTGAAAAGTAGAATTAAATTATTGACAAAATGTTCTGTACATTTTACGTGTCGTTTTTGTTTACATCCCAGTTTACTACCCTTTTCATCGCCTGACTTACTCACTTTGAGAGATGTGTACAGTGGGGGACATAAAGAATTACAAAAGCTATGGAAATTACATTCTGTCGCACATGTAATAAATTCTTACCTCAGTGTATTCAGTGCTCTATTTTCGCCGTCCTAAGTCCAGATATAGTTAGGTGCATTCATGCACCCTCTGGGTCTCTGAGGATCGTGTTGGCCTAATGTAAGTCCATACGACAATCCAGCGCATTAGAGGCGGTGTTCACTGTCTAGATATAGTGGAATTCGTGTCCATAATGACAAATAAGAACTTAAAAATTTGAAGTGGAATTCACATGCTAATGCAGACTCTTCAAATATTGAGGTGATTTTGGAGCCCGTTTGCGCCGCAATGTGGATTGGCTCCCAGAATGCAACATGACACGTGTCAGCTTTCAAAATGCCGTTCCGCCATTTTGAAATCTGTCACGAGTAAATAAGGTTACCTGATGTTGCATTCTGGGAGTCAATCCTCCTTGGATCACAAATATGGCGAATCATGAAAACATTCGTTCGATTTGGGATTTATCCATCATTTGCAGGTATGAAGCTTTGGATTCATTTATTGTGCTACTTAATGTGAATGGGAATTATTTTTCTACCGCTTGGGAGAGTTTCAGGCACGAAACTTAGAATTTAGCTCATTGTGACAACTTTTGATGGTTGAGGTTTATTTTTGTCCCCCACTTTAACACTCACATGTCGAAGTTAAGTTCTTGCCTTTTTTAACGCGCAACAAGGAGTAACTTATGGCTCTCCCACGGAGCACTGGACAGCTGAATAATAGTGACCTTTAAAATACGAATTTATATGATCAGCGGCTTATATATTGCACAGAAGGATGATAATGATGTATAATGAAGGTACAGGGTGTCCAAAAAAAACAGGACCGTAAGAAAGTTGAATAACTCGGTCAATTTTGCATATTTTGCCTTGAAATTTCAGAATTATTTAGTTCATTCAATGTGAATTTCGTTGTGAAAGTTTGATAATAATCTACCAATGGAGTCAAAAACTACAGCTCCTTAGGGGCGGGGTCAAAATATCGATGTTCATATGGAGACGAAAGTACTTTCGCGAGGGGGGAGGGGGTTTTTGGGCACTTTCGTTGACCAAAAAAACATCGATAATTCGGATCTGATATACAAAAAATAATTGGACTCTCCCACTTTTTCTGGCGCTATGTTCTGATAAAAAGGCTTGTTTTCAATAGTTCGTGAGCTTTTTTGTGTGATAGGTCCAAAATATCGGTAGATAAAGACGATAATTCGATCATTTTTCAAATAAATTCCGTACTTTTCCCTCCTCCTTTTGAAGAGTTCAATGCAGTTAAATTGCGAACGTGTGTTAATTCACCGTAATAATAACCCGGCAAATAGGATACGATTATGCCTCTCAAAATCAATGTTTTTTTAAGTGACCTAAGCTTTCGTCTAGAGGGGGGGTGGGGGGTTGTTGTCCAAACGAAATTACTTTCGTCTCCATATGAACATTGATATTTTGACCCCGCCCCTTACAAAACATGCCCCAAATGTGCAAATCTCATCTCTATGCACAATTCAATCCGGTGAACAAAGCTGTTGATGATCCTCCTACACACAAGTCTTTCTGAATGGACAAGTTTGTTCCAAGAACAATTGCTACTGGGACTTACATCCCCCTGATGAAGTGTTAAAGCATCCATTGCATTCTGAACAATACACTCCCTGGGTGGCAATGAGGAAACATGGAATCATCAGTCCCTTTTGGTTCGAAGGTGACTGGGGACTTGCTATCACCATGAACAAGGACCAGTAAGTTCTCACCAAGTTTTGGAGGTCACTAAGCACCAGAAGGGACATCTAAGGAGATAATTAAGCAGTGGTTTCAACAAGCTAATACCACCCCAACATTGCAAATGATATGCTGAAATGGTTTAGGCAATGCTTTGGTGGTCAGCTCATCAGTTGCAGAACGCAAACCATATGGGCAGCCTGATCTAAATCCCCCAAATTTTTATCTTTGAGGATTTCTCAAAGCCAATGTGTATACTGACAGGCCCCTAACAATCTTAAGAGGGCAATAACTACCCCAATATTTACCATCCACATTAATGTGTATAGGTAAGGGTCATTAACAACTTTGTTCGCAGGATTCGTTTGTGCATAGAGAGGAGAAGTGCCCACTTTGAGCATGTTTTGTAAAGGACTGTAGTTTTTGACACAATAAATAGATTATCATCAAACTTTCAGAACAAAATTCACATTGAATGAACTAAACAATTCTTAAATATCAAGGCAAAATATGCAAAATTGACCGAGTTATTCAACTTTGTTACGTTCCTGTTTTTTTTTGGACACCCTGTAATACCAGAAAAAAATATTGATATTATCACAATTTTCCACCACTTTTGATCTTGATGAAATAAAAAATCTGAAACACCATGAAATAGTCCAGCAAACCATATGGAATAACAGATTATTTCAATTAAAAGGCAAACCACTTTTCTTAAAATCTTGGATAGATAGTGGTATTATTTATGTCAAAGATCTTATCATTCGAAATGATTTTTTAAATGTAAACTATATTCTAGAAAAATTGAGGAATAAAATAAATTGGATTTCAGAATATTTTCAAGTCTCAATTGCAATGAAATCAATAAAAAAAATCATTAACATAGAACAAGCAAACTTCACAAATATATCAAGAAAACTCAATTTCAAAGTAAAAAATGTTCAATTAGATTTTAGAGGCCAAAAATCCAATTTCTTTTATAACATATTGAAGAATAAAAAATCTGAAAAATGGTTTGTCTCAAAAAAATGGGAAAAAGATTTCTGTATAACAAATCAATGTAAAATAGATGAAATAAATTGGCAGAATTTTTTTGTTAGCAAGATCATCAAGATTAAAGACAAAAAAGTTGCCAATTTTAATTTCAAACTAATTAATAACATACTTCCTGGGTTAACTGACTTATTTATCTATGGTATAACAAATTATTATCATTGTAGTATTTGCAATCACTTATGTGATTTGAAACATATTCTTTTTGAATGTTGTTTGTCAAAGGATATATGGAAATTTATATACAACACATGTGGTCTCAATATTTCGTATAGAAAAATAATAATTGGTTATAATGGCCAAGACTCTCAAACTAATTTTCTGAATTATTTTACAAGTATAGTTGCTTACAGCATTTACAAATCCTACATTTTAGAACTGAATAGTAAAGAACAAAGAACATTTGAAAAGATACTTTTTATGTTAAAATATGAAATTAATTGTAGAAAAAATGTGTATTATTGTTCCAAATGGAATTTATTATCCAAACTACTGCAATGAGATTATGTAAACCTGTTTTTATAAATCATGTACTGTCTATATATTTAGTAAATGAATGAAATAAAGACTATTTTAAAAGAAAAAAAAACAAAACAATTTTCCACCACAATTATTTGTTTGTTTGTAGTTATTTGATGGGGTACATATGTGACTGCCATCGTAGTAAGTTTATGTGATACATGTACGTCATATATTGGAACCACAATCACATCATTTGACAACTTGGCAGTTGCCTTGATGATTTGCCATATAACAAAGGCGGGACTTAGGTCACGTGAATGGTCCAAGCCCGTTCCATAGTACAAAAGGAACTGCCTACTTCGTGGGGGCCTTCATAAAATTAATTCATATGTCAATCCTGTCTGTATACTCACAAATTATTTTTCAGGAGGACGTAAGAAGTGGGGCAAAGCAGATGTGAATCTGAAAATTCCACCAGATGATATTCAGGTGAGTGATGTTGTTCACTCGAGTGATGTTTTGAGTCAGTTGAGTGATTTGTTTCCTTGGTTATCTTATCTTATCATATAGAATGAAACAGAAGACAACAGTCTATATTGGGACTTATTATTAGCTCACATGGTGAGCTATTGCAATCATTCACTTGTCCGTCTGTCTGTCAGTCTGTCAACAATTTGCCAGTTTTAAAACCTCTGTCAATGGGATTCCTGTTTTAAGTTATTTTGTTCAACATCAATTGAGAAAAAACCCCTTATGACTCCTGGTTCAAAAGCTGGCCTATTTTCAAAATGGCCTCCATTTTTGTCTTGCGAAATTCATTTTTAGACCATTTGCTTAAAAACCTGTGTTGCCATTTTTCTAATAAATTTTCTAATCTCAGCATGCCTCGATAAAAATAAGATGACATTTTGCCTGCAATCAAATTTCGACAAGTTGTTAAGAAATCCTTATACATGACTGATCCCCCCAGGCACAAAATGCACTTAAGTTGAAATACATAAGAGATAATCATTATAAAGTATGCAAATATTTTACTTTGTTTACAGAGTAAGCTTTCACAGAAAGAAGTAGACAAAAACTATGAGGAATATCTGTTACTCCTTCAACAGAGGAATAAGTAAGTATCCATGTTTTATAGTACATGTAATTATTATGCAAATATGAGATACATAAGCTGAATTAAAGTGGAATAGGGAAACTAATGCTAAGAAATCATCCTTTATACAACTGAAGGGAAATTAAGATTAACATTTTGCTCTTCCATTTCATGTTATTTTAAAGGCAGAATAACATTAGGCAATAACTAGGTGCGAGTAGAAATAATCTTGATTTACGTCATTAAAAATTTAAAAAAACAGTCAAACTGATGTCATATTTTGAATCGTACATGTAAAACTACATCTAGAAATGTGGTTTTGATAAGTGTTTATCAACTTTGAAAATTTAATTTTCTTTGAAAATGTGACTTCTAGGTCGGGGAGATCCCCCATAGACCCCATGTTGTAAAACCACAAAAAGTGAAATATCTTTTCTTTTGTTGGGCAGATAACATTTTCCTTTACTGGACATATTTTAATTTGTATAACTAAGAGATACATAAGGGTAATATGAAAAGTGAACCACTAAAACTGATGAATATTGAAGTTTAAGGGAACTTTGTAATACCCTGCCATGTTATCTCCCCCGAATCAGCCACCTGGTGGCAAAACTGGTAACTACCTATCGCATCGGAGTAATTAACTTAAATATTTTATACCTTAATCTTAATGTATTTCTTTTTTCAGATTGGTCAAAAAATTGAAACAGAAAAGTCAACAGGAGATTGAACTTGAACAAAAAGAACATGGCTTCAGTCTCTATGTTAATGGTTCCTATGGAAACAGTGGGCCTACAGCTCCCAAGCACAAATCTCCAAAACAGGCAGCCTCAGGAGGGGGAGGGGCTGGTGGAGGGAAATTACGCAAAACTAAAACAGCAGGAGGTAAGGCGGAACAGTTTGACATGATAGACTACATGTGTATTGTTTTATGCCATGTTGTATAAAATGGAAATATTTGTATCATGTCGTTTAAAATCAGCTATTTTTTATTTCCTTAACATTTTTGTACAGTATGCAATAGATGTATGATGTACTTATTTCCCAAAGGTTCTCGCAAGGATTATTTCTGGAGAGGTAGACTAAAAGAAGTTCATGAAGAAGCTGTTTTTAATGTTTGTTAGATATTATATTGAATTTGTTTTGATGTTTTGAGTTTTTAAACATTTGTTAGATTAAGCATATTTGTTTTAAGCGCAATGAATATATTTTGATATATTTCAAGATGTACCCCATCATTATTCTTTGTTTTACATGATCATATATTCAATCAAGGTTTATTTCAAGATGCATCCCATCATTATCCTTTGTCTTACATGATAATATATTCAATCACCATTTATTTCAAGATGTACCCCATCATTATCCTTTGTCTTACATGATCATTTATTCAATCACCATTTATTTCAAGATGCATCCCATCATTATCCTTTGTCTTACATAATCAAATATTCAATCACAATTTATTTCAAGATGCATCTCATCATTATCCTTTGTCTTACATGATCACATATTCAATAACGATTTATTTCAAGATGTACCCCATCATTATCCTTTGTCTTACATGATCATATATTCAATCACGATTTATTTCAAGATGCATCCCATCATTATCCTTTCTCTTACACGATCATATATTCAATCGCGATTTATTTCAAGATGTACCCCATCATTATCCTTTGTCTTACATGATCATATATTCAATCACGATTTATTTCAAGATATCCCATCATTATCCTTTGTCTAACATGATCATATATTCAATCGCGATTTATTTCAAGATGCATCCCATCATTATCCTTTGTCTTTCATGATCATATATTCAATCATGATTTATTTCAAGATGCACCCCATCATTATCCTTTGTCTTACACAATCATATATTCAATCGTGATTTATTTCAAGATGCACCCCATCATTATCCTTTGTCTTACACGATCATATATTCAATCGTGATTTATTTCAAGATGCACCCCATCATTATTGTCCTTTGCACTACATGATCATATATTCAATCGTGATTTATTTCAAGATACACCCCATCATTATTATCCTTTGTCTTACATGATCATATATTCAATCGCGATTTATTTCAAGATGCACCCCATCATTATCCTTTGTCTTACACGATCATATATTCAATCACGATTTATTTCAAGATGTACCCCATCATTATCCTTTGTCTTACATGATCATAAATTCAATAGCGATTTATTTCAAGATGTACCCCATCATTATGCTTTGTCTTACATGATCATATATTCAATCGTGATTTATTTCAAGATGTACCCCATCATTATCATCTGTCTTACATGATCATATATTCAATCGTGATTTATTTCAAGATGCACCCAGTCATTATCTTTTGTCTTACACGATCATATATTCAATCACGATTTATTTCAAGATGCACCTCGTGCTAAGCAGATCATAACTGAAGAGGAGTTACTTAAAGCTGAGGAAAAATTCAAAGAGTTGGAAGCTGCAAAACGTGCCAGGACTGCACCAGCTCCAAGGAAGAATTGGCTTGCAGGTTCCATTGACATCAAGACTAGAAAAGGAGAAAAGGTCAAAGTCAAGGCTCCAAGTAAGCAAAAATCTGTTTTTAATTAACACCACTCGTGTCATCTTCCATAAAGCAAAAATCTGTTTTAAATTAACACCACTAGTGTCATCTTCCATAAAGCAAAAATCTGTTTTAAATTAACACCACTAGTGTCATCTTCCATAAAGCAAAAATCTGAATTGAATTAACACCACTCGTGTCATCTTCCATTTTGATTATGTCACTACCAAAAGTGGTGACATATTGTTATAAGTCTCCATCATTTCTAATGACAGTGTTTGATGGGTGGTGTTGGGAGTTTGGCGTCTGTTACAAATTGCAGATGGTGACATTTTGCATGTTAATGCCTTGTATGATTCTGTTGCTGTTGAACCTGTTACAAATATATACTTTTATAACATACCTATGATGATGTATAGTGTAAACTGTTCACAAGACAGCGGGCCAATATAACTTTTGAAAAGCCTGTGCCCGCTAACTTTCTGATTGGTCAAGCGCTGTTACTGCGTCATACATTAGGCCTAGGTCAAATTGACTTGTACATTCGTAAGATACAAACATGGGAATAAATCATCAATTCCAAACCATTGCTAGTCAATTAGATAAGAAAACAGTACTCTCTGACCAGACTAGATCATCATAGGTATGTTATAAATCGTTTATGTCACTATAGTTGCACATATGCCCTCGGTTCTCAGTGATCAATGTCCCTCCCAAGGTTGGGCCATATATCACTGAAACCCTCGGGCATATATGCAACGATAGTGACAAAACCTCTAAATATTTGCCAGAATCCCAATGAGGGACTATTTTCATCCATTATAGGTGGGGCACCATCTCTATGATAATCATCATCATATACGCATATATGTATCATCATTTTAATATTTTTTAAGGTAAGGTGACTGGCAACTACAGCGAGGACTTTGAGGAGTACACCAGTGAGAACTTTGAGGAACACAACAGCGAGAGTGAGACTGATGATGATCAATCTGAGGTTAGTTTAAAACCTAGAGATAAGAGCATGAAAAGAAATAATCAGGAGGGGAATACTATTCTGTAAGATGACAACGAATTAAGATTGGAGAGCAATTTATTTTGGCTCATCTATATAAAATTGTGCTCCGTATTGTGTTCATGTACATTAAAATCCAAAATAGGATATGAACCTTAGTATTTCTTGTTATATTTGTAGCTTATGAGGCATATATGGCATTATCTGTAGCTTATGAGGCATATATGGCATTATCTGTAGCTTATGAGGCATATATGGCATTATTTGTAGCTTATGAGGCATATTTGACATTATTTGTAGCTTATGAGGCATATGACTATGGTGTTGGAGAAGGAGACTGAGACTGAGAGCAGTGAGAGTGATATTGAGATTGATGCAGGGAGACATAGACTTAATACAGTACAAGAAGAGGATGAAGAAACAAATGAACAACTCTTACTTAGCATACAAGATGTAAAGGTAAGTCATATTGTTTTATAAGGAACACCTTTAGATCTTGGAGGAGACTTCACCTTTACACAAAAATTTGACTGAACTTTGAAGGACAAATTTTTCATTAATGTTTTTAGAAACTGAGGCAGAGTCTAGAAATGAATGCCAGCATAAAGCAGAGTATAGCTGAAGAAATCAGTACAGTAAGTTAATACTTATAATACTAATACGTTAATACTTACAACACTACAGGTATCTCGCAAGCATTTGGAGCAACTGGATGCTTCCTCAAGTTAAACATTTATATACAGTAAAACCTGGCTAAGTGGAACAGCTTTGGTATCTCTAAAAGTCTTCTACTTGGGAGTTGTTCCACTTAAAGAGGTTCATTTAACATTAAATCAATTGGTCTTGGGACTCTGTGAAGTATTGCACGAACAGATATGAATATTTGAGGTTGACTGTAAGTGAAATAATTGTGTCCATGACATTCACCAACCAAGGAAGCTAAGTGAATGTATATTACATGAGCATTAAGCATACACTAATATCATTAACGTTACCACTTTGTCTCTTGCACAGGATGATAGTGGCAGTGATATACATGATGATGATGATATATTTGAGGAGGAAGATATCATAGAAGAGGTAATCGAAGAGCAAATTGAACCATCTCCTCCAAGGGCTAAACATTCCTCTTTTCTTGATCCAGGGGAGACATTGGTACTTGAATTTGGACCTACCAATCCAGGTATGATACCCTTTAAAAAAGGTTCCTTCGTCTCCACTCTTTAAATTGACATGATTCTTTGATCTAGCCAACCATAATCACTGGTGTTAGCACCCAATTCCTAATGTGTGCCCACTCCACTACACTGAACATAGCGGAATAGTCAAGGAATGAAGAAAGTATGATAAAAAGATTGAGTTCTTGAGAAAATTGTTAAGTAATGTACATAAATTCAGGGGTTTCACTGGCATTTCTCGAAACAGTCTAAATAAATGAAAACAACAGGCAAATTAATGGAAATCATAAATTTAACATGGAAAAGTTGAAAAGTCCCTGAAAACAACAGTAGATTTTGTGAAAACAACTTGTGAAAATTGCCTGTTGCTTGCTGCTCGTGAAACCCCTGTTTATTCCTGTTGCAGGTAAGAAACAAGAGCGTGACTTATCAGCTGCAAGAAGGCCAGATGCAGAAGAGATCAGCCAAGTCAGGAAATCTAAATCATCACCTAAACATTATGTTCCCAAACCAAAAACTTCAATTGATCTTAAACCTAGTAAGTACTACTGTGAAATTATTTTTGTAGCCAAGTGACCATCTCTTCTTTCTCTTCTTTCTCTTCATCATGTTTCCTGGATTTTGTGTACGTTCAATTTTATGAACATAATGAACTGTGTAATATCAAGATATATGTTCATGTGAGAGAGATGTCCATTGAGCGAATATTTCATTCTGCGCAAAAATTACTGAACATGCAACAATTTTCCAACAAAAAATGAAATATTTATTATTATTTATTGTCCTTGTCAGACATTCAGACATTCAGGATGGTTTAGCAGGGAAAGCATATTTTATCACTTCATGAATTATTGGGCTGATGTGAAACCTAAAATGCGATGGCATTTCTGGCAACATGTTACTGCATTAACAAATTGGAATACCAGGATTCTCGCAATGCTCTAATAATATACAGTACTATATGTATTTTTTGTGCTTTTCCTTCATTAGGGTATACAATAGAGTATGAAATGTATAAAGATGTCAATTTAAATTGATAATGATATAAAACATACAGTATATTTCAGGTATTAAAGTTTCATGCTTGTTTATGATTCAGTGAATTCACATAAGAAATTGATTTTGTGTCATATTTGTCATTTATTGAAATTATTCATCAATTTTAGCGACTCCTGTAAGAAAGTCTCGTCCTCTGTCAGCAGCCCAAAGGAAGAGTCGGGAAAGTGAAAATGTACTTGATTCCACGGCTGATACGTCAGCGGTACTTGCTGCCTTAAAAGCTGAAAATGATCAGGTTGAAAAGATGGCCAAGCAAAGTGCTGTAACTAACAGAGATGAGGTAGGCTAGATTTTACATATGAGCCAGGCCACAGGAAAAGGGGTCTTATCACAGATTTTTCAATATTTTGTTTTTTTGTTTATGTTAAAAAGCACAAAAAGACCTTTCAAATGAGCCATGACTTGACTTGCCATGATAAGACCGGTTTTCCTTTGGCCAGGCTTATTTATTATGTGTTAATCACCTATACAAGATTGTTAAATTTAATATCTTTTGCCCAATTGATGATTTATCATCAGGTTTTATCTCTGTGGGTTTGTAATTATTTTCACATTTTACATTTACATATATGTGAACTAATATATATTTTATAATGACTATCTAAAATCATATGACATTGAATTTCAGGAAGATCATAGAAGAAGTACAGAACCTGGTTCTGCTTTATTCGATAGCCAATCAGAAGATGTCGTACCTCGTGAGTCTCCGACCAACCTATTGTCAGATGAAAACCTACTGAAAGTAGTGGACAAGGTTACAAAGATGGATTCAAAGTATGTACATTTATATTATAGTAAAATCTGTATATTCGAAAATCTCTTAAAGCCAAACATCTCTCAATGTTAATACTTTTTCTCATGCCCAGTTTTGTTACCTTCCTTGAATTTACATAGTAAGAAACTTTGAAATGTGAACACCTACCTGCTAATCAGAACACTTTTGACTGTTCTCAGTGGCGTTCAAAGTGGGAAATACACTTCTTTCATTTTGGAAATGATGTGATATGTTAATATGTCCAAGGATCTTTTAAACTAAATTTTAAATTAAATTATCGTGCATTTTAAAGTGAAAATGTTTGTTCCAATAAGTGTTGTTTAAAATAAAATGACAACCTTATAACAATAGCATTTTATTTAACATTGTAATTGTAGGGATCAAAAGAAGCTTTTTAAAGCTCTGGTGAAGATAGAGAAGACTGTTTCAAAACCAGGCACCCCTAGGACTCCTAGGGCCCCATCCGATAATGATAGAACACCTAGAAATAATGACAGAACACCTAGAAATGAGGACAGAACACCTAGAAATGATAACAGAACACCTAGAAATAAAGATAGAACAGCAAGAGATAGTGATTTAACACCCAGAGTAAGTCAGGTAACATCAAACCTTTCTTATTCTGAAAAACTTGAGATGTAAAAAAATGAGATGTAAAACTTACAAATGCTAGAATATTACTCTTTGATGTATTTATGGTACTTGGAATTTATTTTTCATTTCCGTATACAGTATATTGTTTGCAGTATACCATTTTATAGTGTAGCATTCATAGTTTCCATGTTATATTATATGAAAGTGTAGAATATTGAAACAGAGAGAAACTCAAAATATTGGTTCAAATTTTTTTATAGTTTTCTGTCTTCAATTGTTTTTTGTTATTTATGGGCGTGCATATTATCCCAATAATATTGTTGCTGTTGTCCCTTGATTAAATGAATTCAAAGTAATTGATAGACATATTGACAATGAGGTATCATGATCATGGCCCAAAAACGAGTATATTTTTGTGTGGGTTATAACTATGTAATCCACATGTCCATTTGAAAATTTCTCCTGGCTTATGAAAGCATCACCAGTTATATCCAGGTGGTGGCATTTTGTTGATGTCAGTGCCTTGTTGTTATCTACTGAACCATCAAATATTACTTATTCTAAACAGGAGGACCCTGATAAGACACCAAGGTACTCAAGCGTGACCCCTAGAAACCTGGAGTGTCCTCCTTTGATTGAGCTCCATATAGAATTACTCTCAAACTGGGGACATAAGAGTCGTATTGGTTTAACAGAAATACAGATCTTTGATATGGAGAAGCGACGTATTCCAATCAATGAGTCGGATTTGGTGCTTCATGGGGTCAAACAACCTAAAGGAGATTTAAACAATCTGTTCAATGGCAAATTCAAGGTGAGGATGAGTTCTGTTTTTCAAAAAGAGGAACTTTTATAACCCTTATGTATTATGACTTTTGGGTCTTATGGGATGCAGGATGATTTTGAATAAGTGTTTTGGTATTTTGAATTTTTTAAAAAATAAACCCCTAAAATGCCAGTTTATTACCAAGACTGTAAAACATTTTTTGCCACTATCAAAGCAAAATTGTGTCACTTAATAGAATGTAATCCAAAAAAGGTAACTTTAACAAAGTTGATAATTCAGTCATCCAGCATTTCAAATAGACGTATGAAACTTGGTATAATGAAAGAACATTGAACAAGCTTTAATTGTACCAAATATGACCTTAAACACAAACTGAAGAACTGAGTTACTAACATTTGTTTGGGTTACCTTTTTTGGCTCACCCTGTACATTTGATTTGTAGAGCACCAAAGAGCGCAATATGTGGAGCTGTAGCTTCACTCCGGGGGAACCAGTAGAATTTGTGTTTACATTGAAGAACCCAGATGTGGAAGAGAACTTTGGCTTGTCGAAAATAAAGCTATGGAATTTTAATAAAAGTTTAACAGTAAGTTAATTTAACGATCAATATATTAAGTTCATGAGTCAAATGTGACTAATAAATATTTCTGTTCACTCTGTCTGATACCTTTCCTTAAATAGACTAAAACAGATGATTCTACTTGTGTCTATGACAGATGTATCAGTGGTAGATTTGGTGTGGGTCTATACAGAAGATGGGATTATACAGTAGGTTGAATGACTGATAAGAAGATTGCTTGCATATATGTAAATCACATAATATGATATAAACTTATTGACCTAATGATTTTGTTTTATCAACTGTGTATCTTGTAGGAACTGACAGTTGGCGTTAAAGACATCCGTGTGTTCCTTGGTGGTGAACTATTATACGAGGGTCAGATCGAACGTGGCTGTGGCAACCAAGTGTTTGACTATAGCACTACAATTAACATCAATGATGCTTTAACACCTACACCTAGAGGCAACTTAGGCAATATTTCACACCCTAACAGTACAACTCCATCCTCTGAAGGATCTACCCCTTCAACAGTGCACATTGACACACATAGTGATGACATCACCACAAGCATTGATGAGTCATCAGTTCAATCTAAAATGGCTGATTTAGATAATGACTTAGCAATGCTGGCTGAAACTAGTAAAATTGAAGGCCCCACTAGAAGTGAAACTAGAATTTTAAGACATTCAACAGATGCAACTTTAGAACTACCAGTTGTAGAATCTCCTCGTGATAAAACTAAAGGTATATCTAGTCCCATTCAACCAACAAACTCTCCGAGACAATCAACTTCGCTGAGACATTCATCTGATAAAGGTATTGTAATTTTCGACATATTAGCAAGCTCGAGGTTTCACAAATTACATGTAAAGTCAATGTACATTGTACAACTCATTAATGTTATTAAAACTACACTCAGAAGAGAGAATTGAATACCATTAAATTAATTTTAATTTGAAAAATTTGCTTGATGTTCAGATTTTTGGGGGAGATAATAAAGGGGCCAGTCACAAATTAATATAAATGTTTTATGGTTTACACCCTTCTAATAGAGTGTTCAGATAAATCCTGTCATCTTTTGATATATCAGAGAAACTTTGATATATTGGCCACCTTGATTATCTCATAGGTTATAAAATCAGCAATAAGTTAATCTTGTTTTGCATGGTCAAATTTCTACCTGCAAAGGATGACAACATCAGTTTAGCCAATATATCATAGTTTTTCTGATACATCAAAGGTGGCAGGATTTATTGGAATGATCTATTGGATTGGTTCTTGAGAAGTTAATCACTGAAATGTAATGTAGGAACAAAGAAATCTCAAACACCCAGATCCTCTAAGCGCATGGCGGCAAAATTAGGACCAAATCAACAACCAGAAGAGGCTAAACAATCAACTAAAATTGTTACGGATACATCAGGCAATACTACTCAATCAACAGAAAATGTGACCCGGTCTAGTCAGGAAGATCTCCCCATGCTTCAGCAAATCAGAGAAATGACAAGGTGAGAAATTGGTTGACTACTCTTGTGCCTCAAAATATACTGTTATCTGGTTGTTTAAAGCCAACAATGTTCATTTGAAACAGTTCTTGTAACATTGATTTGAGGAATATGACTTTGTCTTCTTTCTTAAGATTAGTAATATTTTGGAGATCTAGCGGGTACTCCAATCAGAATATACAAACGCAAAATCATTATCAGAAGCTAACCTTCAATTCAAACTCACATAAAGGCCATGAATGCTGCATTTGAGAACAGTAAGAAATCAATGTCAAAACTAAAAATATCCATTAGATTTGGGTAATGTGGTTAGCTGATGGAGATTCAAGGGTGCATAAATCATAACTAAATATATCCCTTTTCAAAATACAAATGGCCCTTGTCACCCTTCCCTTTATCAAGTTTGTGACATTGTTTGCATTAGTCATTTGTCATTGATGCTGATGGGATTTTAGGTTCAGTTTATCTATATTTTGAAGATTTCATTTTTCAGAAAATCTTCTCAAGGAAAACCGAAGTGGCTCTCTGAAGAAAAGAAGAAAACCAGTAAAGATAAACCAAAAAACAAACCATCATGGCTTAAATCTACAGATATGGAAAATGGTAAGATCATTTGTTTTTAAAATCAAGCTGAGTTTTACTAATGCGAATGAATTCCATGAACTTTACTACTCAGCATGTGTATCACTGAGTTTAGTAATTCAGACCACTTATTTGCAATAAATACACCATGGATCGTCTAAGATAAACCTTCATTCCATTATTTGTAGAACCATTTGAAGTGCCTCCAGAAAGTAGATCCGGAAGAGAAAGTAGTCCCAGCAACCCAACACAGAGTCGTGCGGAAACTGCCTCTCGACAGAAAGATTTCAAGACTCTATTAGATGATGAATCCCACTTAGAATCAGCAGTGCCAAAATATATGCAATCTGAAACAGGTATTTTACATTTATTACATTTATGTAGGGGACTGTTTTAGAGAATATCCTAGGGAAGAAGGATGTGCGTTTGATCTAATAATTTGTGACACCGACCAATGATCAATATGAAGGGAATCATTGAAGAAAAAGGGTGTCTTCACACCTAAGAAATTTCATCATGCCTTTATGGTACAGCTGGTATAGACCTGAACAGAGTCGGCACAGAAATGACTCACTATAGTGAGTTGGTCAGTGTTCTTTATTAAGGAAAATGATAAATTCCAAAAATATCAGAACATGAGAAGGTAGTTCAAAGGTAAAATCAGATAGATCAGACTATAATTCTGTGTCGTGCCTACCCAATTCTATGGACATTTTAATATTTCAGGGCAGGGTCATTTAAGTGATGATGAAGACAGAAAATGGCGTAATCGTCGAATGTCAGATGACTCTGAGATCGAAGAAGCAGAATCTCAAATGAAACGAATAGAAAATTCACGCAATAAATGGAGAAAGGAAGAGGAGTTGAAGTTAGAAGAATCTTGGTCATCTTTAAACTTATTCAACAAATCCCAGCGTGGGAGAATATGTCTCGATATGCAGGGTGATGTCATGGATGAATATCTAGAGAAACGTAGGGCTACCCCTATCCAAGAGGAAAAGGATGCAACTATAAATGAACCTGAGTATGAGATTTTGAAATATGTCAAATGAATAAATATGGAAATATTAAAACAATATAATCTTCCTTAGTGACCCAGAAGAACATAGAGATATACTGGCATTCATTCTATGGATGTAATATATTTAAGGAATAAAAACTGAGATTAAATGATTTGTGGCCCAATATACTTCACCTCAGCTCACTGATATGATATATTGAAAGCTTTATTTTTATTCTAACTTATCAAGTTTATAGGAGACAAAACTTGGCATTCCCTTTAAAGAGTTGTGTTTGTTTTACTTCAGAGCTGAAGAGTGTGTAATTCCTGAGCTCCCCACTGGTAGGGAGCTTGTCATCAATATACTCACTACATGGGGTGACAGACATTATGTTGGCCTTAATGGAATAGACATCTTCTCTAAATCAGGGGAGCCTATTTCTGTACAGTCTGTGAGTATGATTGTCTATACAATATATCTAGAGTTAATCGAAGTTGTTTCTTGTGTTACTGATGAGTCAGTGTATTATGCATACTTGACGGAAGTTAGACTAAGTTATATATGTTTTAGATCTGTGCAACTATACAACAATTTTTTTTTATTGTTTCAGATAAGTGCTGACCCAGCAGATATTAATATTCTCCCTGGATATTCACAAGATCCCCGTGTTGTAACTAACCTTATAGATGGCGTGAATAAGACCCGAGATGACTTTCACATGTGGCTGGCCCCATACACTGCAGGCAGTAATCATATTATACATATTACATTTGAGAAACCATGTAGTATAGCACTACTGAGGATTTGGGTAAGCATTCTATAGGTTGTCCTTGAGTTGTACTTCTCAGGAAGCAGTAACCATGTTTTTCATATAACTATGCTAGCCCAAGCACCCATTATGGAAAATGTTGTTCAATTGTTGAATAATCTGTGCATTTTTGACTATATTGTGCAGACAAGCCATTCTTTCATATGGGTTAATGTGTGAGTGTTTTCAAAATGTCATTATTATGTCACCACATCATTGTTATGGTTTCCAACTTTTTTGCGGATGGTGTTTGGCATTCGGTGTCTGTAACAAATGTCAGGTGGTGACATTGTGAATATTAAATGCCTTGTTTCAGCGATGAATGTCCATTAGACCTGGTCAATATTTTTGCCTTGTTTCAAAATGTTATAATTTAAATTTTCCCCCACAAAAAGCTTATTGAACATTCACTCATTTTTGTTCAGATTAAATTGCTGAACATTCAAAAACTGATGCATGCCAACAATATGCAGACTAATACCAGCTCTTCCCAAAACATAAGCTCTCGCTTATTCTTATATGTGATACTATGATGTTTTACAGAATTATAACAAGTCCAGGATTCACAGTTATAGAGGTGCAAAGACTGTTGAAATGTGCTTGGATGGTCACTATATTTTCAAGGGGGAAATAGCAAGGGCTTGTGGAGGGGTTATGGGAGGAACAGAAGCCTTTGGAGATGTGAGTATAGGAACCGTTTTACAATGGCTTTTAGGACTGGCAATAGATAGCAAAGAATTAATTGGGTTAAAATTTAATATAAACTGGAATATTATAAATGTTTTAATACAACATTTAACTGGAAGGTCCTGATGTACAAGCCATGAATTTCAATTAGTTACTTGCCATTTATGAATCCTAACTCCTTTAAAATTGCATTTAACTATTGATATTGCATTTCACCATTGAAATTGCATTTTACCATTGAAATTGCATTTCTCCATAGAAATTGCATTTCTCCATAGAAACAGCATTTCTCCATTGAAATTGCATTTCTCCATAGAAACAGCATTTCTCCATTGGAATTGCATTTCTCCATAGAAATTGCATTTCTCCCCTGAAATAGCATTTCTCCATTGAAATTGCATTTAACCATTGAAATTGCATTCATTGAGGAGGAGTGTCAAGTGAGATGACCTTGCATTACCTGTTGATGTGTAACATTCAGAAAATCCCTCTCAAGCTAAACACAATGTACGCAAAATGTTTTTTGTTAATTTGAAAAAAAGACCATATGTCAATGCTAGGTTAATTCCTCTTAAGATCTACATATTATAAGTGATTATACTACTCTGTGTCTTTTCAGACCATTTTGTTCACTACTGATGAAGAAATCCTAGAGAATGTTTCAAGATATGATGACGCATATGAGAGTGAGGCTTTCAGTGATGACGATTGGGAAGATGACGTCCCGTTTGAACGCCCAAGAACAGCAGATGAAGAACTTCAGGTAACTGTGATCTCCTCAATTTTGACACTTGATTACACTTTTATTTGAAGACATAAATAAATAGATGTGCTACATATTCTCTTGTATTTTCACTTATAATTATGATTTTGTGTCAATATACATGTACATACAATCAAATCTATTCCATCCATGACTTTCTTATATTTGGAAGAAATTTCAAAAATGATCAGTCCCTTAACTGATCTTATACCTTTTTAATGTGGACTACATCCCTTTTTGTTTGTTTCATACATTTCACAGAAAAAATCTGAAAAAATTAATGGCAAAATGAGCTCATGTTCATGGAATAGATTTGAATGTAAAAAATAAAAAAATAAGCCAAGTAGCACAATAGCAAGAGACTTACTTTACTTTGCAGTTTCCTTGGGATAAGACTGAAAAGGTCATAATGTCCCTCCTCAACACTGCAGTTAGTCAATATTTCATTTCTAAGTATCACAATCATCATGGTAGTCATATGTTCTATTTTCAAAAACTAGATTTTACAATTTAAAAAAGTTTGAGTGGAGAGTTTCAGTGTATATTTTAAATTTTTTTTATAAAATTGGACTTGGATGAGGGGAGAGTTTCAGTGTATATTTAAGTTTGACCTCAATATTTTCGCTGTTACTCCATTAAAAATGAAATGAAAAAGTTTTTGAAGTTCTTAAATGTCTGACCACCATGAAATAACTGGGGAAGGTTATTGGTTATTTAAAGCTTGAATGTTACTTGTTTGAATGAATGTCTCTTTATTCTCCATTATTTTTAAGTTTCGCTAATCTTCCAGCTTATCCTGGACCCCCCTCTTATTTACTTGAAAAACAAACTGTTGTTTTAGGGTGAGGGGGGGGGTCTTGGCAAGACTACCTTGTGATCAATAAGCAATAACTTCCTTTTTGATTCCAAATTGAAAAATATTAACTTTACTTCTAATTTTGAAAATGCGCAGTATTTTAAAAAGTAAATACAGTGTACATGTATTTATCAGTACATATACAGGAGATCATGGATGTTTAATGTGAAATAAAGTCACAATACGTTTTAAAATAATTTCAAACATTTGAAGATGAACTTATAGAAATGATGGGGAATAATAAGATATCATATGCATAATTAACAGCTTTTTATATTGATTTACATTTATCCTCTTATTTTCCTTTTGTTTATTGTTGCTTTTATATTACTGTATTTTTTCACATTTGGTATGCAGCGAAGAGGAAAGAGAAAATATAAACTGCATTTGCATGCTGGGAGAATTCCACGTGCTAAATCAAACTGCAGCGGGAGTTATAAAAGAATCATTTGAGACATTTTTTCAATGGATTGCCCAAGAAAATTATTGTCATAGTACTATTTGTTATAGAATAAGACAGAACTTGTATTAAAACAAGAACTTAAAAGTGAATGTCTATAAAAAACAGGAGATAATTTTGTCATATAATAATATATAATTAATATATCTTAGAAACAAGTCAAATTCTTTACTTCAGAGAATATTTTTATTTTTAATTTATTGAGACTTTCGACTAATATCCCTTAGTCTTTTTCAAAATATAACAGCATGTATACATTTATGTGACGTCATAAACAGGCAATGGAAAATTTAATTATGTAACAAATGACCTAGTGACCTAAAAAATAATAACAACAACAAAAAACATAGATACGAAAAAACGAATGACCTAATAATAACCTTAAGATAAATATATCATCGTTATGGTAACAATTAAACTCAAATATTACTATTGCATACTTTGCTATACCATTCTTAATTTACAATATTTTATGATACAAATTGTCCAACTGATACCCATTATCTCTGTTCATTTTAGGTTGCATTGTTTTAATATGAATTGCTTCCTTAACCCTACGTTTAAGATCATGACTCTCATTATCAATGATTTTTACATTGTTCCAGTTTATATTATGATCATATTCCATGGAATGTTCAATAACCGCAGAAGCAAGACCTCCAGTCGACAGTAATGTGGGTCTACGATGTTCTCTGATTCTAGTAACTAGTTCCCGCTTTGTTTCACCTACATAAGTGGCAATACAGTCTTTACAATCAATTTTGTAAATTACACCGGACTTCTTTTGATCATTAGTTTTGTCCTTTAAATGCACCAACTGTTTCTTGATAGTATTCTGCGATGAGAAACATACTCGGACACGATGCCTTTTTAAAATACGCCGTAACTGGTTGGAAATACTAGGGATATACGGAAGAACTGCAGTACACCTTATATCGTCATCATTTCTTGTTCTGTTTACATTATTTGTCGCATGTCTTTCACCTTCTTTAATCAGCCATTCCGGGTACCCACACTCCTTTAATGATCGGCAAACCAGTTCCTTTTCTTTCTTTAGATCTTCCTCTTTAGTTACCAATGTTTCAGTTTTTTGGCTGATGGTTTGAGATATAAAAAATAAAATAAAAATGAATAGAGTTCTGAATGAATTAAAGTAAGAAATTGACAAATATTTAGCAGATTTATGCATTTTGGTGACATATTGTTATGGTCTCCAACTTTTTGTGACAGCGGTTGGCATTCAGTGTAACAAATGGCAGGTGGTGACATTTTGCATGTTAATGCCTTATTTTTGACAGTTGCTGTCAAATAGGCAAAATCGAAACTCCAACATGTGATCCAGAATAAGAAAGAATGAGAATGAAAATAAGAAATAAAGCACATGCATTTACACTAACAACACAGTACAAATACAAGTGATACATTATTGTATTGCCTATTTCGTTCAGAGAAAAATGCATGACAAAACAGATACCATACACAAATTACTTGTACTTATAAAACAAGATAGAGAAACCTTTTAATCCAGGATCAAAATTGAATTGAAAGGCAATCAAAATGGATATTTTAATCAAACTGTAAGTTTGTAATAGAAAGGTGAAGTAACATAACAATGTTGTTTATCTATATTGAATATTGTTGTGTCAGTTGCACAGCATGTAACACTATAAAACATGACAGGATATGTGTAGAAGGTGTATGTATTGTTGGAAATTGCAAAATGTAATACTAAGAAAATGCAAAAAGTATTTAGAACACAAATGTGAAACTTAACGTAATCTTGTATTCCTAATTATCCCTTGTATTGCATTAATGCCTTTTATGGGGTTTTTCTGTGCATGACTCATTCCCCGTATTTCGCAAACTGCATGCTATTGGTGGATGGTTCATAACTTGGTTGTTTCACTGTGCATGCTTAAAATACAAAACAATGCATCAAAGTCAACATTAGAACAATACTAATCACTCATAGAATCAAAGAATAATATTAAACAAATGGTTTATTAAAGTACTTGCACACCTTAAGTTATCACTTCAGAGTAGTATGAATGAGAAAACTCAATTTTAATCATTTTGATCATTTTTTCTTGAAAAGTTACAATCTTGAGTTTTTGATTATTTTTGATTTTCTTACACTTTCTTACTTTTGAACAGTACTATGCATAAGTATTTGCTCATAAACTGTAAAAATTGTGTGTACACAAGTAAACATGATTTAGTATGTTTTCAGGAGAGGCCAGTTACAAGGGCAACACGTCAATTGCCCAACCAGCCATCAGAGACACCTATACAAAAACTTGACACAGTAGATATGGAGACTGTTCCGTCCTTTACTAATAATGCTACTTATAATGAAGATGGAGTGTATGAGGGCAAATGTAAGTTTATTTGGTACTCTGAATCTGTATTGGCTAGTCACATTACCCTTAGACATGTACAGGTAAACGTTTATACGAGATACAACCTAAATATACAGGTTTTACTTATTTCAACTTACAGCCTAGAGCCTAGATATCGATGCATTTAAAAATAGATTTATAACTGATTTTCATAGTCATTATATATATATATATATCATTATTTGATATAATTATTAATATTATTATATATATAGAGATTTATATTATAGTAAAAATCTTTTGTAGTACAGTACATAAATAATTTTAGAGTTTTGATATATGGTCAAAAAATTATATAATTTAAAGAGTTTAGCCTTTCTTAAGGGTTACAAGGTTAATTTTTTGTCTTACACATCACCTTGTTGTAAGCCACATCCTCCAGGTTTGTCCTTCTGCCTTCTTCTATGCAGCAGGGAGAGAGAGATTCAGAATGTACAGAAATGGTTTATGTTGATTTTGTATTGTATTCCTTTATATTACTTTCTATAGGTATTCAACTGAACTTTACTGCAACTTGGGGTGACCCATACTACCTTGGCTTAACTGGCTTAGAACTTGCTGGTGTGAATGGTGAATATATTGTATTCCTTTATATACTTTCTATAGGTATTCAACTGAACTTTACTGCAACTTGGGGTGACCCATACTACCTTGGCTTAACTGGCTTAGAACTTGCTGGTGTGAATGGTGAATATATTGTATTCCTTTATATACTTTCTATAGGTATTCAACTGAACTTTACTGCAACTTGGGGTGACCCATACTACCTTGGCTTAACTGGCTTAGAACTTGCTGGTGTGAATGGTGAATATATTGTATTCCTTTATATACTTTCTATAGGTATTCAACTGAACTTTACTGCAACTTGGGGTGACCCATACTACCTTGGCTTAACTGGCTTAGAACTTGCTGGTGTGAATGGTGAATATATTGTATTCCTTTATATACTTTCTATAGGTATTCAACTGAACTTTACTGCAACTTGGGGTGACCCATACTACCTTGGCTTAACTGGCTTAGAACTTGCTGGTGTGAATGGTGAATATATTGTATTCCTTTATATACTTTCTATAGGTATTCAACTGAACTTTACTGCAACTTGGGGTGACCCATACTACCTTGGCTTAACTGGCTTAGAACGTGCTGGTGTGAATGGTGAATATATTGTATTCCTTTATATACTTTCTATAGGTATTCAACTGAACTTTACTGCAACTTGGGGTGACCCATACTACCTTGGCTTAACTGGCTTAGAACTTGCTGGTGTGAATGGTGAGCCTATACCACTTAATATGGATATGCTAGATGCAGACCCAAGAGATCTCAGAATGTTGGATGGTCACCAGCTAGATGATAGGACATTGGACAAGTAAGTGATTAAAATGCACTTTTACCCAATGAAAACCTAGAGGAAGTACTTCAGAAAAAAGTATTGCGTTTACTAGCATTAATTCAATGCATTTTATATCATTTTGTAACAAGATTTGTGTGATTACACAATGTATATATACTTGCCCAATTTGTATGATCAGTATAAAGGAGATGGGACTTGATATGAGAGTTGAATACAAGGCCTCAAAAATTAGAACACTCAACAAAATCTACACGCTGTCATGACTGAATATAACCATTCAAAAAGGTCTTTTACATTTCATTAATGTTATACAGTAGTGCGTACCTAGGTGTCCAGAAACCTTCCTACCAATTTTTTGCATTTTAGGATTTCTTTCATATACATGCTTTGTTCCACCATGGAGGAAGAAATAGGAAGAAAGTCCAGTCGCTTTGTCCTTTTTCCAAAAATAAGCTTTCACTATATATACCTATAAGAACCTAGAAGTATTGATTTGTATTTTCAGGCTTGTAAATAACATTAACATAACCATGTCAGATGAGAACATGTGGATGGTGCCTTATACTGAAGGAGAGCCTCATACAGTGACCATTAACCTGAGAGAGACAACTGTCCTCACTGGTATACGCTTTTGGAACTACAATAAAAGCAAGGAGTGCACCTATAGAGGGGTAATTGTTAATTCTGTGCTTGTTATATGTGACAGTGTGAATATATCTTCAAACTAATGCATATGTTCCAATGTAGTTAAAACATTCATTGTACTATCAATGTATTGTACGTCATTCAGACAAATCCCACAGTCCCACCCATTGAATTTCATGCAACCATTAAGACCAAAGCCACAGTAGTTTGATTGATAAATTATGAATTAGTGAGTAAAGTCTAGCTGTACATATACTAGAACATCTGCAATAACTTCAGAAATGATAGCAACGCACATGTTAAACTTATTTCAGGCAAAACTTGTCCATATCAAACTTGATGGCCAGTTGATCTCACCACCAGATGGCTTCCTGTTACGTAAGGCTCCTGGGAACTGTCACTTTGACTTTGCTCAAGAAGTCCTCTTCAATCAGAGTAGTATGCTGAAATATGCTGAAATCCGTCCAAGAGAAATCACTTTAGGGTAAAAAAGCCTTTGTGTAATCTTAGTACATTTGAAAAAATCGTAGATTAAAGAACTATTTAAAACCATAAAAGGTAGAAAGGAAAATAACACGTTCCCTGTTAATTTTAGCACGATGTAAATTAGTACCGCAAGTACATTGTAATATTGCAAGTCCACCAAATTAAGTAGCCGCCAAATGTTTAAAACAGCAAATCTGCCAAAATAAGTAGCACCAAATTAAGTAGAAGTACAGTACTCCAAGAAACCTCACAATAAGCTCTTATTTGATTGGTTGCTTAAGTAATGAGTAATTTGTATAAAATTAGAAGTTCAGATATCTTTATTGCAAAGTTAAACTTCAACTCTTAAAATTGTAGGCATACAGTGACAATTACGTAGAAATAATATGTGTATTTTAGGTGTGGCGATATATCAAATGATATTAATGCAGACTATGAATCCGTCCAGATGCCAAGAGGCTGTATCCTTTCATTAATACATCGATCCAAGTTGGAATCTAAAGAGCAAGGGGGGGGGCAAAATTGAAAGCAGTATTTACACTTAACAATGTGTTTATACAATTGTATCTCAGGAATCATCTTAAATATAATGGTATTAAGTGGTGCAATTATTTTAAAGGGTTATGTTTGAATATAGAGAGTCATGCGTAATCTAATGAATTGTCTTTCATATGAGAGTGATCAACACATGGTTAAGCTGACATCTTGATTCTAGTCAGTTACAATGTCGTGTTTTTTTATATTAAAGCTATTCATACAAGAATATCTGTATCTACAGTATAATGAGAAACCATATATCCATATTTTCATATTCTGTGTCTATTAAAATCCTTAACCTGGACCAGTTATTTACCAGTTACATCTACTTTCAACATGGGGAGACCCATATTATGTAGGCCTTAATGGAATAGAGATCTATGATGCAAATGGGAGGAAGATTCAACTCACTGATAATAGTAAGTCTTTATTTTCCATAAATGCAATGTAAAAGTTTGTTATTGTAGCCATACAATCTTATGCTAACGTTTTTGTGCTGCATCATTGTTGCATCTTATAGGTAACTGGTCAACTCGTACCCAAGACAAGTCGTACCCAAGACAACTGGTACCCAAGACAACTCGTACCCAAGTATATATTTTGTTTTGAATCAAGCATTGGACTGGGAATATGAATAGATACGAGTATACATATTATAATTGTAACATACTGTTCAGAATAGTTTAAAGTTTGAATAAGAATTTTTGGAAGAAATTGATTTAATTTTGTGACATTTTGAGCTGAGTGTCAATTTATATTGACTATTATTTTATATTGGTCACAGATTCAGGATGTTCGAGTGAAGAGACATATGTTTATTTCACATATTCATAATCATTTTTCAAAATATTGTATGTTTATGAGTGTTTGGAACAAGTGTCAGATCTAATGACAAAAAAATGTTGAGAACAAGCGCTCGAAGCACTTCTTTTATTTAATAAAAAAATGCTTTACTGATCCATTGAGAAAAAATGTCGTCTAAATTCAAAAAAATATTGAGACTTATTTGATTCACATTATAACATGAAAGCATTACAAACTCAATTTTTTCCCTAATATGCACCCAAATACTGAAAATAATCTTGGGTACGAGTTGTCTTGGGTACCAGTTGTCTTGGGTACCAGTTGTCTTGGGTACCAGTTGTCTTGGGTACGAGTTGACTAGGAAGCATCTTATACACTTATATGGATTTGTAGAGTAAGGGATATGAGGTAACATTTGGTAGATATCTCTCTTTGTATATACGCGTACCTGATATTCAAAACCTTTCTATAATCGACAGTTTTGACGATATTGTCAAGGAGAGATTTTATAAGCCATTTATCATGTTTATGCATATAAAATGTGCAATTTGTGAGTTTAAATCACAATAAGCTTTATATCTGGATATTGTTCATATTCTCTTCAGATATAGCCTGTTACCCAGATAGTGTAAATGTATTGGAGGGTGTACAGCATGACTGTAGAACTCCAGATAAGTTAATAGATGATGTTAATGATACCACTGATGGGAGACACATGTGGCTGGCCCCAGTACTTCCTAATATGGTAAGTGCTTCCTTATATGGTAAGAACTCCCTAATATGGTAAGAAATTAAAATCGTAGTCATGTTTCGCCAGGATGAGACAAGTCATACTAATAGTCAGTCATTGTAAGAATCCAAAGAGCAAAGTATAATACATGTACTTGAAGCAATTAGAAGAACTATCTAAATTACAACTTGTCTTAAGTCTGTGTTGTCCAATTATCTTGTATATAATTACATGATGAATTATGAAGCATCTTCAATCAAATAAACTTTGATATGAATTTCCTTTCCTTGTGAGAATTCATCAAACCTTTCTTTTATGTTATAATATTTAGTTTATGTTTAAGACAACACAGCTGATTGACTATTTTATAGTAAAACCTGTAAATCTGAACACCTTTCTAATCCAAGGAGGATTGGCTCCCAGGGTTCCAGCTCAATATTCTGCTATATGGTGATATGGTCTTGACCTTATTATCACAGGGAGTCATCATGTTGTGATTAAAAAAATCAAAGTCAAACAGCCACCATTTTTTCACTTCAGAATTTGAATCGCAAGTTTTGGTCTTTGTTTTTCCAAGCTATAAATTCAAAACACAATAAGTGATCAAGATATTAGTTGAAATCTTTTGCATTGCTGATTTATAGTCAGTTATAATGTCAGAAAATAATGTCATATTCAATGTTGTCATCGATCGAGATCAAAGTCGAATATCGAGTTGGATCCCTGGGAGTCAATCCTCCTTGTTTCTTATCTGAACACCTCAGCCCCAATTTTATAATCACCCATTTTACAGTATTTTATTTTGTAATTTATTGCAGGTGAACAGTGTATTTGTGATATTTGACCAACCAGTTACAGTTTCTATGATTAAACTGTGGAACTATAGCAAGACATCACAGAGAGGGGTGAAAGATTTCGCTGTAAGTCATTTCTAGGGGTGGATGGTTCTTTAAAATATCTTCTACATGCTAAATATCATTGAGTAAAACATGTTATTCAATTATTTCTTAGAAAATATTTTGCCCTTTTGAAAGGTACTAGCATCTTCTGAAAACGGACTATTTTGGGTACAATATTTTTATAGCGCCCTTTGAGGGCTACTATATTAACTGTGTATTCTTCTCTGTTACGTTGTTTGTATTGAATTACTCATTCTATAATATTCCAGCTATTGGTTGATGATCTCCTTGTCTACAATGGCCAACTAGAGGCCTGTGTTCCCATAGCAAGAGGTATACTGCCAACCTTAGACTTGCCACAGAAATACCACACGATCTTGTTCACTCAAGATAAAGAACTACTAAGAAAAGAAAAGCATACTGTCATAAGGTGAGAAGTAAGCCATCACAATACAAATAGGAGTACCATGTGACAACTCGAGCAATTTTAAGCATTCACCAAGGAGTACCATGCGATAACTCGAGTAATTTTAGAATTCACCGCGGAGTATCATGTGATAACTCAAGCAATTTTTGCATTCAGTGAGAAGTACCATTCGATAAGCAATTTTTGCATGCACCTAGACGTACCAGGTGATTTTTGTCTAGTTCAACTGTTTTAAAATTCAGTAGTGTTGAGCTATTGTTATAACTTATAAGCACCTTTTTATGTTCAGCGTCCTTAACAAAATTGTGATTTTAAGAAAACTGCAGGATCTTCTTAGCTTAAAAGCTTTTCATTCAAAAAGGAAATACTGTAGTTTTGAAAGATTTGTTAAAGGGTTCCGATAAGCATCCCGTATAAAAACAATATGGCGGCTCCAGGCGAATCAACTGGATCAGTCCATTTTTAAGAAATAAGGGGAGTTCTGTAAAATCCAGTTTATTGAAATTGTCTTTGAGATAAAGTAATCTGTTTATAATGATTTTGAAAACGTTATCCATGGAGTGATTGCGTTCAAACAGTACATGTACAACAGCCAATATAAATCCTTGTTGCTTTGTTTCATTTGTAGGATATTTCATATGCCAGCAAGCTGTGTGCTATTACGTTATGGGGAAATTTAGATGCCAATTTTTCCTTATTATAGACAAATAGAAGATCCTGAAACTTCACCCATAAATTTGGAATTGATTTGTCAAAATAAAAATCACCCTTTTATAAATGTGTGACGATCTATAATATACTTATGCTATATAACAGTTAGAGGTGTTGACACAACGACATCGAACCTGTGAACCCTTGAGTATTATTCCGGGATCGGGCCTTTTATACTAAACGGTGAGCAACACCAGAAACGAGCGTTCGATTTGCTAAACGATATGCGTCACCCTTTAAACCTGTGTAAGTGAAATGACTACAAAAAGTAGAAGTTTTAAAAACTGTTCCACTTGCATTGTGTTTTACTCACTACACAGAGGTGTTCCATGTGACAATTTTCACTATTCTAACATATGTAGGTATGCACACTGTATAAATTGACCATTTTCTTTGTTTAGTAACCAAGTTGGTGGCCAGGATGTGCAGCTGACAGACGAACAGACAATTGTAGGTCACTATAGCAACCCTAACCAGGCAGAGAAGCTAGTCAACCAAGGTAGACATTTTTACAATTATGTGGATAATTTTGAGTATAATCTGGATTGTTAACTAGATCTCAACTTGTCATCAGTCAATTCAATAAGACCAATAATTTGTCTTGGTTCTTTGTATTCTTGAGATATTTCACCTCATAATATGATAGTTAGTTTATGAAAAAGTAAGTCTAAGAGACACTTTTTGGCTCACACAGTGAGCCTATGGGATTGACCAGGCGTCCGTCTGTTGGTCCGTCCGTCCGTCCATTCGTCAACATTTAAGATTAGATTTAAGCATTCCCTACATATTGTTCAATATATGTCAGCATCAAATTTTTACCGTTTTTGAAATATTTGACGTCAAAAAAACAGTAAAAATAAGTTATTTTTCAACTTGCTTCAATTTGACCAAATTATTTATTAAAATCATCTATAAGTTGCCAGGAGTTCAAATCTGACATTAGTTTTAGGATTTGACCTTTAGTTGACCTTCAGTGACCTTCGAAAGATTTTTGGATATAAATTTTGGTCAGCTTAATCACAAAAGACCTTTCTGAGCTCTGAATAAGTAAAATTTTCAAGGTCAAAGGTCATCAAACTAGGTCAAACAACTGTGCTATCTTAGTTTCTCAAAGTTCGAGACTACAAATCCAAATCAATATTTTTGTTTGAAAGTCAGGATATACATTCCTCTGAAGGTTCCAAAATGTGTGAGCACAGGACCGTGGTAGACTATGGGTTCTTCATTTGATTTTGGTTAGCAGAGAATTTTAATTTTGTGCCATATAATATATAATAGTCACTATGGATTGAATCAATTGAATTTTTTTTATTCTAGCCCTACGTCCCACCACAAGTGTTCCAGGCCAGAAGAGGAAAGCTATTGTCTATTAGTGCAGTGGAAAACATCACATGTACCAAGATGTTAAAGTGTGGCTCATATATAGGCTTAAGTCAGTATTGACCAATGTGGCTTATAATAGAGTTGTCGTAGAACTTACAGTAAAAGAAGCCAGTTCTCTTAAATTGTATAAGTGCATAAACTAGGTGTTCAAATACACATTTGATGACACTGGGTTGTTGACGGATTGTTGAATGCAATTTATTGTCATATTGTTCATAGTTATGGATGAATGGATCAGTTGAGCTTAATGAATTTGTCATGGACTGATGGATTTGGCTAATATGATGAATAGAAATTGAGTATATACAGATATACTGTCTATTATATGGGTCATAAACAAACACAAGGGACATATAAAGTGCCTGCTGATGTGGATCATATGAGGAACAAATACTTTATTTTAATTAACACATATTCTTCAAATGTCATGCAGAATCAGTGAATGGAATATATGGTGCCCAGAAAATGCCTATGTGTTCATTTGTATGTATTATAGACAGAATCCTCATAGAGGCATTTTTACATTAGTAGAGATTGTAAGAAGCTTTACTGCTTGTGTATAGAATAGTTTTTTTAAATATCCTAAAATCATCAAGCCTAGTGTCTAATAAATTGTGAAGGTTGTGATATAACATAAAATAGTTTAGTATTTAATAGATGAACATGAAGAGCATGTTTGGACTATCATTAGTTATATATCATCTGAAAGGAAATATTAACAAAAATCTGAATCTGAGATTATATTAAACTGCAGTCAGTCTATCAACAACATTCCTTTCAAAGCGCAATATTCATTTTAATTGATGTTCAAAATAATGTATATTTGTATATTTATTTTGATAGTACAGAAATAAATGTCAGTGACATCAATTTAGTACTGTGTATGTTTTTGTGTATTGTTTCTTTCTGAACATGAATCAATTGACTTAGATGTACTTGAATCAGACAGGACACAGAAGGGGTGGAATTGGGAATGATTGAAGAATTATTATTGAGATTTTACTCATGGATATGTATTTGTTGAGAATGCTTATGAGAATGCAGTTTAAAGAGTACGTTCCGGAGTTAAGGAATTGAATATGCATTTAAGAACACTGCTTGAAGAGTGGAAGCCAAGAAAGTGAGACATTGAATGAGCATTCTATTGATCATGGGGTTTGAAAAGCCCATGTATTCATTGACAAGTAAAGGTGTCTAATTTCCCTTGTGTTAATTGATATAGAGTTGATACTTCCAAATTAACACAAAGCCTTGAATGAGCATCCTCCTAAGCAGGTGTCCAGAATCCGTACCCTTTTCCTCCCCCTGCTATAACCAATTTGGAAGCGCCCGATTTAACTGAATCATGTGATCTAATTATTAGCAATGACTTCTACATAATTTCTGTCGCAGTGTTGCAACAGCCAATCAGTTTGCGAGTTCTAATCAGGGAAATGGTAACTGCTTATCGCAGGGGGTAAAAAGAAAGAATATATTCTGGATTTTGAAGCCCTGTAATCGGAAGATGTGAATGAGAAACAAATCATGATTAATGTGTTTTTTGGGCAGTCAAATAAACAAAGTTCAAATGATGTGTGACGATATGGCGAACTTACAACATTACAATGTACTAATGGTACTAATTTACATGGTACTGATATTACATTGAATTTGGCGGCAACTTAATTTGCTGGACTTTGACAATTAAAATTAAATTAAACCTGACCAAATTAAAACTTCTGCCAAATTAAAGTACAGTAAGTGTTCCTAAGGGACACCTTATATATCTATATTGATAATCTCTATAGTATTAGAAGAAACTGCAAAAATTAATTGTAAAGATATGAGACTAACATAAAATATTTATGATGGTCTCAGTAAAAATTACTCCTATTTAGAATAAAACAGATGAAATAAAATGGAGAAATCGCACAGTGACCACTATCAATCTTCATTATTCAATATTAGATTCTATTATATTAGATATTAGATAGATGGTGCTGGCTGTAAGAAATCGGATGAACATTGGGGCTCTCAAGCCTATGATGTGTTATCAAGGAATATTGATGTTCGTAATTTTTATGCACATCAATGTTCAAACTGATGGTCGTTCGATAATTTACTGCAACAAATATTCCACTTCCGCCTTAAAAATAAATAAATTTTTCTTATCGTTTTGTGTGATTTACGGCAGATAACAGTAAGTAAAACTAAATAAAATAAGTAAATTTTTAAATGTCTTTATCATTTGATCTAAATTGATCATATTTTTAGCGCTTTTACACCAAAATTGTATAAACATTTATTTATATAAATTTGATATTTTCTGGGGTTCTGATTCTGATTGTTCAGCTATCTGCTGAGTCTGAAATGGCTGACATTGAGTCATCTACTCCAGGTTACTCAAGTATTATATTTACCACAATTGTCAAATTCTCTATATCAATCAGACATTGTCAGGTTTATGCTTCATGAAATGACATCATCAGTATGCCACGCCCACACATGCTGTCCATTGCAAGACTTATGCCTGGTACAACCCTAGTCTATATCCAATAGACTGAATTTCCTGAGAATTCAGTCTATTGAGCATTATGTCCCTCCTGTGGGAAAAAACAGGAAATTTCCTGCAAACTATTATCAATTTTAGGAAACTTCACTTCCCAAAAATAAGCATTATACGATTCAATTTAGTAGTAAGGTACAATAAAATGCTATAAAAAGTAACTCAGCATATTGTCAAATGGAAATAAAGCTAGGGGAAGTAACAAATATGCAAATTAATTTACCCAGTCGGCCATTTTGAATGGCACTTCCTATGTAAACAAATAATTTTCAATCCCAAATTTTAACATATGTGGGCTATAGTCTGAATATTTTCATTCCAAATTTCAAAAAAATTTCAGACTAGAGGATATAGTCTAGGTACAACCCTCGCCATGTTATGAAGTGTTTTTGGCTCACACAGTGAGCCTATGGGATCGACCAGGCGTCTGTCTGTTGGTCCGTCTGTTTGTCTGTCCATCCGTTGGTCCATCCGTCCATCAACAATCGCCGCACAAATTAAAACTGTTAAATCAAATTTTCTGTAAATACTAGATACTTTGTTGTAGTAGAACTTTCAAAAAACTTGAAGTAGTTGCTGTATATGAAACTTATGTCTGAAGATTTCAAAGCTCTTGGAATTACAGTTTTTGTTGTTTACTCTTATAAAATTTGACAAAAAGTAGGACTTACTCATTTTCAGGAAACTTTCTCATGTATAAAGTCAATGGCATGTTTTGTGATTGACAAGTTTCTCAAAGTTTGCCTTATACTTGATCATTTCTTGCAATGAATTACATCATTACTAGATTTAAGCATTCCCTACATATTGCTCAATATATGTCAGCATCAAATTTTTACCGTTTTTGAGATATTTGACGTCAAAAAACATTAAAAATAAGTTATTTTTCAACTTGCTTCAATTTGACCAAATTATTTATTAAAATCATCTACAAGTTGCCAGGAGTTCAAATCTGACATTAGTTTTAGGATTTGACCTTTACACCATTACTTGACCTTCGATGACCTTTTGAAAGGTCAAAAAAGTTGATTTTTCAAATAATATAACCATTGTCACGGTCATATGGTGCTTTAACATTACCACAGTCATGACAGGCCTTGCAACCATTGTCACGGTCATATCAGGCTTTAACATTACCACGGTCATGACAGGCCTTGCAACCATTGTCACGGTCATATCAGGCTTTAATATTACCACGGTCATGTCAGGCCTTGCAATATAGTATAGCACTGTGACGGTCATATCAGGCTTTAACATTACCACGGTCATGACAGGCCATGCAATTTAATATAGCATTGTCACGGTTATACCAGGCTATCATGATAACACTACCACAGTCATGGCAGGATCCTTGCGAAACTTAAAACACTTAATAACATGGTGACGGTTGTGCCAGGCATAAGTCTTGCAACAGATAGGGTCTCCACGCCTACCTTTTCTCTGGATAGTCAGGGAATATAGAGAATGGGTAGGCAATGTCATTCATGTAGGACTTCTCCTGAACTTTGAATTTGTACCAAGAATAAAAGACAGTTCCTGATGTGTTAAAATAATATACCGTATAGAAAAGTACATTTAACTCAAAACTCAAGTGGACTGAACATGACCATACTGAGTTGTGAGATTGAAAAATACAATGGAGGTGTCCTATAAAACAGCCACCAGCCTCAATATAAACCATAACTAATAGTACTATAAGACTAAATGCTAATAGATTTGTTGAAAATGACAATACAGCTTGACCACAATATGAAGACCTTCAGCCATTATGTAAATAATATAAGTTAGAAATTATACATACTAAGATCTAAATCCGTTACATAATGATGGGATGGCTTCAAAAATCTTATTTTGATACATGTCCACTTGTAGTACAAGGAGGGACTCATTTTATTCTGTGCAAACTGACAAATCAGTACTTATGATTCAATACCAACCAACCAATTCATACATTATAATTTGGAAAGTACACAAATATCTCCCCAAAACCATATTAAATGTTCAAATAACAGTATAAATATGGAACCAATAAAATACCTAGCATCAAAATATTGGAAGAGAGCTCATTTTTATAACTGGATATAGTGAATTGAATTAAAAATTGAGATGGAGGCAGATCTAAAGCTCAAATTCTGGATGTGAATTTGGTACAGTGTAGCATATCATTCACCAGCTTTCTCATACCAGAGATCGCGAAAAATCTACTATTGTCAATTTGTCAAATACTATAGTCAAATATTTCATGAGGGCATTGCCATACAAGATCCGTAAATTAAGGTCTTGCCATTTCAAATCTTGAAAAAGAAACCCCAAGTGCATGGAGGATCCCTGTCTAGGTTTATTTGCAGTGAACTATCTGGGCTGCTTCTTCACTTTTTGGCTCATACACTCAGTAAATGCAATTGTCTTTGGGAGATCGAGGGAGATCACTGAAATTTATGTTATTTCATCTTGTCTTATAGATGAGCTATAATCCATATGGAGGAGGTCAACCCTACCCTCCCCAAGGTGGCTACCCCGGGGCCCAGCAGCCTGGTTACCCTCAACCAGGGGGGTACCCTGCTCAGGTATGTTAATACAATCATAAAGTCCCATACAATGGTATCTTACATTTGTCCATTATCCTTGTTTTAGGGTGGTCCCTCTGAATTCGATCTTAATTTGTCTACTACTATTGTAATCCATGATTTTCTTTTTACTACATTCTTTATGTGTACTTAAAGGCATATTGTAACATAGAGCTGACAAAATGGTCAAACATTTTTTTATCAGGCCTTAGAGTCAATTTCATGGTTTAAAACCTTCTATGATGATTCTATTTTCGAACTATGCATGCATGCCATTCAAAGTCGTCTGTCAAGAACCTTGAAAAGCCATATTTAGACTGAGGGGTTCACAACAATTTTCAGCTCATCTGCATTACGACAGACTGGAAGTGAATTTTCAAGTTGAGTGAAATGGTGATAATGTTGTTTTTATGAACTGGTGAAGTCAAAACATTACAAATAGAAATCATTGGAAGCATTGTCGATCATTAAGAAGTATTTAAAATCGAATCAACTGCAAAATTTGAAATAATTAAAATATTCCACACGGACCTCAGAGAAAACACTTCCTGTTTTATAATCCATGATTGTATCGATCAAAAAATCTTTTATGAATTTTTTTGATAACTGCTGAAATATGGTATGTATACTTCACAGGAAATTGTATCAAGTCCTTTTTGGGCCTAACAGAGCTTTTTGCCCTTCCCCACTCTCAGAACATATATTCATCTGTTGTGAGAGTGGGGAAGGGCAAAAGGCTCCGTTAGGGCCAAAAAAGGACTTAATACAACTTCCTGTGGTATACTAGTGCTGATTGTTAAATTACAAAATAGGTAGGGTAAAGAATATGTAAAAGTTGTTTGATCTTGTCCCAGAAGCAATATTTTGTTGTTTTGTTTTTATCGCCTAGAATTCCTTTAATTCAAAATTATATATTTTCTGTATATTGTCCTACCATAATAACCCATGATATTTTTTCTATAAAATCATTTCAAAACAACCTTATTGCAATATTTTTATGAACAGGGAGGAGTTTCTATGCCGACCCCAGAATCTGCAGGGGCAGGGGGATATGGTGGTGCCCCCTATCCAAGTGGAGGTGGTGGTCTACCTTACCCAGCCCAACCTGGGGGAGGAGGATTAGGCTTTGAGGTAAGGGTTGCTGCAAGTATGCTCTAAATCCAATAATAAATGTCTTTAGGTAAAAGATATACAAAAAATCACACAAAAGCATGAATTGGTTAAAATCAACCATGAATTATGATTTGGTTTTCTAGTTCTATTTAAAATTATCTATTTCAGGGAGTAGGTGGTCCAGGGTCTGCTCCCTATCCCGGGGGTGGGGCAGGTTACCCTCCAGTGGGACAACCCGGATACCCACCAGCAGGAGGTCAGCCTGGATATCCTGCTCCAGCACAACCTGGATATCCTGCACCCAGTGCCTCACAACCAGGATACCCAGCGCCTGCCCCAGCACAACCTGGATACCCCACTCCGGGATGTGCACAACCCGGATATCCAGCACCTGCCCCAGCACAACCCGGATACCCCACTCCAGCTGCCTCACAACCTGGATACCCAGCCCCTGCACCTGCACAACCTGGATACCCCAGCCAGCCTGGGTATGGAGCAGGTGGGGTTCCCCCTGCGGCAAATTACAACACTCCAACTCCAGGATATCCCTCAGCTCCTGCCCCAACAGCCCCACAGGCAGGAGGGTATGGAGCTCCTGGAAGTAAAGGACCCGGTTACCCAGGGGGGACAGGAGGTGTTGTTGCTGGTATGAAGAACATGAATATAGGTGGAACTCAAAAAGTTAAGGTATGTATTACCTACTTGAACCTTTTTGGGGCACCAATGGTCAATCACAAAAAGTTTTGAAAGAAACATACAAAATTATGTTTTTTGGGCAAATCTAGTTTTTCTAATATGAGGCAGGCTTTCAGGAAAGCAAAATAGAGTAGAAGTAAATCAGAATGAGGTGCTGTACCTTGGTCCCTAGTAATTACCCTAGAAACTACAGTATAAAACTTTCTAATCTATCACAAGGACCAGCCAAAGGTGTTCAGATTGATAAGAGGCCACATTTCAAGTTTTTTTTTCAACATGGAAATCCAGGCCTGTCAACCTGGGAACACCTAAAATGAGTGACTTAACATCTACCTTCAGGGAACAAGAAAATTCGGTGACATATAATTCTTATGATTATTCAATAATCAGAAAAAATGCATATTTGCGTGACATATTCTTTCACGGCAAAAAATGGGCGTGACTTCAATTTTTTCAGCAAATGCGTGACAATATTGAAATTGTGGGACAATTGGACGGCCTGGAAATCTATGGCAGTTTGAATAGTGGGACTAAAAAGTGTTCACATCAAGAGGTGTTCAGATTAGAGAGGTGTTCGGATATAGAGGTTTTACTGTAGTCCATGACTCTTTTTTAGTAGTCATTTACTGGTATTATAATTCATTACACTCCTTTATACCAATGCTACCTTAGTTAGTCAGTTAGCCATTTATTAATGGTTAAAGGAACCTTTTGCTGTCATTTCAAAGTTTAGATTTTGATTTATGCCTATTTAATTTCAATGTCACACTGCACTTTACTCTATTCAGCCATATGCACATATTTCTAAGGTCATAAACATTTATGAATGTTGAGAAAAACATGTTGGACAGATTATTAAACATCTATCGATTTTGGTATTTAGAACAAAAGTAATATATTTATGAGATTCAGTAGAGATTATTATGAGTTGAATGAAATAGACCAAGCAATTTACGGTCTAGAAATTGTTCAACAAATTCACCACTGGAACTTTTATAAAGGATATATACATCTTTCATTCAGCAAACAGCTACATATTTCAAGTAAAATAGAGAAAGGGAATAGAAAGACTGTAGCTTTTATTTATGAATTTTAGATGACTCATGAATACTTGTTTATAGTTTGACCTTTGAATCCAATTAAGTGCATTGAGGATTTTAATAGTGAAGAATAATAAGTTCAAGGAAATTATGCATCAAATTTCAGATGTTTAAACATCATATGACATGTGATATTTTGTTTTAGATTATATACCACTTAAAGGGTTACATGTTGAGCTAATTCGTCATCATTAAAACGAATGTAAAACTGAAGAAAAGTATATTTGCATTAGACCTAAGTTGTTTACTCCATGTTAGTGTATCAGCATTGAAGACATCATAAAGATTGCAAATACATAAAATCAAATTAGAATAGGAATCAGAAATTATACTTTATCAAGCATTCAACAGTTGTTTGATTGGATTGAGGAACACTGGATATTTGAATTTGTCAGCAAAAGAATTTCACATTATGGAGGTAAATACATGTTAAATTATGGCTAATATTGAGTTTTCATTTTGAATTTTAATATTAGTTTTCATGTAAGCTATTCAATGAGCTGTTTTCCAGCAGCCTCCATTAATAACACTTAAGAAATACACACAATTCATACCTATAGTTTAATTACAGTCATGCATATATTTTTCACTTTTCAGTTTATTTTGTCAACTTAATACATGTACTGCCAATATAGTGAAAACAACAAACCTAACATTGATTTATACATTGAGGTCAATATCACCTGAGGCAAGAGTCTTGAGTTTATGTTTATAAAAATATAAAAACAGAAAATTAAAATTAAACAAACAATGTATGGCCCTCATTATTATGTCGAGATAGAGAAAATGGGAAACTCAATGATTTATTAACACTAGCATTAATGTTAAAATTGAATTTCATGATAGCTCTTTTACATTTATTGATAAAAATTCTCAAAATGCCTGTTATGGTAAATATTTTCAGACACAGGGCACTGTTAAGGCAGCCAGTCCATTTAGCGCAGAAAATGATGCAAAGATCCTACGTAAAGCCATGAAAGGTATAGGAACTGATGAGAAGGCTGTCATTGATATTCTGGGCCACAGAAGTAACAAACAAAGACAAGAGATCTCACTACTTTTCAAGACAATGTATGGAAAGGTAGGTGATCTGATTTATTGTCGTTATTGTCATGAATTGATAATAAGTGAGAATTGTGTTTTACAAAAATATATTGTTCAGGACTGGTGTTTACTTAGATGTTTTCTTTTCCTTGCTAGGTTCTATGTCAATTTTTGTTCCCCTCCCTTTGACATGAACCTCTGTTTGATGATTCTTTAACATTTTCAACAGCATGTACTTAAGTGCTGTTAAGTGTTATATCCTTGTGGTCCTTCTATGTCACCAAATAGCCTCTGATCTGTGCTAGCTGCACTCTTTCTGTCTCTGTGTGTTATCACTTGTTGAGGTCTCATTACTCTCCCAGACAATGTATGATAATGTAGTGACTCTGGAATCTTGAAATATATAAAGGAGACATATTCACATATTAAAGTTTCATGGAGATGGGAAAGATGCACAGAATTCAACTTTTGAACAGTCAACGTTACATTAATGCAAAAGTTTGCAAATTCTGCAAAAATGTCAGTGAGTCAAACAACAAAAACTTCAACATAAATATTATTCAACAATTATGATTTAAACTCATGATTAACGATAGAGAAAAAAAATGTAATACATGTACTAGGTTTATTATATAATAGTTTGTTTATTTGTTGACAATTTTGTGACTCCCTATAACTGCATCCATAATAATGAATGTACATGTAGATTTTCCAAATGAGAATCTTGTTTGGTTTTTTTTGTAGGACTTGATTAAAGAGTTGAAGAGTGAGCTTGGGGGTAAACTGGAGGATGTTATCCTTGGGATGATGATGCCGAGAGATGATTATGATGCTTCTGAACTTAGACGTGCTATGAAGGTAAAGGGAGAAAATCTGATCAATCCTTTTTTTATAAAACGTACCTATATAAGTGTATAATGTCTAATTTCGTGATAAAGAGCCAGTTATAATTTCGACCTAGGCCCTCCACATTACAATGTATTATATTATGCTGTTTTATTTTATTCACCATCTTAAAGATGAATGGATATATACATAAATATGTTGAAAAATAAATAGCCTGTAAGTTCCTAATATCATTTTCACAATAACATCTTCGAAATCATCTGGCAATTTTCCACCAAGTAAATTGTTTCTAAAACACTGAAACATCTCATTGTATTTACATGAATTCAATATTGGTATAATACTTAACCTTGTAAAAAATTATAAATCATTTGAAGTTCATAGTATATGGTTTTTTCACTCATTTTATTTGTAGGGAATTGGAACAGATGAGGAAGTCCTAATTGAGATCCTTTGTACCAGAAGCAATGCAGAAATCAATGCAATAAAACAATCCTATAAAGTCCGTAAGTGAACGACTGATTCTCATATTAATCATATTAATGTTATGATGACACAGGGAAAAGAATAAGAGAAATATTTAAGGATATATATTGGATCTTGATAATATAAGCTTTAGTTATGGACGTAATACATTTTGCAGAAATACAATGCCATTTGCATCATAGCTATTATAAAAGGTGTATTCAAAACAATATCTTGTGTCAAAATTGATAGATATTTATTGCATGTTTTAAATTATTCTGAGATTTGAGACTTTTATTTTGATATCATTTCAATATGATATAAAAGGAAACCTGTAAAGTGGAACACCTCTTGATGTGAAACACCTCTGTTAGTGGAACACTTTTCAGAGTCCCAGGACCAATCACTGACTTAATGTTAAATGAACCTCCATTTAAGTGAAACACCTAGCACTTTTTAGAGGTATCAGAGGTGTTCCACTCAGGCAGGTTTTACTGTACATACAAATATTCCCACTCATTGGACACGAAGAGGGTATAAAAAGACATTTCAAATGCTGCAGGACTTGCCCACAGTGAGTCGAGGATGAAAGAGCATAAAGGACTTGTGGCAAAAACATATATCAACTCAAATCCCTATAAAACCAATGCTAAATATCAATTTACTAGTTCCAGTCTACTGTCAGCACTTTATACTTACTAGTATGTTGTTTGTGGATTTCTATTGAGTTGCTATTTCTAAATCAGGCCTTCTAGACTTCCACTCATGCAGTCTTCAGTTCAGACCTCGCTATCCACGAATATCAGTTCTTTAGTTGTGAACCACCAGTTCTTCTCTCTCCAACTTATTTCTCTACTGGTCCATGACTAAAGAACTGATGTTCAAGTTGTGAGAATGAGGTTCCGTTTTTAAGGAACATGCATAGAAAGGTGGGAACTGAAGACTTCATGCATGGAACTCTAGGAGGCCGTAAATGTGATATCAGGAATACTCATCCATAAATCTTTTTAAACTACATGTATGTATTGTGTGTCCATGGTAAGTGTTTGTTTGGGTATATTTGATATGGTTGGCAGAGTATTATTTAGGTCATTTTTAGAGACCAACATTTTCTGAAAATAAGTGTAATATGGTGCTGTTTCTGTAGCAATCCCATTTTTGCCAATGTCAGTACCATTTGTAAAATTTCAACCATGAAACGTACCCAGAAATTGAATCAAAGACGCTCCATTATTGCATTGTTCCTCCTTTGTACTACTTCGTAAACATTTCCAGTATGAGAACCAATAAGACCTGGTTATATTGCTGCTATTGCACTGGGTGCATGGATGTTTGGTGTGGCTTTTGCCCATGATCTGTATTGTGCAAGTAATATTCTTTTTCCAGATTACCGTCGGGAAATGGAGAAAGATTTGATGTCAGAGAACTCTGGACACTTCAAACGTCTCATGATTTCTATGGCTGCTGTGAGTAACAATGCCATAGCAACAACAGTTGCTATAACAACCACTGTGGTCATGGCAACTGAATGTCTCTTTCTGTTCATTCTGTGTTGTCATTGATGTCTGCTTTGTGGAAATGAAACCGGTGTTGTCATAGCAACAGTTCACTCACTTGCATGCACAAAACTCATTCTTAAGTTCCACCTAGCAATCAGAAAAATAATTGAGAAATTTTTCATGTTTTCAGTATTTCGGAGAAATTTAGAAAAAGATCTAATCAGTGAAACTTCTGGTCACTTTAGAAGATTATTGGTGGCATTGTCGACTGTGAGTAATTAGATAGTGTTCAGTGTCACTTTTTGATATATTGTGTTTTAATACTAACATAGCTGTATTTCGTGTCAATTTCTGTAAAATGAAAACCTTCTGAACATTCTAGAACCAAATTGATATTGAGTTTGAAGAAAACCTTATTTTATCACCACTTCCATGAACATATGAAATTATGAATCATTCATTGTAGGGAATTTTTAGTCCGTATGAGTCTTTTCCTTTTTTATAATATTTTTTTGCACAACATTTCATTAACAATTTAGAAGACTTAACACTTGTCTCAGATTATAATGTATTAATAGATCTCTGCTACTAATTTATGCTAACATCTTTATTCCATTTGTACAATTGTTTCCTTTCTATAAGCATTTTATTTGTATTGTTTTTTTTAAATTTTGAATTGAATGAACCTGTTTATTTCACTTCTATTTTATGGCAGTCCAACACAGACCCCAAGAAATCCATATTAAATTAAACAAGCTGATTACATGATATTCTGTGTTTTTTCTTGTGGCTATGTACATGAGGTGTGTTGTATATGTAGTAAAGATGTTGTCTTTTCTACCATTATAGGCAGGCAGACAAGAGAACCAACCTGTTGATAGGAACAAAGCAAAGCAGGATGCTAAGGTGTGTATACTTACATTAACATTGACAAAGCCCCATCCGTTCTTTATTTTCTCATTCAGTTGTCCCCCTCCCCCTAATACCATTATGATTAATGCTACTCACCCCCTGTAAGTCAATTATACAGACTATACCTGATAATCATAGTCAATGGGCTCGACCAATATAGTTTCTTGGTGAATGAGTGCTGTAAGTTTTGGATGATACTTTAATGTTGATGTGGGATTGTGCTACTGGGGTTGCAAATACTATAAGGGTTGTCAAACTTTTTACAGACATTTTTAATGAGTTTTCCCTTTTCTGAAAGTGGAATTGGAAACACTTGATGGAAATGATTACCCACCAAATAATCATGTCGCCACAGCAACCAAATACATTGTTTACAAAACCTCCTCTTCGTACCAAAATAGCCATACAATTCAAAAATAAAATCCTCAAAACAGCTACAAGTGCTGTATGTGGTACATTTGATTAATAAATTCCTACGTAATGACCATTGAAAATGTCTTTTCAGCGCCTATATGAAGCGGGTGAAGCTAGGTGGGGAACAGATGAATCAGTTTTCAACATGATCCTCTGCTCTCAAAGTTTTGAGCAGCTGAGATGTGTGTTTGACGAGTATGCCCTAATCTCAAAGAACCCTATAGAAACGGCAGTAAAGCGAGAATTCTCCGGTGATATTGAAAATGGAATGCTTGCAATAGGTTTGTTTAATTCTTACAAATTAAAGAGGATAAGGTATATCAGTAGTTGGCACAAGTTAAGATATATGTTTGAATATGTACGCTCATTTTAAATTATTTGAGTGTTTTTTTTATTTAACTCTTGTGAGAATTACTTACTATTTTGTGGCTGAAATATTTCTGATTTTAGAATTATTAAATATGATGCGTCATAGTCACTTTGCTTGGATTTAAGTGGACATACTAGTTTAGTTATTTATCATTTTTATTTGATTTTTATCTAAATTGTAATAATTTATTTTTCTTTCAATTTGGTTTATAGTTGGATGTGTCCGCAATGGGCCTGCCTACTTTGCCACTAAACTCTACAGAGCAATGAAGGTAAGAAGTCGGGAATATTTCTCATTTGCACATGTGGCCTGCCATTCTTCAATAGCATGTGTTTAAGGGATGGTGTCTAATTAACAACAGACATTGAAGAATGAAGTTAATTTCTGTTTGAACCCCCTTTCCTCATCTCCAAAATTTTTTAAATGTTATGTTTTCATTTGAATATTAAAATTCTTCGCTAATGAAGCCATAATTTATCCCTTGCCCCCCAAGGAAACTAACTGCGTCATTTCCCAACTGTTATCCTTAAGAGGTGTTTAATCAGGGGACACCAGAAGAAAGCCACTTTGCAAGTTCACTCAATGGCAGGCTGCTAAGAGTTAAAAGGGGAAGTTACAAAACACATCAAGCAAAAGAAACAACCTTTCACAAGGAAAATAACCCCCAATACACCCCCAATCCAATCCACTGTCATTTTATTCAATCAAGACTATATCAATCTACATTATTAATGTGATATTGATTTTGATATATACATGTAAGTACATGTAAATATTACTTGTAGGGTTTGGGAACAGATGACCAGGCTCTTATAAGAGTGACTGTTACCCGTTCTGAGGTAGACATGGTGCAGATAAAGCAAGAGTTCCAGAAGCTATACCATCAGTCCCTAGACCAGTTTATAAAGGTAGGTGTATCAGGGATGCAGATTAGGTGCTAATTAGGTGCACATTAGGTGCACATTAGCTGCATTAGGGGTCTTAAGGATGGTACATAATTGAGCGACCAACAGGTGTTATCATATTTATGCATAACTATTCAATTGAATATGATCATCCATATAATAGATATGTGTGAAGTCATATCCAATTATTGCAGCTTACAATTTGCATGATACAGAGAATATTCATGTCTTTTGGTATTGGGTGATACTTAAGTTATTCTACGCTATTAAGTTATTATATGGATATGCTCGTATCAGTATTAAATTAGCCATTGATTATTTGGTACATCATGGGACTCTTAATGTGCATTTTTGTAAGACATGATTTTATATCGTTATGGAAAGATTTAATATATTATAAATAAAAATCTGAGATTTTTATAAATTACTTTAATTTGATCACAAACAACAGTGCAAGAGAATGCTTTGATCATGTATTGCATCAAAACCAACAAATATATATACTTTGTGTACTTTCAGGATGACTGTTCAGGGGATTACAAGAGGATATTACTAACACTCGTTGGCTGTCCATATTAGGATATATTACTGACACCTTTCCATATTTGGATATATTACTGACGCCTGCCCATATTAGACCATTGCGTATTAATATCTGACATGGGAGTCAGTTTCATTTGAATACTAGATATAGTAGACTGAATGAATTTGTTCTTCTCTCAAAAAGATTGAAAGCAGCATATGATTTTACTGAACTTGTATATTATAATTAAGATGCAAATGAGGTGTAGGTTTGCACTATTTCTCTGATCTACTTTATGGTTGTAGTGTTACTTGCATGTGATTGGGCCCTTACCATGATGTGGCCATTATGATGCTCTATATATTATCCATATATTATGAATAATGTCATACAAAATCCTCTATATTTGGAAATATATGGAGTTGTATTGATTCTGCTTGAATTCTGTCAGTCATGCACAGTGTAATGTGATAAAGAGAGGCAATCATGATGCTCTATATATTATTCATTATAATGAATAATGTTCATACAAAATTTTCTATATTTGAAAATATATAGAGTTCTTCTGATCCTGCTTGTGTAATTTGACAAAGAGAGGATGCCAAGGCTCTTTGTAATATTGGCATCCAACTTCCTTGTTGTTCTTCTCTACAGTGAACGAAATTCCCTTGTAAGTTGTATATAGACCCGAGCAAATCATATGTACTTCATTATAATGTTTACATTAATCGATCTTATTGTTAATATTAACTATATTTTTCCTTGCATTCTCTGATTTTTTACTTAATTGTCAAATCAGCATTTACAGACTTTGTACACTAAAACCTTCAGGCCCGTAGCCAGGGGTGGTTCACAGGGTTCGGGCGATCATCAAAATCATGCAGTTTTTCACCATTTTGAGCACTTCTCAAGTGATTTTAGCCATATTTGGGCCAAAATTGTCAAATGTGAACCCCCCTGGAAATTTTTGAAAACTGAACCCCCCCTTGGCAAATCCTGGCTACGGGCCTGACCTGTCTAATTTGAACGCCACACTAGAACCACTCCAAAAAGCAGGTGTTCATATACATAAACGGAGAGGAAGAGTCTATATTAAAAGGTGTTCAAATATATAGGTTTGCTCTACTTGTATAAAACGGTAAAGTGTCTTCACATATTTTTCATGATAAGATTTATCTCATTCTCATCCCTATAATGTAACTAGATAGTAAGTGTGAACAATTGTGATATTTATATAATATCCCATATTTATGTATAAGTGATTGGTGCCTTCTTGACTAGCTCACTTAGGTAACGCAAGAAGATAAAACATAAATATTTTTCCGGAATTTCTTGTTATTATTAAAGGTGCAATGAAATGATCTGTGTTAAGTAATTTTTGTGATTTAAAAGATAATCGTGTGTCATTGTATTCAGATTTTATGTATTACATTTATACATTTTATATGGACAGTAATTTGATATTACATGTATTATGAAAACCCCAACATTTGATCTCAGGGTTTTACTTGGACATCAGCGAACACGAGGTTTGCGCAAAATGGGTTCAATTCTTATGCACTAGAGTACATCTGTTCTCATGCTCTATTTTGGCCGAACTTTGAGTTCACTCATGTCCAATTAAAGTCTAATTCAGAGATCAAATTCCAGTGTATTTATGGTTATCTATTGTCATCAGTTTTTGTAAAACTTCAAACAGCTGTTACGATAGGTCAAAATGTATTTATTGGTTATTGTTTATCAAGTTCACTTAATTGATCGCATCCATATATATTACGAATGGCCCTTCCATAGTTGTTGTGTTAAAACCATGCACAATAATTAAATTGATTTTAAAACTTTGAAAAATGGAAAAATGTAAGAATTAGCGGATGAGATTTAAAAAAATCAAAAATAGATTAAAGATTAGAAGGAAGCCAACACTAAACAGAGGATTTTTTTTATCAAACTTAAGTATTCACTCTGTTGATAGTCTAGGTGCTGTCACCAAATGATATTCATAAACATGTATTAAACAAGAATAAATATAGTCCCAGAGTTATTCAGTAGAAGTAGATAAAATGTTTCACTATTCACTAGTGTATGGTTTTTTTTCATTTAAAGTATACCAAAGGACTCAGATAATCTCGGGATAGTTTTTGCACATATATCAATAAAGAAAGGCAAAATGGAGTAATTTATCCTATGCCTAGTAGATTTTTAGGGTGATAAGGTGGTAAGATATATCCTGTATCCTGATTATGAGGTTACTATCACCCACTTTATCTCCCGCTCCAGGGCATTTTTCCCACTTATCGTAATTTCACTTCAACTGTGAAAATGCAATAAAATGACTGCATATGAATTATATGTTTATTTTCACACCTTGTTCTATTACAGATGCAATATGTCCCTGAAAACTCTACTGGGTATATGAAATAGCAGTTATACAGTTGTTTGGAAATGGGGTTTGTCCAGAGGGTGAACGTGGTTTTAATGATATTCTGTGTCTTTCTTGATAGGAAAATATAGAGTAGTTACCAAGATATAGCCATTAAATTGACTACATTTCATTGTTACATGAACTGATTTTAACATTTAATTAACATTTAAAAAGGTAATGAAACTTTAATCATCCTTTCATTGTCATACTAATATCTGATTAATTAAGTGATAAAAAAGCAATTGATCAGACCAAATACTTTACCCATCATCGATAAACAAACAAGGTATTAACGTGCAAAATGTCACCACCTGCCATTTGCTACATTACAGACACTGAACACCAACTAACGAACACGAACCACTAACTGCTGCCACTTCTCGTGGTGACTTAATTAAGTTTGATTATGACAGGGCTTGGAAATTTTACCAAAATGTTAATTGCCAAATGCTATCATTGTTAAAAAATAAACCATTATGCACCCCTGGTATATGCAGATGCAGCTACCGATAATGGACCGGTCTGGTATAACAGTGTGAGTGATGTGGTACAATGGTTATTTTTTTGAATATATGTTAAAATTACCCATAACTAGCTTAATGTGTACTTTCTCATGTCAAATTTGAAATCTATGATGTCTTGGATTTTTTAAATTTCTAGACGAAGTAAAAGCATTAAAACTTTTTTCTCTTTTACTATGTTTAAAAATTTATGAAAATTTGGGGAACTTCGAAAACATTCCAAGATATCAGAGATTTCAAAAACATGAAAGAAGATAAAAAGCTAGTAATTGAGAAATTAACATTTGAAAATAACCGATGTACTTACTACATGTACATGTCACACTGTTGTACTGAACCAGTCACCATTTTTGCTTCATATACCAAGGGTGTTATGATTGATATTAAAAACCATGTATAAACAAAGAGAGCAATAGAATTTTGATATACAGTGTGATTGTTAAAAAATGCATGTTTTTAAAGATTTACTATGTTATACAGTTTTCTGAAATATATATATTCTCTAACTTTCTGAGCATAAAAAACATGCGTTTCTTGTTTATGATGTGTATTTATGGTTATAAATTATAATTTGCCATGAAATTAATTGTATGCAACAGGTTTAATAGTTTTAATGAAGTCTTATTTATGGATGCCTTGGTTTTGTTTAACCTTTTAAATATCAAGGTCCTATTGTAATAACCCAGATGCGAGTAGAAATAATCTTGATTTATGTCATTAAAAATTCAAAATTCAGTCAAAGTAATATCATATTTGAAATGTACATGTAAAATTACATCTAGAAATGTGGTTTTAAAAAGTGTTTATCAACTTTGAAAAATTAATTTTATTTGAAAATGTGACTTCTAGCTCGGGGAGATTCCCCATAGACCCCATGCTATAAAATCACAAAAAATGAAATATCTTTTCTTTTAGTAGACAGATAATATTTTGCTTTACTGGACATATTTTCATTAGTATAATAATCAGACACATAAGGGTTATATGAAAATTGAGCCACTTAAATTGATAATATTCAAGTTTAAGGGAACTTATATACCTGCCATGTTAATTGACCCGAATCAGCCACCTGGTGGTGAAACTGGTAACTACCTACTCCCATTTCGGTAATTACATGTACACGGTTTGAAAAGGGAGGAAGAAACTATTTAATTTTAAGTTAACACACAATTGTTGATGATAAAATACTTTTTGTTTAATATTTCGTACTGTTCACTATAACAATAGATATACATGTACAGTAAAACCTGTCTCATCCAAATGCCACTGGGACCGGCCAAAAGTGTTTGGATTAGCAGGTGTTCACATTTCAAGGTTTCTAAATATTTCAGTCAATGGGAGAAACAATATTGGGACTGAGAAAAAGCGTTCACATTGTTTTCAAAATTTCTTGAAAATAGCTACAGGTATCATCTTCAACTGATACAGTTGATAATTATTACACGAGCAATGCCATCAAGTTCACAAATTCTATTTTTCCCCACTCTTTTTGAGGTGAATTTTTGTATCATCAGATTTTTTAGTCATGGCTCGATGATACCTGTCCATTATTGACTTTCCTCTTATTTGTGATATATTCCATTTTGATGAATACTTCCTGGCATATTTTACAAAAGTATCTAACCTGGAACTACGCAACAGGTCATTTTCTTTACTGTCATGAAATAGACTTACCCCATAACACATAGCTACCTTGTATCCATGGTATTTTACATTAATAAAAAAATCACTATGTTCTTTAGTTTTAAGACTGGCATCCCATCCTCCAATCTTTAAAAGGTGTTCACGGTTAGCAAGAAAGACGTTTTGACACACGTCCAATGAATAACATTTAGGAAACCGACGTAACTCATTATAGCTATACTTGCCAGCTTTAAGTTGGTTAAACATACCACCTTTCAATTCTTTGAATCGTAATATACCAAAATAAGTATTTGAATATTTTGCACAGCTAATGCTTAAATCAGTATTTTCTAAAACTTCAACGAGTTTGGAAAGGTTTGTCAACTGTGTGAATCTGACATCATCATCCATAACGAAGACATATTTTGTCGATGAAAGATTCGCTGCAATATTCCTACCCTTACTTAAGCCAATGTCTCCTTCCAGTTTCTTATATGTCACATTATTGGTCTTCTGAAGAAAGAATTCAAAATCATGGGCAATCTTTGTGTCATATTTCCCCCTGTACGCCTCCAAAGCTAATGGCTCATCATTGATGATAACAATTTGTATTTTGGGGTAATAATTCCTAATTGATTTAGTCATATTTATCACTTCTTCTAACCTATTACCTGTCTTGGTTATAATAGTTACACAGTCTTCAGGTTTTATACAAGGGTTTGTGTTATGCTTGTATTTTACTATTGTAGGCCTATTCAGTGAGCAGAGAGTACCATTTTTGCAGTCTTTTTTAAAATGTTCCCAATAATTATCAGATATGATTTCGATAACATTAGTGTCATTGTCACTTATTTCTACATCCCATATGTTGGTATTTTTTTCTCCAAGATCTCTGTTTTTATATTCAGAATTTGATTCTTCATTTCTAGAATTTGTGTCTTTGTATCCAGAATTTGATTCTTCATTTCTAGAATTTGTGTCTTTGTATCTAGAATTTGTTTCTTCATTTCTAGAATTTGTGTCTTCGTTTCCAGAATTTGTGTCTTTGTATCCAAAATTTGTGTCTTTGTATCCAGGATTTATATCTTTGTATCCAGAATTAGTATCTTTGTATCCAGAATTTGTTTCTTCGTATCCAGATTTTATGTTTTTGGATCCAGCGATTGTGTCTCTAAATCCAGAATTTACATAACTGTATCCAATATTTGAGAATGGGTTATTGTAATACATGCTAAACATTACCATAGACCCAGCAATTAGAAAAATATAGGCCTTCATTGCTTGTTCATAAGGTTTAAACCAAAATTTCAGTTAAATTCATATTGAACTATTATTTATTGAATCTTGATCTACTGTGATCACATGCAACATACTTTGACAGATTGAAAAGATATACGATCAAAAGTTTTGTTAAAATTGATTAACTCTAACGATTCAAATTTGAAAATCAATGCCTGTTCACCTTTAATCATTCAAATAACTTATCAAATTACCAAATTATAGTTAAATAATCGGACAAAGTCTGGCGTTCTGCCTCACTTTCTTACCAAATAGAACACAGAACAGTCATTTTCTAATATTGTGATAATAGTATCGTAATGATGAATGATTACTGAATACAATAATCAAAGATGTTAGTTTCCCCAATAGATTTTGCATTAGGTATGGCAATTATATTTACTACAGTAACTCTCTGATGTGATATGAATGGAGTATGTTTCTATCTATAAATTATTCTTGATCCACTCACATTTTGGGAGCCCATAGTGCTCCGGGATAGTGCTCAAAAATGATTACTGCTTACTTAATAGTTTTTAGGCTGATGATTGTACTGCCATCTTTATTTAAAATTATTTACATTGCCCTTAGTTGTATATGGTTTGCTTCATACAACAAAACTAGTGTTTGTAAACATATTTTATGTGCATGTTTATTAAACATAATTCAATTTACACAATTTCAATATGGTGTGTACCATTTTTACCTTTACTTATTTTAATAATACTGGCTCATAGCACAGCTTCTGAACTATCATCTTGTGCGCTAGTTACAAATTGCACTTTGAATACAAATTCTTCTCCGTAAGAAATACTGATTTTCTAAATACAGCAAACCAAATGCTGTTTTCAAACAATAGAAGAGGACCAACCTCTTACTCTGATCCTAAAATACGCCAGATATATTTGGCATATTCACTATCTATAGACTCTGACACAAACCATTCCTGTACATATTTTACTTGAAAAGAATTTCTGGTCTATTGGGTAATTGTATTTGAGTCTTGAATTTATCATTGCTGTTTAATTTAGATAAGCGATATTTAAAATTTGATATTTGAAAAAGTTTGTATCAAAGTCCAATAATAGTGTAAGTTGCAGGTCACTCAGATCCTTTATTTAGAAAGTTCACATTTAGAATTTGAACCACTTTAATTATCTAATTTGAGCAGTTCTTTTTTATTCCTCTTCAATGGTATCTTCTGTTGGTACAATGGCTGTAATTTGCCCCCTGCAATGAACCAGTTATTGTTTATAAAACCTTGCAAAGAAGACATCATTTCTAAAAACCTTTTTTGTTTGTTTTGAAATGCAAATTATTCTTTTTGTGACATTTAATAAAGCAAAATTGCATTTAACTGTAAACATACAAAATTTGTTATTCGATCCTTAGCAAATGTTCTCAAATAAACTCATGGATAACTTATTCAAAATAAATCTCTGAAGTTCATCTGTAATATTCTCTGTACAATGAATCAACCTGGTTAGGGATTTCAGTGATGAAAGTTTATTTAATTAAAAGTAATTGATCCAGATGAGAGTATTAAAAACCTTGACATGATATAGCACTTTTAAATACATGAACCACTCTGATTTAGGCAGGGTTAAAATACACACCCAAATTTGAGTATTTTTCTTGTTTATCAATTGACTTGTATGCATGCTTAATTCTGCAAGTGTTAAATAGCAGTGAAGCCATTCCAAAAAGCCATTTTATTTTAAAAATAAAGTGCAAGTTTAAAATAAGTGAGAAAGTGTGAATAATTGCACTTTTACAAAAAATGTTGGATCACACTTTAGTATAATACTAATTTTAAGTACATTTATAAGATCACATGATCATAATTTATACTTTTTTTCTCAATGATTGCACATTGCAATTTTTAATACTGTGATTTTTTCATTTAGTGTACATATCTAGTTCATAAAAGAATTGGTTAGTACACCATGACACCATGGCTTAAGAGTCACTGTCCATGAAATAATGGGAAAATATGGGTCACTCCCATAGCACAGTTCTTCAGTTGTTAGTAAAGTGGTAGAGAACTCCTGAAAAATAGAATCCACTCTGCAGTTTACAATTTAATTAGTTTTCAAGCAATTGATGATCAATTATTTAATATTGTATCTGTATTTGAATGGAAAAACAGATGCAAATACAAGGAGATGGAGGGAGGTTTCCGGATTCCTTGATATTTTGCCAGAAATGCATGATCCTCCTTTCCTGTAATTAACCCCCATCCTCCCCTTGCCATGCTTTTCTGTTTAACATTGGAATGATCTTCTTTTGATACAATAATAAAATTTACCACCAAATGTCAATAAAGCTATAAATCAAATCGTTCATTCTATATTTGTATACTCTCCCCCCCCCATAAGTCTTGCAACTGGACGTTTTTTAGCAAGTCAAAGTCTGTCAACGTTTGAATCATAATTTTGATATTTGATATAAATCCCCAAACATTGCAGGTTTTGACAAGTGATCAAAAAAGGGACTTCCAGTTGCTAAACTTATCGTGGGAAGTGTAAGTCTGAGCTAAAGGATAAAATAGTACAAACACTCTAATCTACATAATAGCTTCAAAACAGGTAAATGAGCGATATACATGTTCTGTAAACTGTCAATTACAAAAGCTATATAGTCAGGTCTTCATTCAAAACCTGAACAAGCAAAGGTACAAATGCAAAACAAGAAGAACAACATTTTTAGTACATGTACTACGAAAATTTTAATTCCAACTTTTCTTTTAATAGCTAATAGAGTTTTTAATATGAATTAGTATATGTATTATGCTTGAAAATAAAAGTGTATATATAATCTTATTAAAGTATACCTTGGTCGACTATGGGCTGACACATTGCTCATTCTACTGTTCCCTCTTGATACAGGCCTGTATGGGCCACCTAAAATATATTGGACTTGATGAAAGCAGGCTGTCACAAAAGTATCAGTAGTACCCCGGACAGGTTGGATGATGCAGTCGTGTTCAATACATTAAAAAATTTGATCGGTCAAACTCGATAGAATGAAATATTTGTATAAAATTCCAATCTACCTAAAAGTTACATTTATAAGTTTTAGATTGACAAAGATCAAAGTTGATTGTCGAGAATAACTATTCAAAAAGTTTCTTGAACTTTACGAAATAATCTATAAGTGAAAAATAGCAAATTCATTTTCCAGAAGAAATATTTCAAAACCACATACAAAGAAAAACAAACAAGCAAGCAATTGAAAATTACCTTCAAGGTCAGTGGTTTCTTCATATGATGATTCTTCAGGATTATAATAGCTACTCCTATATCTGTTGGTGTTATTGTTTCTGTTGTTGTAGTTTGTATTATTTTGTTGTCTCCCCTGTCCAGCAGGGAATGGGTATGACGCCGATAGCCTTGCGGATCTAATGGCTTCGTAAGAATTTGATGGGGTTGGTCGATACCTAAGTCAATTTTTTGATATATTTAGTTTATTAAGTAAACAGTACAAGGTTTGTGTGTGTATATGTGTATGAATTAAATAATAATGAATAATAAATTATCATGAAACACATGATACTTATAATTTAAATCTTATGTGTGAACTTAATGGCTTCTCAGATAAAATGAAATTACATTTCTCAAAATGGGATGAATACAAATAACTCAATAACCTGAATTCATATACATGTACATATTTTCTAAATTATTTTGAATGATTTGGGTAGTTCACCAAATTTCAGAGTAAAATGATTCGTAAAATGGGAGGAATTTGTGTTGAGCCTTTAAGACTAGAGCATAAAGAGTCTTTAAGAGCATCACACATGAGCCTTACCATGGGCTTTGATCTGTATGTGTTGCTCTGTCTTCTACTGCCTGTCGGAACTCTCCAAGCTAATACAAGAGATAAACAAATTAAACCACATTTATTTTTTTGATTTATCTATCATTATTCATTCATATCAACGGGTGACACATGATGCATATAACTTGCCATGTTCATGACTTGCTATGTTATCAAGAAGGGGGAGAGGGTGTTGGAAGGTATTACTGTGTCCGCATCTCAACTCTTCAAGCTGATGTTTTTCAAATCAATTTACATTGTAATGATATAATTTACAATGTCAGGATATAATTTGAACAATCAACTCTGGAGGATCAATAAATTTTTACCTTTCACGCTAGATTTATAGATTAGTTTCATTAACAATAAAACCATTGTTCATGACTTGTTATGATTCAATACTTTGATATCAGATATGACATAATGTGACAATTCGAGGTTTCATTGTGAAATACTATTCCAATCCAAATGAATTATTTACTGACATATGCTAGGTATATACACAATGTTTTATTCATATAGACTTATACAGAATTTCTATGAAATACATTTATCAATTATATTGGAAACAAAGGTTTCCTAAGTTGTGACCATATCATTGCACTTAATGATTGCTCTACCAGTAGTTGATAGTTTGATTAATGTAATACAACATGTATTTGAGAATATGCATTTCAAGCACAATGATTACTCCACTCCATCAGCAGTTAATCCTATAATCCTCAGATTACAAACTTGAGCATGTTTTACTCTTACTGCTTTATTTATGCAATATATCAATTTATTCAATCTTAATTGAAATAGGAACTCTAAATTGAAACATGTCATACCACTGAGCTTATACCATCTAAAGGGGAACATGTACAAAGACTAGAGAAAATTCTGTATTTGATCAGCTATCCTGATTATTTTTTCAGATATTAGGTTTAAGAAATCTAGATTACTTCAAAAGAAAATTTGGACCATTATTATGAAAATACAATTTTACATTTATAACTTTCAAAGTCCAAAGTAGGTAACAAAAAAATTTAAAGTGAAGCAAAGAACAAAGGAAAATGATGGAACAAGAAAGTTCCCAAAAAGTTCTGATTTCACTTCAATACCTTCAACATTGGACATGTATGAATTGTAAACCTTTTTTCATTTATTCAATTCTGGCATGTTTATTCAAAGGATTGACTGCGTCTGGCATTTTACACTTCATATTATTTGCTGTCCCTTTAAGTACTTCAATGGAAGAATATTTATCTACTTTTGAAATGTAATTTGTAAAAACATTTTAAAGGATCAAATCAAGGGGCCTGTTTTTGTAATCATTAGCTTTCACCCCGAAGAGCCTGAGTTGAGTTGAAAAGTCAACATTCAAATCTGCGGAAAATGAACAAAGAGCTAAATGTCAAATAAGGGATATTTTTACATAATAGAAAGATTATGTTGATCTTAAATCTTCTCATGGATCAAATGTACTACAATAAATAGTGATTAATCTGAATTGATTATTTTCATTCTGCCTTGAAGAGGTATATTCCTTGACAACTTTTGTTGCTTTTATTTTAAAAATCAAATAACTATATGAACTTTTCACCTATATGTGAAATCTCGAGCGCTTAATAAATGTTTAACACCATGGGCAAGTCAAGAGACAGGCGGCAACCTCACCAAGACTTACCAATAAATATATTTTTAGATGTCTTCAATCAAAATTATGGGAATGAAGTCCACAGGTACCAATATACCTCATTTAGTTTTCATTTGCCTCACCTATCAATTTTTGCCTCACTAAATTTAAGATTGTGGTTATGCCCCCCCCCCCAAACACATTCAAGAAATTTACCTGGTGGCAGTCTATTAGAATGAAAAGGCTAAATAAGTAATAGGACAGCACTGTTTAGTATGCATGGTAATCTATGATAAGGAATTCCATATGGACATACATAGTAGATATATTGACTTTGTGCATTGTTATCATACCATCCCAATGGAATACTTTTACCCTATAATTAATTGAAAAATCAAATGAAGTTCTCTTTTAAAATGGCCACACTAAAAACTTGAAAAATTACTTAAAATTTATATCAACTTTTGTAAGATCAATAAATCACTTCACAGACATTTACATTTGGCTTTATTTGTGCAATAAGAAGTCATAACTTGCCATAAATAATTTACTTATTACTTACTGTATATCTTCATTCCATTAGGTGATCAATTATGAATTTTTCATTCAATTAATTTAACAGAACACAAGCATTACGGTTTCTCCTTGAGATAGCAATACTCTGTGTCATTTGTTTTTAATATTTACACCAAATAGATACAGTAAACCTTGTCTAATTTGAACACCAGTGGAACCAACCTAAAGTATTCACATTGACAGTGTTCACATGTTTTCACATTTTTTCAAACACATAATTCTTTGGTAGATTAATAAAAGGGACCAAAAAGTGTTCACATTGAAAGGTGTTCAAATAAGAGAGGTTTTCTGATTTACAAGTTTCACAGTAGGTGCTAATTTGTTTCTTACCTGTATTTGACTAGCTAAAGGGGGTCTCTCAGTGAGCCTAGGGTGGCACCAGCCTACCTCTCCCACACAGGCAGATTTAGGGCGGAGGGGGAAGAATCCCCTTGGCGACCTCCATAGATATGATACCTGAAAAGGAAATATCAAAATATAATTGTGAATTGGCCTAACAATAAATATTACAGAGTACTGTAGTAACAGAAATCAAAATGAGGTAACATTTGTAATGAGATATAATTTTGTCTTGTGTTCAAAGTTTGCATTGTCTCATTTAAGCAAAGATTTTTATTGTTGAATTTTGCATCTTTATAAAAATGTATATTACGGTATGTGAACTACAGAGTATTGTAATAGACATCAGCATTTGTAGTGAGGTTTTAATAATATTTGTTAAATGTGTGCATGGTTTTGATAATTAAGCCCAGATTTATATACTAAATCCTTGATTGAAAGAATGTACATTATGTGAACATGACCATATAAGTATTTCTTTTAAAAATACAACATACCTCACTGGTACCCTCAGCAGACATGGTATCCTCCCCAACCCATCTATGCTCACTCTCTGGCTGGGCAGTTACCCTGTGGTCACGAATGCCATCTGGCCCTGAAAAATATGTAAAAGATCAGGAACTGATAAACAAAGACAAATATTATTAAAAACAACATCCTAGAAGGTAGGATTACAGGTTTTCATACAATTTTTATTTAAAACATGTCACTAAAACATATTCAGTGAAGTTCTTATTTCAAAATTGAAAATTCCCTTGCAAAAAAGTATCTGAGCCTTGAATTATGTGACAAATCTTAGTTATTTTTCAGGAATACTGATTCTGGTTTTTCCATAAATACATACCTTCAATTTCATCCTCACAGATTGGAGGCAAAATCCCATATATATTACATTTTGAAACTTGTCCCTTCAAAATTGGTTCCATAGAGTTCTTATTCAAAACATTTTTATTACAGTCCTTACTTAAAACAGGAATGGAATCCTTATTCAAATCAGGCTTACTTAAGTCCTCCCTTAATTCAGATTTAGGGTGTTCATTCGAAATATGAACATTATTATTTGAAATGTGTTTGTTATCCTTGTTTAAAACAGGCAAATGGATTAATCCAAGTAAGTTATTTACAGATTGAGAGCATGTATCACCATCATTAGTTACTCTGTCGATTACTCCACTAGATCTTTCATTTATTGCTGGTAAAGTCAATCCAATGCCAAACATATCAGTTGTCCTGAAATTTTCCCTATCAGTCGGCAGACTAAAGTTTACAATCCTTTTCTGCAACATTGTTATTGTTCCAGATGGTCTCTCTGGTAATAGCAGATTAAACGCAGTTTGTTATAATTTTATGATCATTCTTATTGGCTATAATGTACGCTATAAATTGAGTATCCAGGTAAAATAAAACCACTATTCAAAATAGTCTTGGAAACCTGCATTGATGAATTAATCAATCAATCAACGTACTCTTATTCGTGCAAACAAAAAGTTCTTTGAAAATTCTTTTTACCATTTCCTTTGAATGCTTTTCACGAATACCCTTTTACAAGATGCTTACATATACTCTTAGTCTTAGAGATAATTTTTGATTGATCCAACCTGCATCCGCCAATTTGAATATGTAGCCATACAACTCCCATAAACAATTTGAAGCCCATCAAAACTAGTATAGAGTATTTTATCTCATTTAGATATTATCAATATATTACTTTAAAATCATCATCATTAGTCTTGTAGGGATTCAATGTAATAAAGTACATACACTCCCCTCCATATGCTAGGAGAGGAGAAGTCCTATTTTGGATCACCTATCAAAGCCAATTCATGATAGGCAATTAAAAAAATTAAAACTTGTCATGAATTTCCTATTTACTAAATAAATTTAAAAAATAAAATCCAAACATTAACAGCGTTTGATATGCTTTCCAATGAAAACTTCATGTTGCAAAACCTTTGGAGGGGAGTGTACATTGGATCTATAGCGGGAATGGAATATAAAAGGTTCAGATCAATTTAATGATTACCGTATATGTGACTATTTAGAATGTAGAAGTTTATCCAAACTTGAATAAATATTTGTACAGTTTTGTCTTTGATATTAGGTTTTGATTTAATCCATTGTTATGTCCATTATATAATTGAAGCCAATGATGAGTGGTTATCATATAACTGACCAAATATTTGTAATTAATCAATTGGCTTTTTTGTATAATCTAGGCTTAGGAGAATTAAAAGATTGGAATTGAAATTTGGATTTTGCATTTTTGATTCTTTTTATATTTGAAGGTATGAATATTTTAATTTAACAAACGATTATTAATTAATTAATTCATCAATGATAGGGCTTGAAAAAGAGCTTGTTGGTACACCCTACACCAATGAGCTCCAATATGGCAAGCAAACATAAATTTGGTGTTTCATTTTTGAGAAGTTGTAATCGTGGAAAATGTTGTCTCAATTTTTCAAACAATAAACATTGGTGGGGAGGGTTGGTACTTTCTGCGGAAAGTGATAATGACTACATTCTAAAAAATCTTTTTACGGCCTTACAATGCTGGAAGCCATGGACTATACAAATTTCACACATAAATCAATATAATTATCTGTCACTAATTTTCCATAAACTTTGAAAGTAGTTTTCCAACTTATGAAAAAGTTTGAAACTTTTATCTCACCTGTAAAGAGCATTGCTCCTTTCCCAAGTCTTTCTGGACCAAACACAGAATATCTCCATGTTGTGTCAGTCTTCTGTGATGCAGACGTTGTTTCAGAATCATGACGCCTCCTAGAGTACTCCTGCATACCATTCGACATATTCCCAATTATTGGGATTATGGATTTAGAGAATTACTGAGCATTGATCTGGAAGGAGAGAAATTGATTCCTAGTAACGTGACGCCTAGAACTGCGTTGTCAAGGTCGGAGTACATTTGCGAAAATATTGTTTTTTGATTTAGAGCACAAAATTGAATTAATTATTAAGAGAATTAAATAAACTGTTGTAGTTTTTCATACGGTTTTCAACTTGGTATTGTAAAATGTAAATGAAGTATAGATAATTTAGTTGTTTTTAATTTGCGCAAATTATTGTCGATTTTGTTTCCCCCACTTGATGCGTATAGTCTCGTTCACGAGATTTCAGACGAGGCTTCCCGGCGTGTAAGTTCAACTTTCGTTCATTTTATTAGAATATAAGCTTTATATCCTAACATATGGTCACAGGACCATTGTAAGTATTGCTTAGATACGATAGATGCAGAGGATGTTGTAGTTTGTGCATGTGTCACGAATACGTGACAGATGCACAAACTATAACACTGGAAAAACATCTTGAATTTTTCGTCACCCGTTTCTGTTTTCATCACAATTCTTTTCTTCACTCATCACTGTCCAGTTTAGTTCAACAAGTACACCCAATACCACGGCTTTCATTTATTCAATCTGAATGTTATTGTTGCTTAGGTGCATTCATGCACCCTCTGGGTCTCTGAGGATCGTCTAATGCAAGTCCTTACGACAATCCAACGCATTAGAGGCGGTGTTCACCGTCTACTTGTTGCCGTGATTGGGTCTAACTTCCGTGCTATGCTTTCATGGGTTGCAAATTCTCACTATCAGTTATTAATTAAACGCGCATGGAATTCCATACGCTGCTGCCATAGGCCACCATAAAATTTTTTGCATCAAGGGCCGAGTAGGCACGGACGTTAAACCTAGGGCGGGCCACAAGATATGTCAGATAAAAAATAAGGCCCAGTCTAGACCGTATCCTTCGTCTGAATAGATTCAGACCGAATATTATATTCGGTCTGTTGGATACATACAGTTGGGGACATAAATAAATGACAGGTGGATTTGCTGAAGTGAGGATTTCCCATGTTAAAAATAAGAGAATTTACAAGAGGCCATACATCAGTGGATGAGATTATACAAAATGTAAAATATACAAATTTTAAGGGATATATATCTAGACAATATTGGAAATTATGGGCTTTCAGACCACCATAATTAGGAAATGGTGATCGAAAATCGACCTGTCATTTATTTTTGTCCCCAACTGTACTAAGGCCCAGACTAGGTTTAACTTGTTGAACTATGTCCAGTTCTGAGTTACGGAAGACAGCTGGCTCAAAAGCAGGTGGAGGATAACAGCCTTTTTGCTGCCAAGAATAGGCAGTTACATCATAGGCCTGGGAAAAATCGAGTCAAAATATTCGGGTAACGATTTTTGGCATGCAACCGAAGATACCTCAAGAAAAGCAGGAAATTAGCATTGCCAACAAACTGAGCTGAAGGTATAGACTACGGCCCACTCTGATAATTGTAACTCCTTCCTTACATGAAAGGTTACACATTCCAACCTATTTCAAACCATCTGTATGATGATACTAGACACTTTCTGGGTAGTTGGACTTTCTATAGGGGTGGCAGACGGCCCCCAGACCAATTTATACCCCTACCCCCAAAATACCATGGGGGTACTTTAATACCACCCAATAAAAAGAATACTAATGCATGTCAGATATTCATTGTTTTATATTGGGTAGGGCATGTTATGGTTAGTTAGTGCCAGAAATTTCCAATCTCTAACTTATATGGTTACCATAGAAACAGTATTTAAATCTCGAAATATTCTCAATTTGACCCCCTCCCAAATGTGTCCCTTTGTTCTCAAAGTGAAATATTTGCAAATCTGTTTGGATTTTATGGCTGCTTCTTTGTCAAAAATTGTATCAATATGTATATTTTAACATTTAAACACTGAAAAGTGTTCATAATGATCCTATAAATCAATAATATTTATCAAATATAGTCACACATAGCTGCTTTTAGGGAAAAGTGGGCGTGGCACTTTTTGGTACGTGTGTACTTGTTGCAGCATTAAATGAAAAATACATATTATACTAACAACAATTGACATTTAATTAGCATCTAATTATGTTGTGTAACATTGTAATATGTTCATTATCATTATTAGACACTTTAAATATTTTATATAAGTGTTATCCTGACCCTTCCCTTTATCCCTACACCCTTCAAGGTGGGCATTACCAATCGTGTCAAGTTAACATTTCTGTTTGATTTATTTTTACCATAGACAAGGTTCAAAAGCTTTACCATGAGTACTGACCTTATTAGGTGCTAAACTGATGAATGGATAGGTAGGTGGCAGCACTTGTGCTGGTTGGACTACACGCTAGCATCTACCATAGACACATATTAATTTACCATATTTGTTATTTTGGATTAAAGTAAAACTGCTTTCGCATCAAGCTTAATGAGATTCAGATTGTGTTTGAAACTAGATAATCTTCAGATTTTGTGTGAACCTTAAATTCATGACAATCAAAAGAATTCAACATTTAGGAAGTCAACATTAAGATTTTTAACATCGTCTCAATGAGAATTTAGCACGACCTTTTTCAGAAAGTTAAAGATCATAGAAAATTGAACATAATCAAAGTTCCTCAGTGGAACATTTAATCTCCTAAAATCACATTAAAACTATATCAGCAATATTTCCAAGCTAAATAGTATAATAAAAACTTCTATCACATCATTTGCAACGTTTTCATTATTCAATAGTTCAACCCTATATGAATTCTTGATGATTTAAAAGTGCAAGGAATCTAAATGAATCAGGGAAGCCAGTGATATGTATTTGCCTTATTAATTGTTGACTTATACAATGAAATAGACTTAGATGCAAGTAGAAATAATCTTGCTTTACATCATAAAAATTCAAAATTCAGTCAAATAAGTGATATCATATTTGAAATCTTCATGAAGAATTACATTTCTTCATGCAATAAGTTAACCTTTTAGTGAGTAGTTGTGACTAATGTAATCATGCACTTATATAATTTGTCAGTAAAAGTTATTTATCCTATACTTAGTGTTTTAGGTAAATAAAATGCATGAATATAATTGATACCTTAGGTGAGTGGGGATATACATGTACTGCATATCCCGCTTTGTCCCATACTTGGTCGTGTTTCAGGTAAAAGCAGGTTTGTAAAAACTTATATTTTCATCAGCGGGCAGATATAGCTTTACGTTCTGTTGCGAGCGGGCAGATATAGTATATCTGCCCACTCCGTCATAATCGCCCTTTCAGGATAGTTCCAATATCCTGAACCTCATATAGGATAATCTCTATGTATCGCCAGGTTTATCACCCGCTCAGTAATCCCCTGCAGGAATTTCATTCTGTGCAATTTCTCATATTTTCGTATATTAGTATATGATAAATAGTTTTGGGTACAAGATATAACCCTTGGGAAATATAATATTCTACCCTCAACCCCGCGGGGAGGTATATTGTATTTCCCTCAGATATATTGTATTAATCCCTGTATTAAAAACTTCCCATTAATTAAACCTCATATATAATGCACACCATTTTAAATTTGAATCAAAACTATGAATTAGTGATATCCATGTTTCTAACGAAAGCATAAATTTGAAAGAAACAAACATTCTACTCATATGGTATAGAGATATTACCAGTTGTGTACATTTTAGATTTGATTGAAGAACTTCATTAGGTGCAATTTTGAAATTACAATATATTAAAAGAGGCTCCGTTGCTTAGATGGGAGAATCAATTAGCTGCATTGTTCAGTTTATGACAAAATTGATGTTTAGTGTTACTTTCATAAACACCCATCCTGTAAAATAGCATTTGGAATCTAGTAGTTTGTATATAGATGAATTAGATAAGGCATTGTCGAGGAAAAATATCCAACAAGATTACTAGTTTGCTCATGAAATTAGGCATACTTTAACTTGAAACAATTTGTAACACTCAATCTTTTGGGTTTGGAGATCGAAGTAATAATGATGAAAAACAAGCAATTTTAAAATATTTACGTTTTACCCAAATTTTTAAAGATTTTTGTTAGCCTTTGTTTCGTCTGTTTTATTCTCAAATAAATCATGGTCATCAATTCTATTGTGACATAATCATCATTTACCAATTTTAAAATTAAATATTACTGGTTAGAGAATGTGATTTCTTACTTTAGGTTATATTTATATCCCGATTTATATGTATAATAATAATTGATGAAGATGAATAGAGATTATCCTCTATGAGGTTCAGGGTATTGGAATTATCCCGAGGCCAATATAATATATCTGGTCGAGGGTCGTAGGTCCCGAGGGAAGATATTTTCTTTATTGGCCAAAGGCCTTAGGTCCTGAGGGAAGATATATTATATTTGCCAAGGGATAATCCTAATAGCATGAACTGACTATAGGATTATCTGTTTATCCCATATCAATCTTTCTTATCTGGTTCACATTGTTCAATTGGCCAGAGTTAGAAAGAATACAACCACATGAATGTATTCATGACTAATTTTGTTTTCTTGGCCTTAGGAGGATTCTCCTGTTTTTTAAGTATTCATCCACATATTCTGGAATCATTGATTATTAACATATGTATTAAGTATGCTACTTCCCTCATTGCTAATCATACACAAATGATGATTATGACTTAGTGGGCAGGTGTAATATATCTGCCCTCTCAGGCAGGGACATTAGCTATATCTGCCCGCTGATGAAAATATAAGTATTTATAAACCTGCTATATGTATCTGAAACATATCCAAGTATGGGACAAATGTATCTACTTTGATTTCATACACTAAACCGATTTGTTTAGGAATTATATGAAGTATTTCAAAAACATATACCGAACCACTATTGAAGGAATCATTGAAAATACAGCATATCAGAAACATGTGTAAATTGTTTATCTTGCAATTATTTTGCTAAATACTAATAGAAATTATACTGTACCTTCCAGAGAATAGCTTTTTTGTTAACTATGAGCCAATGAATGAATGAATGCATTTTATTATAACTGCAAAATGATGCTCTATGTAATTCATACGAAAAATTAATTTTGCCATATTAGAATCAAGTATAATCTTTAATCCATTGGATAGATCATGCATTGCCTGATGTTGAGGTATTGATAAAAGAATAAGCAAGTGTCTGACAAAATAGATTTTAGTGTTATGTATTAGGCAAAATATTAAGAAGGGTATATCCTTCGAACTATAGACCAATTTCAGTTTTATCTGTATTTTCTAAATTGTTAGAAAAGCTCATGCACGCCAAACTCACTGGTTTTTTAGAACGTTTTGAAATTATTTTTACTTATCAATTTGGATTTCAGAAATTCAACTCTACCTACATGGCCATTTTATATTTCATTGAACAAATTCGAAAATCAACTGATTTGGGGAAAACAAGCATTGGTATAACATTAGATTTTTCCAAGGCCTTTGACACAATTAATCATGACATTTTGATACAAAAACTTGAATATTATGGCATCAGAGGAATAGCTAAGTCCTGGTTTGAAAGTTATTTAAAAGACCGCAAACAATATGTCACCATTAACAATTATGAATCTAAACAATCATCTCTAAATTGTGGTGTTCCGCAGGGCTCGGTACTTGGACCACTATTATTTATTCTTTACATAAATGATCTGCCTTTTGTTGCCCCTAATCTAAAATTTATTATGTTTGCTGATGACACCAATCTTCTTGATAGTGATTATGATTTAAATGAACTCATGACTAGAACTAATGCAAACTTGAATTCAATAGATGACTGGATAAAAGCAAACAAACTTTCACTTAATATTGGCAAAACCAATGCTATTCTATTTGGACCCCAAAAAAATCAAACAAATCTGAATCTTAAAATACGCAATGAGAACATAAATTTCCGGGAAAAAATTGACTTTCTTGGAATTATTATTGATAAAAACTTGAAATTTAAAGAGCACATAAAATCTGTTGAAACAAAGATTTCTCGCGTCATTGGTTCTCTTTATCACATTAAACATCTACTTCAAATAGACAGTTTCAAAACAATTTACTACTCATTGATACACTCTCAATTAAATTATTGCAACATAATCTGGGGTAACACATTTAAATCATTTTATGATCGTCTACATAAACTGCAGAAACAATTCTTAAGGCTAGCTTTAAATAAGGATAGACTTTCTCACTCCGCTCCCCTATTTAAAGATCTTAGAATATTAAATATTTTTGATGTCAACAGATATTGTACTGGTCAGTTCATGTACAAAATCTTTAATAAGCACCCCAGTCTTCCAAAAAATCTATTTCAAGACTTGTTTGATATCAACATTAATATTCATCATCATTACACAAGACAATTGCATTATTTTCATATCCCTAAATGCTCTAAACTTTCCCTTCGCTATCTGGGTCCTAATCTTTGGAATGCTCTACCACATGATATTAAAAAATGCTCCACTCTAAATATTTTCAAATCTTCATATAAAAAACTACTCATCTATCGATAATGTATAATACCAATATCATACTATACTGTTGATTTTATACTGGTACCCGATTTTTGTAACATTTTTACATTGTACATCCTTAGATTAATTGTTAATACCATTTTTATATACCTACATGTAACATAATATAAGTGTTTTCTTTTATATGTAGTCTAGTTGTCATTTTAATGATTTCTGTTAAACCGCAACATATACCCACTAGGGTGTCTAGCGGCTTGTTTTTATAGTGTATATTATATAAGAATTATGAAATAAATAATTGAATTGAATTGAATTGGGTATAAATGGTCTCCAATCTTTCTAGTTTTGAGTATTACGTCTTCTTGCTTTGATTCAAATTATCCTCGGTCACTATTTGTAACCCCTCCCTCCTTCCCCATTTAGGCCATGGATATGAAGATGATTTAGAGGTTATGTGAAGGATACTAGGAAAGGGTTAATAGCCAGGGTTAAATTAGTTCATTTAAGTTTAATCATAAATGTTATGCAATTCACACTAGCATCAAATATCATACCAAAAGGATTGAACTGTTCATTACTTTTCAATTGCAGCAAACATGGTAAAATGGTTCTAAATATTGAACATTGTTGAACAAGTATAGATGACTTGAATAGCTCTAGATGGCTTGAACTTATCCATTCATATTCTAGGAACAAGTCAATGAATAAGTAAGACTTGACTCTTGACAGGCTTAAAAGACGGAGGACCCTATAAGACTTAAACTAAAAGTTCATTTGACCATTGATGACCTATGATAGGGAAGGGTCAGGATAACACTTATATAAAATATTTAAAGTGTCTAATAATGATAATGAACATATTACAATGTTACACAACATTAGTAGATGCTAATTAAATGTCAATTAGTGTTAGTGTAATCTGCATTTTTCATTTAATGCTGCAACAAGCGCACAAGTACCAAAAAGTGCCACGCCCACTTTTCCCCGAAAGCAGCTATGTGTGACTATATTTGATAAATATTATTGATTTATAGGATCATTATATCAACTTTTAAGTGTTTTAGTGTTAATATAGACATAATATTACAAATTTTGACAAAGTAGCAGCAATAAAATCCAAACAGATTTTGAAATATTTCACTTAGAGAACAAAGGGACACATTTGGGAGGGGGTCAAATTGAGAATATTTCAAGATATAAATACTGTTTCTATGGTAACCATATAAGTTAGAGATTGGAAATTTCTGGCACTTATTAACCATAACATGCCCTACCCAATATAAAACAATGAATATCTGACATGCATTAGTATTCTTTTTATTGGGTGGTATTAAAGTACCCCCATGTTTTTTTGGGGGTAGGGGTATTAATTGGTCTGAGGGCCGTCTGCCACCCCTATAGAAAGTCCAACTACCCAGAAAGTGTCCAGTATAATCATACAGATGGTTTGAAATAGGTTGGAATGTGTAACCTTTCATGTAAGGAAGGTTGCATTTCTAGAGCACTTCTACAGAATGGCTTACAGTCTAGTAATACAAATGTGAAGAGGGGGAATAACCCCAGATTTCAAATATGACATACGCTTATATAGTCCAACAACATTAGACCTAGCCTTGGCTATTTCTGCTTGAGAGCTACAGGAAGTTTAGCGATTCTCTCTAGAAAATATCTACTTGGGGATAAGTCCTCATCAGCACAGAAGAAGGTGATAACTTTCAGACTTTCAGACTCGCTAATGGAGTAGGAAAATATAGGGAACATTTGGAGGTTTTTGTCAAAGTGCTGTATGTGATGAATAATATGTAGTTAAGTTTCAAAGTACAAGGCTGATATTCTAGTGACCTTGATGGAACATCGTCGGTTCCCACGCTCAGTCACTATGTTCTGAGGATAGATAGGTCCAAAGCTTGATGGAACAAGATGTGATATATGCCAACACTGAAAATGTCGTTATTTTCTTTTATTTTAACTGACTAGATCTATAAATTCATAATCAGCGATCCAAAAGATTTGAACTTATATCCTGATCGTGTTTTGAAATCTTTTTTGGAGAATAAGACACAAACTCTCGATTCAAATTTGAAGCGAAAAAATGGTGGCCGTGGAAGGTCCTGTGCATTGAATTTACACTCCCTTGTATGTCCAGTATCTGGCTTGATTGTGACATTCAGGAATTTATTTCTCTTGTCATTGACTCAATGACTGCAACATGAGCATGTACTTTATGACTGTGATGTAGCCCTGAAAATTTATCGTATCTCAAAATATCAATACATGCAAACGTTTTTACATTTCAGGAAGGAAGCAAACTGCAGAAATTGTATGTACCAATATGTCTGAAGACATTAAGGCCTACCTGTATGCTTGGCTTGGGAAGAAGAAACTAACACCCAAGTATGAAGTAAATACTGCTGGGGGAGCTAAACACAGACTTAGGTTCAAGTGCGAGGTAGGTAGGAACTTGAATGTCAGGTTGATGTAGTCTCAAAACAAAATCTTATTCAAGCATTGTAACCCTATTTAATAATTGTATAATGTAAGGATCGAAACTCAAGCTCTGTCACAAGATCATTATTTTCTGCCAGACTTACAACTTAATTTCCACTTAGTTGGCTACCTGTATCTGGAATAATCCTGGTCTCGGTCTAATTTACTTTGTTCTATGAGGATCTAAGGCTCTGAAAATAGACTATGTGGCTATTTTAATGCCATTTGAAAGATCTGATGTCATGTCGACTTCAAGTGTCTCAGGAACTTTTTCACAAATGGTTTCCATAAGCACACTGGAATTAATGTCATTTGCAATCATGTTGGCTTCAACTTGTGTTTTAGCTAAGGGTTGACACCTACAATTATGTAGGAATCGGGAACTCTACCAGTAAGAAAGATGCACAGACGAATGCCGCCCAAGATTTTTGCAGCTTTCTGGTACGGGAAGGTCAGATGTCAGAGGCTGATGTACCAAAGATGAATGTAAGTACAAAACTGTATTTTCCAGGTATTTGCCCAATTATATTTACCATCAAGCTAGAGATTCAATATTACTTGTTACTTGTAGTTTTGCATCTAGCTTTACATTGAAATTATCTTAATGAGTTTTTCAGTATCAAATATTTTTATCTGTATCTTTTGGCTTCTGTTGGAAATTGAATGAATGGCAGTTCATTTCAAAATAAAATTTAAATAACTGCTAAGAATGCACCACTTACTGCATTCTTACTTTCCAGTGTCATTTTAACTAAAACTTTAAAAAACATCATACAAATGGAAATTAAGTTTCAAATCAGACTTGCTCTGTATATTTTAGGCTGCAAGTCTTGAGATCAACCAGCCAGCACCAGGTATGATGGGTGGTGGTGGTCCTGGGAACCTACCAGGGATGATGACACCCCAAATGCAGATACAGGGAGAGAGGGGTGAACAAGAGCAGGGTGGCAATCAGCACCATGGGGGGCCTGTAGGAGGGCCTATGAGTGGCCCTGGGCCCTACCAGAGAGGTCCCCCGCAGGAGTACATGGATCGTATTAATGAAAAACGTAGACTGGAGGTGGAAGGGGTAAGTGGAAATAAAAATATAGAATTTATCAATGGACTAAAATATGCTGCAAGAGTTCACATTCATTGTAATTACTAACCATCTCTGTGATTTCTAGTAAAATGCATATTATAAAGTGAGGAACTAATTCAATTCTGACTGCTTTAGAGCTACTATCTTCCCTCGATTGAGCTCTGAATGTTGAGTATTTTACTTAATTTTGTACAAATGGTTTGTTAAACTACTAAATAATCAATTTATGTAGACTTCTAAAAATCAGAAAATTGTTGTTTACGCTCCTAACCTTCTCAAACTTGATAGGGAGTCATTTACTCATTGATGCATATTGAGGCAATTTGTTTATTTTTTTCCAACTAGTCTGAGGATACAGATTTCAATGCTGATATCCATGGCAACTGGACACTGGAGAATGCCAAGAGTCGGCTGCATCAGTTCCTACAAAGCATTAAGGTTAAGGCTGACTATAAGTATAACACAGTGGGCCCAGATCACAACAAGTAAGCTCATAGGGTCATTGAATCAGCATCATTCAAAAATTCGATTTCTTTGGTTTTGGCGGAACATATACCCTTACATTAAAATGAAAAACATTTTGCTAAGTTGTGCACTGTAACTGACTGCTATTGTGAAAAATGGTAAACCCTGTGAATATAAACCATTGGAATATAGCAAAGGTTGCAAAATTAACTGCATTTTACTTGTAAACATAAACAATGACATGAATGACATCTTTCAAAAGAAGACAGTGTTTTGATGGAATCCCTTTCCAATATTTTGGTAAAATTCCATAAACTTCAAATTACCAAGAGTAGCTAAAATTGTATTTGATACAATATATTTTTTTCCTTAAGCATTTTACTTAAATAGTGTGAGTTGCTTTTAATGTTGTAAAGCTGGTGTTAAGGTAATCTTAAGCATTACTCCAAATAGAGTTTGTCATAGAGTGTATTGACTGGCTAGATTTGAAGTATGCTAGAATTAACATTTGTCATATTGATATGATAACTGAAATCATATTTGGGAAAATATACTACAGTAGTCTTGGGGTAACCTTGTTTGACCAAAGAAGATTGTAATCCAGTAACTTAAAACGAAAAAAGGAATAATTTTTTATCCCAAATATATAGTTTATGAATGTCACCCTCTGACTACTTGGTTTACTCCAGGGCTGAAGGAGGAATTCAATCCCATGATGCTATTGGTTTGAAAGCATCATGGGATTGATTTCTGTTGTATTATGGGAATGATCAGAGGATGACATTCAAAATTATTCATAGTTGGTCAAAGTCAAAAATGATACCTAACACACATCACAGTTATTGAAAACAAAGCATGGTATACTTGTTTGAGTTAGTATATCTCGCCTTTGTAGCTTATGCTGTGCTTTTGTAACCCAGAAGTCAATGCAAGTCGCACCAGGGAGTCTTGCATCGTCTATGAAAATACTGAAATGTTTTGACTATATATGCATGTGTATTCACAAATGTTTTATGTAAAACACATGCATATCATAGTCAACACAACCTATTCAGGAAAGTATATTCAAAAACGTAATAGTGTTGGTATCATTTTTGACAAGCAGGTGTACCCCAAGACTACGTTGATGTTGGGCTTGACATGTGTTTGGTTACTCATGACGAAGACACATTTGTGCAACTTGTAAGCTATGGTAAGTTGTTGAGTATAGTAAACCTGTCTGAGTCAAACATCTTTATGATTTACTCAATTGGTTGGGACCCAAGAGATATCACTTACATATACGGTAGTGCTATTTAAGGTGGTCCAAGTTGAACAATCTTGAGACCTACAAGTATTTGCAGTTGTAGCAATAGGATTATACATTTCATAAGTCCTACCTTAGCAAAAACATTAAGTACAGACATTTTGAAAATGTTTTGAAGGTATGAGGTATGATGAATAACCTTGGGTTTTTGCTATAAAAGGACGTGGTCCTAATGATATATGGCAATTGCTAGATAGTATCTGACCTCATTTTCAAGAGCAGCATTCAAGTATTCCTAATAATGTTTAAAATTAGAATTTGCAATAACCTTGATAAACAGTGATTTTTGAAATGTTATGACAGTGAGATAGATTAACTGTAAGAGCTGAAAATATAAGGCAGAAGTTTTACGGAGGTGTTTGACTTCAGACAGGTGTTTCTCTCATTGAAGTGTCAACTTAGTCTCATGAAAATATTTTCAGGTGAAATCATCAGTAAAATACACTCCTTATAAACTGTCTACACTTTCTACATGTATATTCGGAATTATAAATATTAAAGTCAAAATTAATAATTATGTTATTTTACCACATAAATCATATCTGATTCAAACCATATAATAAAAGCGTGGATAGTGTTGCATCAAACCTCTTGTACCCCATAATATGCCCCCCCAGTTGTGTATGAGATGTGTGTGTGTGTGTGGGGGGGGGTACTCTTGGACTTGATGCAAGACTTCCCCTGGAAAATAAAAAATAACTTGATTTTCAATTATTATTTTTTCCAGGAGTTTCATTGCAGAAATGGGGTTCTTTGTACGTAAATTGAACAGAAGTAAGTACAATTACAGGAATTTATATATCGAGTGAGTCTAGTTGGTTTCTTTACTTTCCATCTTGAGGTATGATGAAGACCTTTGGGTTTTTGCTATATAAGGAATTACTCCTAATGATCTATGGCAATTGCTAGATAGTATCTGACCTCATGGAATGGAAAGATGATTTCTTTTATAAGTAGCCCTTATTTATTGTAACTAGTACATCAGTTTGCTTGATGATGACTGTGTTCGGATTGGCTGGAATCTGACATGCCTTGCCTAGCTATGTGTGAATTAAAAACTATATAAAAATGGCCCCTTGTTACTCAATCACTCCACCTCATTTCAGTTCTCTTGCCTTACACAAGACATGCTAAGTAGTTTAAGACGATTTGTTTCTCTTAATTCTAGATATCCATGCAAGGGAACATGGCTCCAACAAACAGGTTGCCTCTAAATCGTGTGCCTTGTCCCTTGTTAGACAGCTTTACCACTTCAAAGTCATTGAACCATACACAGGCGTAAGCAAGAAGAAAGACCGTGAAGAGGTGAGAAAGCCCATGAGAAAATATAATTTTTCAAGAATATTAGCCACAAAAAGAAACATGCCAAGAATATAGTTTATTGTAAAGAATAGGAATGAAATGCAGTCCGATGTATCATACATGATTTGAAGTCTTTTTATTAATTTTTTTTGGTTACATTGTAATTTCATTTTGTATGGTTAATTATAGTGATTGATATATACTTTCAGCTTCCACCTTATGAAGTTGCTATAAGTCCAGAAATTGGAGGACAAATAGATGAAGTTCTCAATGAATTTGAGATCCAACCAGTCCCAAGGGTAAGATTTTAACAGCCCCGTCACAACATGGTCTTTATTAATGTTGATAAAATAATATATTCAATGTATGAGGTATGATGAATAACCTTGGGTTTTTGCTATATAAGGATTTGGTCCTAATGATATATGGCAATTGCTAGATAGTATCTGACCTCATCTTTTTTCACCAATCAGAATTCAGGAAACAGGCCTCAATACAAGTCACTCCCCAACAGTAAACCTCGACTCCAGTTGCATTTTATGTTTTAATGATGAAGCTATTGACAGAGACCTACAGAGAAGTTACAAAGCGTACAGGTTTTTGACGATTTCTTTTACCATAGCACAAATCGTGTGAATCTGTTTTAGAATCCAGATCCCACGCAGGCTCAGTCTCTACTGATTGGTCGTAAAGTGAATGAGTTTGAACAGTCCCATAGCCAGGCTAGTGGAAGTGTTGTACCCTGGTCACCCCCTCAGCCTAATTGGAACCCATGGACAGCCTGTAACATTGATGAGGGACCAATGGCTTTTGTAAGTCCCAGACTTATATGATTCAATATGATCATTGTCCTTAAATGTAAACTCAAGAATTTATCAGTTATAACCAGAATTCAAAAATAGGCGAAAGTTGTGTCAAAGAAGAAGACATACTACTAATACTGTACAACTTAACTATTAAAGAAACATTCAAACTAATTGGTTACATATGTGTATTAATATTTTAGGCCAGCATGGAGGACATTAGTAGAGATCTACAAGAAGGCCTTAGGATGAAAACACAAAATGATGATAAATATAAAAAGGTAATTGGGAGATTTTGAAATTTTATGAATAATCTTTGTCATACTTCATATAGATCTATATTCTTAAATGCACAATAAATATAGGGCTACTAAATGTTGCCTAGTTTCCCTATCCAACAATAAAAAACGTCTTTCAAAAATGGAATTCATTTTGTTTTGGCCTAAACCTCCCCTTCAGAACAGAATCTTCAATACCGATTTATTGATAAACCTTATTAATTCAAGAAAATGCCATGTTACAAAAGTGCAAAACAGGCTTTTACCCCCTTCTACAAATACACTTATTAAACCCTTTGGAATTAATTCTTTAACTGCATTTTCTAGATGCTTGAGGGTAGACTTGAGTTGCCAGTGAACGCATCTAAAGAACAACTCCTACAGGCGATAGAAAAGAACCCTGTGGTTATGATACGAGGAGAGACAGGTAGTGGGAAAACTACACAGATCCCTCAGTTCATACTGGACCAGTACATAGAACAAGGGAGGGGCTCACAGTGCAATATCATAGTCACTCAGGTTTGTGATATTACGATATATAAAATGGCGACATTGAATATTGAAAAAGAAATTAATAGTAGTTCATTCTTCATTGTACCAGCCTTGAAATGATCTAAATTAATCATGAATCATAGCTATTATCAATGTTCAAAACTCATTGTTCAAACATTTAGTGTAAGTTTGTTTGTTTGTTTACTCTCATCCTTCATTCATTGCTCTTTACAACAGAACCTTAGTAGAACTGTGCAAGGAACAATCCACAATGTATAACATACACGGGGGTAAAGCAGACCCGATGATGCAATGAGCTTGCTCGGCGGTATCATGACTGTGTAACGGGTCTTGATGTATAAGTGAGCTGGGTGGTAGGTTCAAACAATGCAGATTCTCAAAGCATGTGCTCATGGTATCATCGTGGCTTAACACCCGTGAACATACTTATTTGTCGATGTTCATTTTAATTCATGTTTATGTTTTAGCCTCGTAGAATCAGTGCAGTGTCTATAGCAGAACGTGTAGCTGAAGAAAGGGCTGAAGAGTTGGGGATGGGTTGTGGTTACAGCGTCAGATTTGAATCTGCATTACCAAGACCATATGGTGGGATTCTCTATTGTACAGTGGGTAAGAATCTCGGAAATTCGAAAACATTCTCGACATGTTCTTTAAATGTGGAACATGTAAGAAATCATTTTTCATAGAACTTTTTTTTGATTAACAGACATAGTAAGAAGTTGCTTGATCTTGGTGAAAATACGAATAAATTATGCAATAGTATGGTACAGTATAAAAGCAGGCCCTATTAAGCCTGGAACCAGTGACTTCTGATCTTTAGGCCAACTGGTCAGCGAGTTTTTAGCATGTGATAACTCAATTCAGTTTTAGCCTTAAAATCCTTATGATGAACCATGTATAGTAATGGTATTAGTCTAGTGCATCTAGCGTGTTGAAAACATTACGCATCATCAGAGAATAAGAATACATGAGGTATGATGAAGAACCTTTGGGTTTTTGCTATATAAGGAATTACTCCTAATGATTTTTGGCAATTGCTAGATAGTATCTGACCTCATGAATACACTGTCATCAAATGTACGTGATGTTTAGTTGAAACAATTTACTCTATTATATGACGTTTTCTTGTATGTTTTAGGGACATTGCTGCGTAAACTGGAAGGAGGTCTCCGTGGTGTGTCTCATGTCATAGTGGATGAAATACACGAGAGAGATCTCAATGTAAGTGCCGTACAATAAACATGTTGAGAATATAAATAAATAAGATAAAATTTATTGCTTTGTAACCATGTTGACAGATGGTCCCATGGAGCATTTCACTCAATAGCTTACATGGAATTGAGATACGGAGCTGTTAGATTATTTGTCAAATTCCATTATTTTTGAGACTTACTATCATTGATCTGCCTTTGAGTCCCTGTTTTTAAAACTTGTATTACTGGGAACTAGGTGCCTCATTTTGATGTTCATTAGCACAACTTACAAGGTGGTGACATTTTGTCATGTTAATATCTTGTTTCATTGTTTCCTGTTAGTTTCACTTTAACAAGATCATCTGTTCCTTTTAGACTGACTTTATTCTCGTTGTATTACGTGATATGGTGAATGCCTACCCTGGGATGCGATTGGTTCTTATGTCAGCTACGATTGACACATCATTGTTTGCTGATTATTTTGGCCTCACCCAGACGGTGGAAGTATATGGACGTACACATCCGGTACAAGGTGAGTTAAAAGGGGGTGGAGCAATAGATCATAAAGGGCACAAACACTTCATCCTTGACAATGACCCAGAGTATTTTATTAAGCCATTATGTCCCTTGCTCTTATTTTTCATGAACTTGATTCCATGTACTTTGAATAACATGTATTCAGGAGTCGGCAGAGAAGTCCAGACTGTCAGCAGTTTACTAAGATTAAACTTTAGATATAGGCAGAAAGTATGGTTAACGACTTCAATGTTTTTGTACTATGAATAATAATAAGCATAATAATAAATAAATAAATAAATAAAATCATCATCTCCCATAAAGTAAAAAAATCTTTTTCATTCTCTATGTACACTAAAACCTGAGTGGAACACCTTTGGTACCTCTAAAAAGTCAATTTGGACTTTGAAGTGTACCACTAACAGAGGTGTTCCATTTTTAAAGGTGTTCCACTTTACAGGTTTCACTGTCTGTATAAAAGTACACATCCACATAAATTACTACACTACACACTATATTAATGGTTTTCAGAGTATTACCTTGAAGATTGTATCCAGATGCTGAACTTTGTTCCTCCACCTCAACAGCGCAAACGTAAAGACAAGGGGGATGAGCTTGTAGGTGGCGATGACGAGCCTGAGGTATGAGTAATGTTGAGTCTTCTTCTATATCTTTATTATGCTGTGAAGGTCTCATTCATTCATATCAGTTAATATGTTCTTTTATAAATGTTTTATTTAATATTTAATTGCATATTGTTCTTGGAATGATTTGCATAATTGGGGCCTAATGCCTGGTTAGAGAATAAGCACATATGAAGTGTGATGAAGAGCCTTTGGGTTTTTGCTAGATAAGGACTTGGTCCTAATGATCTCTGGCAATTGCTAGATAGTATCTGACCTCATATTACCAATACAGGTTTAAATCGAAGTGACTCGTTGTGTTTTGAAAACTATTTTATAATATTATACAAAGTATATGTAATGTTCATGGTTTTTTTAGGAAAATTGCAACCAGATGATCAGTCCAGAGTATTCGCCACAGACAAGGCACGCAATGTCACAGCTGTCTGAGAAAGAAATGTCTTTTGAACTTATTGAGGTGAGATATAGTGTTTTATGGATTTTTTCAAGTCGAAATGTGGATACATTTTTCAAGCCCTATGAAAATGAAATAAAATAACTAAGGCATGGTGTCCAGTTGCCAACAGTTTAGACTAAACAAAGATAATTTTATTTTTTATTTACTTTTTAATATACTATGGTTTTTTCCCCTCCATGATGTAACAAAATTTAGCAATGTCAATTTTTCTTTCTCTTGATATTTTAAAAAATTTTCAATTCATCAATGATGAAATCAATTGTGTTCCCCCTCCTAACAACTTGAACGTTTCCCTTTCACCCCTGTCTTGGATTTTCTTGTTACAAATGTATGGTATACTGACTCTAATTGTTCTTTCATGTTTGCAGGGTCTCATAAAGTACATCCAAGGTCTGGACACCCCTGGGGCCATTTTGATATTCCTACCTGGTTGGAATTTGATATTTGCTTTGCACAGACACTTCTCAGAGCACCCAGTGTTTGGTAAGCTTTCAAAATGAAGTACAGTAAAACTTGTGTAATTGGAACTCCTTTGGTACCTCATAAATCTTGTCTTCAAATTTACAGGAAAACCAGTTATCTGTTTAACTTAAGATTTTTACTGGTTCAAAATTTGGTTTTGGTCATAGCCTACAGAGTAAATTTCATGGATACCATTTAGTATAGCCCTTCATAGTGTGATATTTATCACTGTGTCTTTTTTACTTTTTTTTATGTCACAGTCACCAAATTTTTTGTGGATGGCAGTTGGTGTTTCTTGTTTGGCAGTCAGTGGTTGAATGTTACAAATGGTAGGAGGTTAATGTTTTGTTTATTTGATAATGTAGGTGGCTCACAGTACCGCGTGTTACCACTTCACTCACAGATTCCCAGAGAAGAGCAACACAAAGTGTTCATGCCTGTTCCTGATGGTGTAACAAAGGTTCGTTTGTAACTTCAACTCTTATCTGCTGTGAAATATTCTAGCAAAATAGTCATTAAGCTCTTGAGGCTACTAACCTTGTTGTCTGTTAATACGTTTTTTTACTTATCTATAGATGGCATCGATAACCCACATTTCAATGTTTCAAATCCCTTTATCATAAATAAATAAATATAAAATCTGTATTTTTCTCCAGATCATCTTGTCTACCAATATTGCTGAGACCAGTATTACGATCAATGATGTTGTGTTCGTCATAGATGCTTGCAAGTAAGTGACACATATGTGTGGTTTAATATATTTTCATGGTCTACTCTTTACTCCTAAAATGTATCGAAACTTGTTTATGCATACCACACTTATCATTTTATATGGTACCTATTATATGATAGTATTTCACATACACCCCCCCCCAATAATTAGGACCTTGTTATATTGTTATGTCACCACTATTATAAGGAGTTGTGACATATTGTTATAGTTAGCATTTTTTATGTAGCATATGAATACCTTGTTTCTTCATATTATTGATATATTTATAGGTCTATATATTGATATAGCAATCCAATAGTTATTTAGTCATAAAAATGAAGAATATCACTTCAAAGTTCACCGTTTATTTATTGTTTTAGCAATGCATTTATAGTTTGAAGTATGATTTTTAAGTCTAGTATACTACAACAGTGAAACCGGTCTAAGTGGAACACCTTTGGCACTGCTAAAGTAATTAAAGTGTGTCTATGTGGTCAATATGAATTCCTGAAAAAATGAAGCTTTGCTGGATTAACTCTACGAAACTCTAACTCTGCACTATGAAAATACTCTGAACAGTATGAAAAGTATATGAACAGTGAAACCAGAATGCCTCAGGGAGCAGCCAAAAGTATTCGGATTAACAGGTGTTCACATTTCAGGGGTTTCCAGTATGTTAGTCTTTGGGAGATCACAAAATTGAGACCTAGTAAAATTCCACATTTGGAGGTGTTCAGATTAGAAAGGTGTTTGGATATTCAGGTTTTACTGTATTTATTCTAAATTTTTTGATCCCCACCCAAAGTCTTCAACTGGTTTGAAGAAATAGTCATGCTTCTACCCTATATCAGGGTTATTTTATGGACAATGTTTTGATTGAATGGCACAAGCTTGTTGTGCATCATTGATGATGAGATTATTGAAACAATCAGACTGTTTAGATTTATTACTGGACAATAACTGTATGCTTCATTAATAACCACAAACAGATAAAGTAGTAATTTACTTTTACATAGGATAATAAAATCGTAATAATAATCGATAGTTTAAGGCTAGATATGGTCAATAGATGAAAACTAGTAATAACAACCATATTCTGTCCCAACGAAAAATGTATATACATGTAATTGATTGTGACAAATGGGTATAATTTGAGGCATGACTAATATATCAGTGTAAAATTGTTGTTTCAGATATCATCATGAGATTTGTATATTTTCAAATAGACCACTCTGTTTGTACCCTCATTTTCTGAAAACTTTGAAGATTTATTTATCCCATTTAAGGATCAATTGCAAAAGTGATGCATGCATCCCCTGCAAAAAAATTATTGAAATTCATATTTATCGAATTAAAAAAATATGGACACTATACAATATATACACTTTCTGTATTTTTGAAATAAAATTACAAATCTTGGATCAGCTATGCATATACCAAGCAAAATTGTGATTTCTCAAAATTCTCAAAATTAAAACTCACGAAATTAACTGGTAGTACAGTATTTATAACAGTGCATCTTGTTCACTGTAATAGTGTTTCACATCCATGGCCAGTTGTATTTTCTGGGCATAAACACATAGCTTCAGTAGTGTAGTGATGATATTCTGCCATACATGTTCCACCATTTTTGCAAAACTTTCCTCCACTTGATACTCCATCATAATAAGCACATACTGCTTCTGAAAATAACCAATTTTTATTTCATCATTGTTGTGAACATTTTGTGATATACTGAAGACATAATGTTGTCATTGTCGTTATGATGACCACTGATCTTTTAAGGAATACACCTTTCTAGAATCATTGAAAGATGAACAGGCATTCGCCCAAATAAAGTGAAATACTTGAAGAATATCAATCAAATAATCAAGCAAATAATCAAAATATGACATGTATTTATTACAAAATATTGCTTGAAAGAGATGAAGATTGCCATAGATGGAAAATGAATTTGTCTTAGGTGGCATATACAGAATGGAAAAAGTAAACAAGTACCTATACTTGTACTGCAGCCATAGCCAATCCAACCTTCATGACATGCACATGTAAAATAATCACTATCCTCATGGTATGTGCAATTGCCATTCTTGCAGTGAATGTTACAGTATTCATCTGAAAACAATGGATTAGTTGCATTTCTTTCTCCCAAACAAATGATGTCTTGATTCAGTCACAATTTGCTTTGCCAAATGAAACATGCATAGAACATATTACTGTAATATTTCAGCTAGAATCAGAGGTTTGAGAGAGGCGTGACAAAATTGCAATCAACTTGTACAATTTTTTATAATGAATCATTATTTATTCTAAATACATTATCTTAAAAAGAACCATGATATCTTATAAAATGGTATAGTTGAAGAAGTTATGTTTCATTTTTAAAAGTCACGCTTAAGTTGGAAAGTGTTTAGGGAAAATGTTATTTCCTTTAATAACTTATGAAGTTTTTAGCTTTTTTAGAAAATAAGCATGATAAGGCAGACACTGAAAAAAACAATATATTAATTGGAAAGTTAATCTCTATGATGTTATCTTTCAAATCAAGAATAGATAATTTCTTCTCTGTACATCTAAGAATTGTTCATTCATTTCTAACAGAAAAACATTGAAATACATACCAGATTTCTCTTCACAAAAATATCCTGTTGTGTATGGTTTACATGGACCACATGTTGCATCCGACGTCTCACCATCGACAAGACATGTAGACCCTTGTTTACACAACTTTCGATTATCATACTCCTCACATGGATCATCTAAATACAAGCTTGTATGCTGAACCAACCATGTGTGTATTATAGTGTTTTTATTTGGCAAATTGTTGGAAATATTCACTTTAGGAAAGAGGCTCGAGGAAAATTATTGATACGATATATCGATAAATCGTGACAACCCTGTTGTTCTTATATACAACTTTATGTTACCATGTCTCAATGATGACTTTATGTTACTATGTCTCACTGATGACTTTATGTTACCATGTCTCACTGATGACTTTGTGTCATATATCTGTACCGACTAAAGTTCTTACCGCTTGTATAAAACACACACCATGGTAGACCTTGAAAATCTGGCTCCCATTTTCCATCAACACATTTCTGGAATGATATGGGTTCTTCATATACAGGTTCAGATTGGTTACTACACCTCCATTCGACTCTTGAGCCACAGTTTAACCCATTGGTGAATAATGTGTCTCCATTCTTACTCAGCAGGTGCTTGGGTTTACTACATCTACATTGTTTCTTGTCTTGTGTACCTGGGTTGATTTTGGAAACATTTCATATCATTCATATCTGATAAGGTCATTGTTTCCTACTGTGGTAGTATACATGTATCAATAGTTTTTCAAATCAACTTATCAATAAACTGTTAAGTACAGTAACTTGAAACTACAAAATGAAAACTTGGGCTCTTAATCATCCAAGTTGGGTGTCCAATTATGTGGTTTAGATAAGAAGAGTTGAAAATACAGAAAAATTTTGTGATGTTTGCATAATATTGTGTATCAAATGTCTTCTTTTGTGTTATAACACACCATTTATCTTGAGCTGCGTTGGGAAGTAGTAGTTCTTATCAGTTTCATCGTCTTCACGTGTATAATGTATTTTTTCCATTTTTACATTACAAACATAGTAGCCAGCATCTGATGTTGTGGTATGCTTTATCTTTAAATCATGGGTATAATAACTATCTGGCCTCATGAGCTCATACTTAGTGCTGTTGAAGGTGCCATCGTGCTTTTTATCCAGGTTCCACCGAATTCTAATGCCATAGATGTAATGAGATCTTTGTAGATTTGTGCTGTAGTAGTACAGCTGCACCCAATGTGGAATCCAGCCTTTTGGTACATATGGGACCCGGCATGGTATAAACACATCTTCTCCTTCCTTTGCCAATTTGACTGGTGTCTCATCTAAAAAGTACAAGTACTCACTGGCAGATCCACCAGAAGCTAATGGGGGGGGGCATATTTCAAATCAGAAAAAAAAAATTGGCCCATTTTTTGCCTAAAGAAGAGCTTACCCAGGAGAGGGGGGGGGGGTGCAAGGAGTCCTCCCAGATCCGCCAGTGATACTAGTTGATCATCATTCTAAATTTTTATCAAAGTCATTGTGAATCCAGACAGTATATAATTATCACTGAATACAAGTTCAAAATCTTGGTATGATTACCCAAAGATGTTGAAATCTTGTACATTTTTTATTTTCAAAAGCTGCTTATACATGTACTTATAAGAGTTTTTACCTGGAAGAACAGATAGTTCCCATGTTTTTGTAATAGTTGACCTTTTATCTGTTGCGTCATTATTCATTTTTACAATGCATGCTATATCTCCCGCATCATCAAGCTTTGCATTACGGATCAACATCACAAATTTATTCCTCTTTCTTTGAAAAAAATAGCGTAAATAGGATTTATGTCGTCCAGGATGTAGTAGCCCCTGAATTGCTCCTGTGTCATCAAAACGAAGTGAAATTCTCACTTGAGCGTCATACTCAGGCTTCTCATCTACAAAGTTGTCAACTTTATGGTATCCAGTTAATATCCAGGTCAAACCAATTACAGTGTGGTTCTTAGGCACGCCTGGTAAGCATTTAAATTTAGCTTCTTTGCCAACATAAATTTTTTTATGGCGATGCTTCAAGTTCCTCCGTGTGGATACTGAAATGGATTAAAAAAGGAAAAAATAAAATTCTGTTTCCTTTTTGATTCCATTGTTGTTGTCTTTTCACCAGATATTACTACTAAAATGCAATATAAATAATATAATGTACATGTAACTTCTTTAAGTGACTACTTTAAATCATAAGATTATATAAAAAATATAGTACCTCCTGATAGCAGAAAACAGCATATTAATACATAGTGTTTCCACACCATCTTGAACAGCTATATGGTCACCGACAATCCTCGATGTGTGATATAAATTTTTCACCCACAACAAAATGAATTCATCTAGCGTAAACATTTTTCTTATTAAAGCTTGGTTAGAATTTAAAATTATTTAAAGGGATGTGATTTGACTTATCAAAAGAATCAAAGAGTGCTACATGTAATTCAGTGTTATATTGATGAATATTCATATTTTTATTTGAATTTGCATTAGGAACATTGAACGTTCAATACATAGTCCATGAATGAGCTCAACTACAGCTGGCTATTTACAGCTCAAATACATCTCAATCTTTTATTTTATCATATCAAGACCCTTTAAAAATATTGTTTCTTGCATAGTCAAAGGGTAACGTCACACGTGATTGTTATGCTTTATTTGTGGCTCTGCATTTTATAGCTCTTCATAGAAATATTGCGTTTATTTAACGATCATGAAATAGAATTTCAAATGTCAATAATTTCAACTAGACCTTGACATTTGAATCTTAATAATCTGGAACATTTCATGACAGGGAAATGCCAGAGAAATCATCTTGGTTTCCCTGATCTGAAATAGTCTGGGAATTTTTAGCTCATAAAGAGGCTAAAATGGTCAGAAATTGTCAATTGTGAGGAATTCTGAAGTTAAAATACTATGGTAACCTGGTGCAATCAGAAATTGCTCATACAATATTCATACAAAGCAATAAAAGACTATCATTATGCTACCCCTCAAGAAAATGAGCTGTTCCTTCATGGTTTTTGCAAAATATGTTTATCAGTAATCTCTTGCTTTGCTTCTTTTTCATATATTTTCTTGAAAATATAAGCAAATGATGGTATATCCATTAAATGAAAATATAAATATACCGTATTCTCTGTAATTACCGCCCACTCTCTAATAAGCGCCCACCCCGCTTCACAAAGTTCAAGAAACATCGAGGAATCATAATAATCCATAATGAATGAAGGAATTGTTCTTTATCGGCATTCAGAAATTTCAAAAGCTACTGCGCAGATGTTCTGTGCATGTCAAGGTCGTGAACTTTCTGGTTTCTTTTTAATGTTTCTCGACTTTTACACGACTTTTGCACGAATAATGATGATCTCTCATCAAATTAGAAATAATGTATAACTTTAGATCGATATCCAGCAGTCTCTAGTGGAAATATTGAAGGTAATCGGCGATAATGACAAAGTGGGCGTGCCGGAAATAAATTAGACATAGACGGGTCTTCAACCACTGTCAATATTGTCTAAGCGATCTTTACCGTATTCTCTCCAATAACAGCACTTGTCATATTATTATAAAAATATGTTAAAGAAAATGCATTCTTGTCAAGAAAAATTGCCATACATGAAATTCCTCGGGATTTCTGATTTCTTTCATACATGGGCGCTTATTAGAATGGTCTAAATAATGTATTTTCAATTTTCTAAACGCCCTGGGCGCTAATTACAGAGAATACGGTAACCAAATGATGGTATATTCATTGAATGAAAATATAAATATATAAGCAAATGATGGTATATCCATTAAATGAAAATATAAGCAAATGATGGTATATCCATTAAATGAAAATATAAATATAATCAAATGATGGTATATCAATTGAATGAAACTATAAATATAAGCAAATGATGGTGTATCCATGAAATGAAAATATAAATATTAGCAAATAATGGTATATTTATTGAATGAAAATAGAGGATATCCTATGATTTATGAGTGATATGATTTTTATCCACGAATGGATATGATATCTGCACGAGCGAGCGTAGTTAAAGTCATCATCAGAATTGTCGGAAATTAAGTCATTTAATTCGAATTTTCCAAACGATCCGGCGATGTTGACACTTGGCCTCGTTTTGAGTCTGAAGTAGCAAAAATCCATTAACCATCGCATACGACGTCGTATGTCATGGCTAAAAAACCGTATGCTATGGTTAAGTGAAAATTTGTCAAAAATATCATATTTTACCACTGATTACAAAAATACCGTTTTTATTTTCACATGTTATCCAATGAATATCATGCTAACTATGGAATAAATATAAATATAAACAACTGATGGTATATTCATTGAGCAAAATATAGACATGTTCAAATGATGAAACATTTCATGTCAGAAAGGTGTATTGTCAAATGATATTTTTCCCCATATCTTTGGTATTTTGTAACAGATTTTCAATTCATATGTTTATACAAGATTTATATATTTCTTTGTTACTGTTACTGAATACAACAAAATTAACAATACTTTTGGTAGTTATATATTGATATTTACAGCCTGACATAGTTGTGGCTACGAAAAATTCACACATTCTTCACATCCAAGTTTACCATAGGTGACACACCAGATTCAGTTTAACCTGAATGAAAATATAGATATTAAAGCAAATGATGGTATATCCATTCAATGAAGATATAAATTTAAGAAAATAATGCTATATCCATTGAATAATATATTAACACATGATAGAATATCCATTGAATGAAAATATAGATATAAACAAATGATGGTATATCCATAAAATGAAAATATTAATATAAGCAAATGATGGGTTATCCATTTTACGAAAATATGAGCAAATGATGGTATATCCATGTATAATGAAAATATAAGCAAATGATTGTATATTCCATTGAATATAGATGCTTCAAAATAAAAACCTGACAGAAGGGTACATCAGTGTTGTCTGATTTTGTATTTTTTTAAAGACCTGAAGGTCTTCTTTGCTTTCAATGACATTGAAAGATAATGTCAAATACTTACTTGATGTCTTTTCGCAAAAAACTCCCTTTGTGTTTTCTTTACATCTACATGTTGCGTCAGAACTCTCACCATCTACATAGCATCTAGAATCTTGTTTGCATATCTTTCTGTTCTGGAATTCTATACATGGATTACCTGAAACAAGATATCTTATCATCTACATAGCCTCATGAATCTCATATACACATCTTTCTGTTCCAGAATTCTACACATGGATTACCTAAAATCAAACTTGTAATCTGTAAAAACAAAGTGCGACATTGTATGTATAGTCAGATTGTTATGATAAATGGTTTTGAAATTTTTTTTTCTTGTTGCAACAATTTTATACCTTTTGTGTAAAACATACACCATGGAAGACCTTCAAACTGTGGTTCCCATGTACCATTGACACATGTCTGGTATGGTACTGGCTCTGTGAATACTGGAAAAGATTGATCTCTGCATCTCCATTCAACCCTTGAGCCACAGTTTAACCCATTGGTAAATAAAGTGTCTCCATCTTTACTCAACATGTGCTTGGGCTTGCTACATTTACATTTTGGCTCTTTTGGAGTACCTACAAAGAGAGTGTTAAGTGTTGGAAAAATGTTTTTATTAAAAAGCATGAAATGATCCCCTTAGGACCCTTATTTCATCATCTGAGACAAGAATGGAAAAAGATTTAAGATTCTGAAGTGCCCTCTCATTAAACTTCAAAAGGGGGTCATCTACCTTTTCAAAGACTATAATTGCCAAATATTCAAAATGGTAGTATTATCATGCTATTTTGTTGGATATTTTTTTAGAAAATAGGCATGGAATGGAATGTTGCCAGTAAATAATATTGTAAAATTGACTTTAGTTCTTGTTGCGCCTTAAAGGAAAAGGTTTAATTTGATCTATGCATGGTATGTCTTATGAACCCAATTTGGTTTTTCATGTAAAATTTACCTTTTATTTTCATCTGTACTGGAAAGTAGTAGTCCTTAGGACCTTCAGAGTCCTCAAACAATGTATGAATCTTTTCAATTTGTATGTTGCAAACATAGTACCCTGCATCTGATGGTCTAACATGCTTTATCTTTATATCATATATATATGGACTTTCTGGTTGCATGAGTTCATACTTAACACTGTCAATGGTCGTCCAGTGTTTTTTATAAAACCTCCAGCTGTTACTGATCATAAAGATGAATCGAGGAGGCTTTCTCTTCTTTGCGTTGTTGTAGTAAAGCAGTCGTACCCATTCTGTCATCCAGCCATTGGGGAGGTAATTTGGAACTCTACAGGGTATGATCTCATATTTTCCTTCCCTTGCCCATTGTACTGGTGTTTTCTCTGCAATATTAAGACAAATGTGTTGCTTGAACATTGCAGGCCCGCAGCCAAAAATTCTCTCAAAATCATGCAGTTTTTTACCATTTTGAGTACTTCTCAAGTGATTTTAGCCATATTTGGGCCAAAATTGTCTAATGTGAATCCCCCCTGGAAATTTTTGAAAACTGAACCCCCCTTGGCAAATCCTGGCTACGGGCCTGCATTGTATTGTCAAGCAATCATAATAATAGCCGACATCAAACATTCATACTCTATGTGAAAAGGTAAAGACAGCAAACAAATTCTTAGGATAGTACAACCAACTTTGGATGGTTATATCCTTGATTGCTGATTGTACCTGCACTATCCTGCACTTTGCAAGAACATACTTGGTATTTGCTTTTACCTGGTAATACAATAAGTTGCGCAGTGGATTTAATAGTAGAAGTTCTATCTGTTGCATCGTTGTTAATGTACACCACACATGCTATTTCCCCTGCATCATCCAACTTTGCAGACTGGATCAGCATAGTGAAGTTATTTCCCTTTTTATGAAAGTAATAACGGGGATGGGATTTGTGTTGCCCAACAAATGATGAAACAAGACCTTGAATTTCACCATTTTCTAAATGTAACAGGATCCTCGTTTTGGCATCATAACCTTGCTTCCTATTTACAAAAGTGAGTACTTCATGGTAACCTGTCAATTCCCAGTTCAAGCCAACTATGGTGTGGTTCTCTGGTATTTCAGGTGAGCATTTAAATTGAGTTTGGCCTCCGATGTAAAGTGTCACTCTACGGGGTTCAAGCTTTCTCAAGGACACTAAAATGGATGAAGACAATTAGGAATATCAGTATGAAACTGTCACAGGCAAGGGAACAAGTGGCTGGGAATTCAAATCATAATTTTTGTTCACTTATTTCCAGGCAAATTGTTAGTGATATATTTTTAGCTTATAGGAGGATTTGAAACCAGACACGGTTCATAATACAGTGATCTCCCCAGGATTTTTTGTCAAGTAGGTGCAAAATTCTCATTTTCACAATTTAGACCAAAATTGGTCAAAATATGCCAATTTTTCATGATGTTTAAAATGGGTGCAGATTGATTTTCAGGTCGATGCAAGCCTATTTTCAAAATCTCAGGTAGATGCTGCGCCCAATTGCTTTAATGGTGGGGAGATCACTGCAATAGATTTGGGATTTTTGCAAATATCAAGTTGTGAAAATATAAAATCAATATGAAACAATAAAGGACGGTGTCCAATTGTTGAAATCCAAGCTGTTGAAATAAAGAAATCAATATGAAACAATAAATAACATCATAGCACTAAAAGTAAAAAACACAGTACCTTCTGCCAGCTGAAGAATGTGTAATAGGATAAAACATATCCACTTCATCTTGAAATATTAAACACTCAAGTTCAATCCTTTGATGGCTATATTGAAATAAATGTATGTATGTACACATATATTGAATTCATACATCATTGTTTAATGTGATGGTAATGAAATATTGGTGTTTCGCATGATCAGTATGAATACTTTTAAACATATGAATGAGACTATAAATTCTGTTTAAAACCCCATTATAAATGTCTATGTTTTATTGCTGTACATGTTAAGGCTTGCATCACCAATGGTTCCAAGTATTTGATTATTAAGTAATTAATCACACTTCGAAAATTCATTTTTTAAAATCAATATCACTCTCTTGATAATGATGCTTATTTGTATTGTTTTTTAACAATACATCCCATCGTGATCTAAACAGGTTTTTCTAAAGGTCATATCTATGATACAATTCATATTTATGAAGTCATGTTGAACACTTTAAGTTTGTACATTATCTTTAAATGATCATTCCTGATTTAATAACATAAACATCAGAACATCAGAAGACATAAAATCTTATGAGCGATGACTTCACGATTGTGTCGTGTTTTGTAATTATTTTAGGGGCACAGGACAATGTTGAAATAGAGGGCAGCACATGAAAATATGTTACATCCGCATGTGTTATAATTGTTTTCAGTATGAATGAAATATCCTATTTTGGTCTCAGTTTATGATAATGGTGTCTAAATGGTAGGGGAAAGAATATTAGACATTGTTATTACTATATTTGTCAGATCATAGTTTGGGATATTTGGGGTTTCTTGTTTGTTGTATTCTAAGATTTTTCCTTTTCTTGCTCTATTTTGTAACACCAGTCTTTTCCCTATTGGCTCTTGTGTGTACGGTCATTGTGTTTGCATATTAGGAACGTTCAAAAGTCTTGCGTGAAAGCTTTTCAAGAGATTTAATCGTTTTCACGGGAAATTTATTACCCTTCCTACAGGCATGTATAGATTAACTTTTTGAACGGCCCTAATATTAACAGTTAATAATGATTTTCCATATGAATGCAACATAAATAAACTATTTTCACTGAAAATTCAGTTATAAGTTATATTTCTTAAATCAATTACAAAGAATTTTACAGTCTTTAAGATATATAAGATTCAAAATTTCGGAGTGGAACTGTCAATCATAATTGTCAAAGGTATGATTTTTAACATAGACTATGATAGTGATTGATCAAAAATTTGTACGGGCTGATCACATCACATCCAGTCTATTCAATAATTTCTTCGCATCTTCTACCAATTGTGTGATCTGGGCATCTGCAAAAAGGTTTAGAGACTTCGAGTACATCCAGGATACATGTTCCTCCATTAAGGCAGTATTCTCCAAGGGCTCGAAAATTGGCTCGAAGACAAACAAGCTCTGAAAATGAAAATTTTCAATGACACTTTATTTTCAGTTTCGGTTGATTCAGTACTAATATGTTCAAGTTCACTTTATCAAAATAATATACTCTAATTTTCACAGGCATTGGTCTTTTTTCTTGGTACACAGAGCGTGGGAGTGGGTGGATTTTTTTATCAGGATAATACTGCTATCTGTTCTTATGTCTGGTTTTTCTGAACGTTTTCCATCTTTTTATAAACATTGACAGTTATCACTTATCAATTATCATCAATTCCTGTGTTCATAGGGTTCGCTTCCACAGTGATATAGATAAAAGTGATCAAGCTTGAATCAATACCTTGAAAATGTAAGACCTTTATACTCTTTCTAATTGTTTGTTGCTCTTCCTAATGTTAAGAACTAAAGCTTTAATGGCAAGTGAATGGCACGGCAGCCGTAGCTTCCTAACATTGAGAGGATTTGCAGCATAAAACATGGAAATGAGTGGTTAAAATATCGATTTTGTGAAGCAACAGCCACCGTATGCCTGCCGTAGAGCAAATGTAACCGAGGCTTAAATGATTCAAAGTGTATGATACATTTGTGTATTCAGTATGAAGAATACTTTCCATTGATATATATTGACCAATAGACCGTATTATCTCTGGGATATTCCCAAACTTTATTCACCTGTAGAGTCCTCACAAGATGCTCCTCCCCATCCTTGTTGACAATCACAGGAGAAGTGTCCACTAGCATTGTGGTATGTACAGTTGCCATTTACACAATGGATGTTACAATTAGATTCTAGAATTAATAAAGACAATTCTAGAATTAATAAAGACAATTCTAGAATTAATAAAGATGACTCTAGAATTAATAAAAACAAAATTTCTAGTCATTTTGTTTTATTCAAATATTGCCGTTTTGTTTGTATTTGGTCTGAAAAATCAATGGATGACACAAATTTTCTTGTTATTGAAGATAATGAGATTTAAGAAAAGTAATTTCGTAAAATACATCTCTGTATGATTCAAAACATTGTGAAACTTAGTTGTCAATAACTAAATGAATGTGTATTATGAAACCTATAAATTATGTTTCTAGTCCAGCAAACAAGCCTGAATAACAATTAGTATTTTGTCAACGTTGTAACTTAGCTGCATTAGAAATAAGCCCATATGGATGTGAGCTCCCTTTCAAGCTTGCGTGCAGGACTATTTTTAGAAGATATGAAATCGTAAAATGTTATTTATGAGTAGAAATACTAACCTTCCTATTAATCAAGATGTAGACATAGATATAGTAAAAGCATGAAACAACACATGGTGAAAGCATGTAGAGTGGGGTAGAATTCAAAATTAAATCTCTTTAATCATTCATATCAGACAAGCATATGATTGCATATAAAACCATGCTTAGCAGACAAAGTATATTGTAAATCATACAAAAGCAATGTGAAATGTCAAATAAAAGCTGTAAATAATCGTTGATAACAAATATTAACATCAACATCTTTATTAAGTGGATTAATGAATGTATTTTGTATTATTAATTCGATTACAAGATAAATGTTTTTTAATATATATTGTTTCAATGCTGATGTTACGATGACAAAGCAGTTTTTATTAAACAGCTATGAAATATCTTTCTATGCAACTTTAAAATTAATGATTCCATGCAGCAATAAAAGTTCACTATTAAACTATAAATTTTTCCATGCAGTTATAAAATATCACCATGCAGCTGTAAAATGCCACTATGCAGCTAAGAAACTTCACCATGCAGCTAAGAAACTTCACCATGCAGCTAAAACGCTATGTTTATATTCATGATGATTATACCTTCACTCTGGAAAATAAATTAACATTGACACAAAATAGGCAAACAGAAGCAAATGAATGGAGATATAGATATACACAGGAAGAAATTATGAATGATAATAAAAATCATATTAAACAACATCTGGTGTTATATTGACTTAAGGTATATCCGCATGTTGAGAAAGCTAAATGGCTTTCTAATAGGAGTCCCGTGTTATTTTTCAGGTACAAATAATAAATATTCTAGAATATATCCACAAGTAAATCTAGGTATACGTATAAAGGATATCTAATGATTTTTGAGGGATACCATTTTTATACTCTTAAAGTAAAACTGAAAGATGTAAACCATGTAGAGAATGAGTCATGTGTACCTAAAAATAATGTTGGACTGAAATGAGGGAGCCATTAAGATTTCTGAATATACAGAACTACCTTAAACTATAATTTAACTCCATTTTAATGAATTTAGGTATATGCGTCTACATATGAAGCAGTACCTGTTTGTTTCTGGCAGAATACCCCATTAGTGTTGGGTTTACAAATACATTTAGCATCTGAAGTTTCCCCCTCAACTATACATTTAGACTCTGCTTTACATATATCACGTTCGATGAATTCTTTACATGGATCCTCTGAAATATGAATATGAAATATGAAAGAGACAAGTGCATTTACATATCAAAATGTACTGCACTCAAAGATGCAATGGTATTGCATTGGCTTACAGTTGTTATTGTCACTACCACTAGTGGTGACTTATTGCTATAGTCTCTATAGTCTTTTTTGTGAGTGATTGCCATTCAGAGTTCGGAGTTTGGTGTCTGTAACAAATGGCAGATGGTGACATTTTGCATGTTAATGCCTTGTTATTATTATAACATAACTATGGCAACAGATTTTCTTACCTTTTGTGTAAAACACACACCATGGAAGGCCTTCAAACTCTGGCTCCCATACACCATTGACACATTTCTGGGATGCTACAGGCTCAGTATATACTGGCAAAGATTGGTCTCTGCATCTCCATTCAACCCTTGAGCCACAGTTTAACCCATTTGTGAATAATGTTTCTCCATCTCCTTCCAGCATTGGCTTGGGGCTCCTACATTTGCATTTTACCTTGTCCGTACCTGTTGCGAACATAGGTTAAATCTGTTAATAGAAAACAAGTTCTCAGCTTTTTCAGAATGAGATGTAGAAAGGGTTGACCAATATTTGTGCATGGTACTGCTATTATAACTGAGTGGGAAACTAATACGTGGGTGGTGGTAATCTATTATTTAAAGTGAGAGAGAAAACTTGTGGTGGTATCACACTGCTCAGTAACCTTCAAGAACTTTCATGCACCAATTACCTGGCAAGATTTATAAACCAATACATCATATTCAACTCTTAAATATTTTGATTCAATAGTCCAATAGATCAAACCTGACTGCTTGTTATTTTCTTACACTATACAGGATCCCGTACCCCTTCAGATTATCATCACCCTAGAATCATTATCCCACTGAACAAAGTTCGTAGGGATATAGAGAAGCTGTGTGTCTATTCAACTATCTGTTCATTTGTTTGTTCTTGTGTCTACATGTAGACAATAACTCAAATACCAACTGACGGATTTGGTTCAAATTTTTATAGGCCTATGCCTTATAAGTGTAGGGCATCTGCCCGAGAAGGAATTTTCTATGTTGTTACTCAATTCAAAATTTATTCATTTATGGTAAAAATGTAACGTTTGATAATTCAAATACCAGTCAACAGATTTGGTTCTTTATATGTTGATGCTAAGAGTGATTGTAGTTCTGCTCCAGAAATTTTTTTCAAGATGGCGCCAATGAATTTCAAAATGGCCACCATTTTTCAAAAAATGTAATTTTTGTATATTAAATAGTTAACTTCAAATTATGTAGGGTAATATCTTATGGGCAAAGCACTTCTGCTCAAAGAGGCACTTGCAATATGGCTACTCATTTCAAAATGGCCACCATTTTGGCCAAGAAATCAATAATTAGTTAAGAGAAAAACAATGTTGAATTTAGTTCACCATATCACTTTATCTCTTGATAAATAAGATATAATGAGTTCTTGTCAACATCATGTTGTTCCTCATGTAAACTTTATATAAAGTATTGGATAGTTAGGCTAAATGTCATAAAGACCTTGGGTGCAGGATGTGAGTTTGTGATGCTAGTTTTCTTATTTACAGCGACAACTCAATGAACAGTAACAGTCAATAGAAATATCATTCTGCTTATGCTTACTAGACATAGACATATAAAATGTATTCGAATAGCCATATTACCCATTAATTGTTACACATAGACTTATCATAAAATGTATTCGAATAGCCAGTTTACCACATTAATTTTTACACATAGACTTATCATATAATGTATTCGAATAGACAGTTTACCACATTAATTTTTACACATAGAATTATGAATTCAAATAGCCAGATTACCCATTACTTTTTACACATAGACTTATCATATAATGTATTCAAAGAGCCAGTTTACCACATTGATTTTTACACAGAATTATGAATTCAAATAGCCAGAGTACCTATAATTGTTACACATAGACCAGTGATCTCCCCAGCATTAAAGCAAGTTGGCGCAGCACCCACCTGAGATTTTAAAAAACAGGCTAGCACCCACTTGAAAATCTATTTGCACGCACTTGAAAATGACAAAAATCATGAAAAATTGGCATATTTTGACCAATTTCGGTTGGAATTGTGAACATGAGAATTTTGCACCCACTTGAGAAAAAAATTCTGGGGAAATCACAGTAGACTTAGCATAAACATATTCAAATAACCAGATTACCTTATTAATTGTTACACATAGACTTATCATATAATGTATTCAAAGAGCCAGATTACCACATTAATTGATACACAGACTTGTCATAAAACATATTCAAATCAACTAGATTACCTCATTAATTTTAACACATGAATGCCTTTACCAGATTTTCGACTTCTGTCTGTTCATATGATCTAAGGAATTCATTTGCTTGGGGCTCAATATTATTAATCTATATCTCTCCCAAAGAGAGAAATATAACTTCTATATAGCTCCCAAAACTCACAAAATAAAATTCCTGACTCTATCAAAGCTTGACAAAATGACGTACCAATCTACAGTTGAGGACAACCAAAATCCAGAATGGAGTGTGTCTCATTATAAAGAATCAAGTCTTGATATTTACAGAATAGATTGTCCAGTCTGTTATTTGTGCAATTTACAGATGTCTTTATTTTTAGAATTCTGGGTCAGATTGATAGAATAAAATGTAGTCAATGTAATATATATAAAAGTTGAGCTCATATATTTTCCAAGAATCTTAAAAAAGCCCTTATATACTTTTCAGAAAATGCCATATACCCTATTACAGTTGGCAAAATAGTCTTTCATCAAGCCACATATCCCCAGTTTGATCTTCCCCTTGGAAGAAAAATATGAAAATGAGAATAATTTATAACGGAGACCAAAAGGAGAATAATCTGGCAGAGGCCCATACACCAACCACCTGTCTTGCTCCTTCCATATTCTCCCTTTGCCTTAGGGGCAGGGGTTGAGGCTAGACATAAAGTAATTAGAAAAGTTGAAGAGCACCCCTATCATTAAAACAACACAGTTCTTATATAACTTTGTCCTTATGTACAATATAATCATATCCTTATATACAATCTTATCCTTATACACAATTTGATTATTATTTATATACAATTACCATCATCTAATCTTGACTTTTTCTTTCCTGCAATATTATCCTCTTTTGATGTCATATGAAACAAAAGATTATAAAAATGAAATTCATTCAAAAAGCAACTCATACCAGTGTTAAAAGTGAAGTAAAATTCAGCATACCTTTAAGTTTAAGGCCGATTGGAAAGTAAAGATTTTTGTCATCAGAGACTTTTTGTGAGGCATCCATCGGTCGCTGGGCTATGTTACATACATAGAATCCTGTATCTGATGCTTGTACATCTTTTATACGTAAATCAAACACCTTGTCATTTTTAGGATTTAAAAGTTCATATTTGGTGCTATCAAATCTTGTCCAGTTATCCTGGCGAACATTTTGTCCAAAGCTTGCCATGTATATCATTTTGGAGTTATCTTTGTCGTCGTGCCACCAAATGCGCACCCAATGTGTTTTCCAACCAAGTGGAACAAGTGACGGAACCTCACAACGAATAATTACATCATCCCCTGCATATACTCTTTTATATTTGGTCTTCCCTGGGAATATATTAAAGTACATTTTCATTGTTTTTAAATAAATATAAATCAGAAATTTCAAATGAGGGTTTGTGTACATATTTGAAATATTAGAAACGGGCCAGAGTTAAATTGAACTTAATAATATATTTTTCTCATTTGAATAATAAGTGTTCATCAGGTGTCATATTTCATATTTTATGTGCATATGCATAATGTTTCAAGAACACTCTCATATGTGTATTGTTTCAAAATTATACAAATCATTGAAACTAGCAACTGTTACCTGGTACAACAACGAGCCGTCCTGATGTTTCAATGTTATATTCCTCTTCCCCTTCAACAGTTATGATGCACATAACGGTACCTGAGTCAATTATCTGAGTATTGTATATATTTAGAGAAAATTGATTCTCAACTTTTTGAAAACCATAACGTGTGTATTTTGGATGTTGACCTGAAAAACCAAGTCCTACAAGTTCTCCTTGGTCATCCAGTTCGAGCTGGATTTTTTCAGTGTTACCATGGTAACCTTGCATCACCCAGGCAACCCCTGTAACTTTGTGATTCTCAGGTATGATGGGTAAAGATTCAAAAACAATGTGCTTGCCAATGGATGTTTTTTCTTTTTGGGGCACCATGTACTCAGTCTGTGAAATTGTTTCAGAAATTACTGAAAGTAAGAAAAAATAAATTGCTTTACATATCTGTTTAAGTAAAAGCTGGCACCCACCTTTGGCACATTACGCATGTGCAAGAAAAGAAATTCTCTTTAGCATTAAATATTGTTTAGCATAGGAATTCAAGTGAAATTAAAGCCACTCCAAAGAGGCACTTTTTTGTTGGAGCGCTTTGAATGTACATTTAGTAATATTTCACTGGGACAGATCAGCCTAAAGTAAAAGACTTATTTATTTATTTCAGCTACAGTAACTTGCAAAAATCTATAAAAAAAATCTTCCTTACCTGGTAAAATTAGGATACTGTTTAGTAAACAGTGAAGTATCCAAGCCATTTTGAAGTTGTAGTAAATAGTCCGAATAACCCAATTGAAGAAATCCTATAAATATTTCATACTGATGGATATTTAGTATGTAGACAATAGACTCCACATAAAGTAAGGATAAATGTCTATTAAATCAGCCTTATTTGTTAGTATACATCCTCATGTAAATGTTTGATTGAAAATATGTAAAGATTGTAAATCACTTTTATACCCTTAGGTTTCATACTTTTTGGCTTCATAATTATTACAATGGTAAAACAGGGGGAATTATATAATTATGATACTATGAATAGAAAGATGTAAGAAAACTTTGTGTTTCATTAATTCAGAGATTATTGTCATTCAGCACACCTATAACTTACAAATGATGATAAGTTCCATATATTGTTTGATTTTTTTTATAAGGGGAGAAGAAAAATGACTTGATCTAACTAAGTACAAATGTATACATCATCTTTTTTATTGTTATTGTTTTCGGATACTCGCATATAAATTATACATTTCCCTCAACTCTGCATTCCAAATCTCAAATGATTTATGGGAAAAACTAAGTCCACGCTATAGATGTATTTCATTTGCATTTAAGATACTCTTGATTTGCAATAAATGACATCAAACCATCTTAAAATGAATTATGAAAAATTCATAAGATAAATCTCACATCTCAGATTTTTGACAGTTTATCAAAACTCCCAAACATTTTCCTCACCTATATAACTTTTTCAAAATTAATGAAAATTATGTCAATATGCTTTTTTTTAAATTACTGATTTTATATCATTATATTGTAGTGTTATGGCACAGTCCAATTTTATAACACACAATTATCAAACTGATAGATAATGACTTAAGTTACTTGTTATTTGTTTATGCAAAAATACTGTATGACTGATGTGCCTACTAAGCCATTGAATATTACGCACTTGTAAACAAATGAATAAAAATCAACCTAGGCCTTGATATACTTCACATTTGCATAAAACTAAATCATATAAGAAACCATGGCCTTCATAGACTTAATGTAATTTTATCACATTGTGTAAATCAGCAATTGGTTTTACATCATGATCATTTATTTTTGCCTACTTGAGTATTTGGTTGATTTTAATCTTCATTTCCACTAGAAGTGGTTGCATTGTTATAGTCTCCAACTTTTTTGTGGATGGTGTTCGGAGGTCGCGTCTGTAACAAATGGCTGGTGGTATTATTCTGCATTTTAATGCCTTGTTTGAGTATTGTTATTTTCAGAAAAGCAGGTTTTTGTTAAAGTGTTGAGTGTGAAAATCGTAGGCTGGCGTATCTTAGAGGCAACGCCCTTTGGAGCATTGCAAAACCTTACAACCGTAATAGTAAGAAATCATATTGTTTAATTTCAGAGCAAAGATGAAGCTGTTCACCTCTCATAACAACATGACAAATTATGCAACAGTTTGGTGCTCCAAGACCAACCTAAAACAAAGGCGAGGTAGAGCAGGAAGAGTCAGGCCTGGCTTCTGCTTCCATTTATGTAGTCGCGCAAGATATGAAAGGTATGTACCCAATCCCTTTGTTCATAACTTATGTAGTCTAGTAAGATTTGAAAAATATTAACCAAATCCCTCGTTGTACAAACTTGTGTTGTCACGCAAGATTTGAAAAATATTTACCAAATCCCTTTGTACAAACTTGTGTAGTCTAGCAAGATTTGAAAAATATTTACCAAATCCCTTTGTACATAACTTATGTTGTCGCAGAAATATTGTTGTAATTGTTCTGGTTTCAAAACTTTAAATTAATGGGACTTTAATTTATTATCCATTTTGTATGTTGGACACCATCAGAAATGCACATTCCCTTTGAAAAGATTGTTTCATAAATAAATTAAAAGTAAGATTGCCATGACTCTGATTAATCTTTATTTCCTATTTTATGTGTTTTTTGCTCTCATTATGCTCTATATTAAAGGTTTTTTTAATGAGGTATGACGAATAACCTTGGGTTTTTGCTATGTAAGGACTTGAAATGATCTATGGCAATTGCTAGATAGTATCTGACCTCATGTATAATTTATTGACAAAGATACATTTGTAATTGCATGTATGTTCAATCAGGTTAAGGCGAACCACAGAGGCATGCACCATATAAAATTTATTGTTTTGTCTATACGTATAATCTTTTACCATCACATTGAATTGAAAATGTCATAGAGCCTTCTCTGTATTATGGAATAAGGCACTCTTTGACACAATCACTAGATGTGGAGAGGGAATATTACAGAAATGTTTCATGTAACCCAACAGGGAGATTGTCTGTAAAGTATTTCCCAAACAATAGGCCAACATTAGAAATAAGAAATGACAGGCCCAAATGCTGCATTGCCTATCAACAACTATTGTAGTATTTCTCCTTTGATTTATCCCATAAAATTGTACCTCTCTTCAATTGCAATGATCCCATATATAGAAATGGCAAGTTTGTATTTATGCGTAGTTACTTGAAGTTTCCCCATACTTTCAGACTTGAAGATTACACAACCCCAGAGATATTCCGTACCCCACTGCATGAAATAGCGCTCACAATTAAACTACTGCGCCTAGGACCAATTGGGGAGTTCCTTGCTAAAGCAGTGGAGCCGCCACCTATTGATGCTGTCATAGAAGCAGAGGCACTGCTAAGAGGTAGATTTAAACTTCTAATTGTCTAATCCAAACACATAACAATTGAGACTGGCTGGAAGTGTTCAGATTAGCAGGTTTTCACATTTCAAGGTTTTTAACATGGTAATCTATGGACAACTAAGAATGGCATCAAAAGAGCATTCACATTGAGAGCTGTTCAGATGAGAGAGGTGTTCTGATATATGGGTTTCACTGTATACTTATTTATACCACTCTAAGTCCAATTACAGTTGTATTACATAGGTCTATAACAACGATATACAGTGGAGAGTGGTATATCGCCATCGTATACAACTCCTCCGTATACACTCCAGCGTATACCACTGTAGAAGTGCATTCTGGGAACTAATAAATAAAAAAATCATGAAAATTTTCATGATTTCCTAGAATCAAGTGACGTCATAAATGGTGCCGGCATGATTTGCTAGAATCAAGCCATGTCATAAATGGTTCGAGATCAACATGGGATATTTTTTATTGTCGATTGTGTTCGAATCAACTGTAATTGAACTTAGAGTGGCATAATAAGATTATATAATGGTTCATTCTGTATATCGTGCATTTTATACTCTCGTGAGAATATAATATATTCACTAGTTCGGTACGCTCACTTGTGAATATATCATATACTCACTCGAGTATAAACACAATATACAGAAAGAACCATTATATAACCTCATAATATACTTATGTATACTTATCTTACTATCGCACCAATTGAGCCATTCATCATTGAAAGATCGTTATGTTACCATCAAAAAGTGACATATTGTTAGGGTTATTGTTATTATCCCAACGAACGAAGTTCGGTAGGGATATAGTAAAGCCCTCCATCCGTCCGTCAGTCTGTCAGACCGTTCAAGATGGCCGCCGCTATAAAAATGACGGGACTTTTTCGCAAAAATCATAAATTTTTCATTCTTAACCAAAGTAATTAATATTATTGTTTGAAATTTTGGTAGTATATTCGCAACATCTATCTTTTTCACATGTATTCTGTGTTTTTCATCCTGACCCCCAGGGGCCGTGTATGGGGGGTCAGGAAAACAGAAAGTTTTGCTAATTTTTAGATCTTTCTGAAGTATAGCTTTATTATACTCAAATGAAAGGCAATTAAGAGTAGATTGCAAATATTGTATCTTTTTTCTGATTCGAGCCTCGTAAAATTCAAAATGGCCATCTAATGTACGATTTCGCAATAATTTTTCGATCCCTTCAAAGTATGGCTATATTATACTCAAATTGAAGGAATTTTGAGTAGATCACAATTATGGTATTATTTTTCAGATTTGTACCTCAGAAAATTCAAAATGGCTGCTTTGCAGGAATTTGCAATTCTAAAATCTAAATTTTTCAATTTTCGTCAAAGTAATGAGTATAATTGATTTGAATTCGGTAATTGATATGTTGTTCGTTGGGATTTGCTACTCCGCGGAGTTGCCTTTCTAGTTGTTTTTGTGATGGTGGTTGGCGATTAGCAGTTGGCCATTGGCGGAATGTTATGGCATCCAGCGATGAGGAACGTAATTGATTAATCTAATGGGAAGTTGTGAATTGATAGTCTCAAATGAATACCCTGTTTGTTGCTATAACAATTCTCATTCACATATTTTATTCTGCCCATGAAAAGTTTTTACCAGTTAGTTGTTCAAACTCTCTGTTTCGATCCTTAAAATGACTAGCAAGTTTCTTCACCAGTTCTGGGTGAATTTCTGGATGAACCTGGTGTTTATCAGGACGTAACATACAGCCATTATATTTCCCAATAAATTTTCTATTCCAGTATTCTGGTTTGACACAGAATTGTTTTGAAGCCTCATCAAAATATAACATGTTTTCATTCACTACTTTTGGGAGCTTTAAAAAAGTTTCAAATTTTTTGATAACACTTATAGGGTCTGTCTTCAGCTCATCAGTAGACACCACTAGTATTTGTTCTTTGGGGAATACCTCTAAGTATCGTTTGAAATAAGTTGCATAGTGCCCCCTGTAGATATAAGAACAGCTTTCAGTATTCAGTATGCCATTTTCATGTAAGATACATCCCTCGTATGTCAAATTTTTCTGGAATACTAAGGTTTTTGTCAAATGGTGTGACATTGTTCTGCGTACAGGATCACATGCTATAATGGCTAGCTTAACATCTTTGTTTGCATTATAAATATCTCTAGGGTTTGCTCTATCAAAGTAGCCAGGTGTTTTTTCATAACCAATCTGAGTGGGATCCGTAAGCGGCATTTGACTGATATAGTAATCCAGTCCTTTCTTATATTCTGACATCCTATCAAAAAAGTGTATTTCAGTACCTGGAGTTCTCACTAAGTTTGGATGAATCTCTAAGAAATATGACAAGGCATATGTTCCGCATTTATGTATTCCTATGATAATCAAACCAGGAAATTTTTTTGTTTTTGGAAGGTACGTCTCAGTGGCATTATTCCAAGTCTCGGATTCTATCTCATAAAGTTCAGTCTCCTTATCATAGGTGTCTTCATTGTGAATCTCATCTAGATCCGTACCTTGTTTACTTTCTACTGTTTCTAACAAGTTATCTAACATTGAAACTAGAATTGTTGTATTCGTCACATCATTATCATCATTTACTGATTTGATCTCATCTATTGCTTTCTGATTAGTTTCACCAGATTCCTCTTGTGTTTCACGTTCATCATTGTCTTGTTGAAAACCAGCTGTGTCAGGGGATTTATTGTTTCTGGGGTCAAACTTAGTATCTGAGTCTTTTGAGTTTCCAGCATCTGGTTCAGCCTGTGCATTTCCTGGCAATGTTTTCATATTGTTATCATTTTCATTGTTATCATATGGTATATCCTTTGTTTCTGAGTTCTGTTTTCTATCTCTTATATGTTCAAGTGTGTTGAACAGTACATCTTCATCTTCTTGAGTTTCACTTGCATCAGCTTCATCATTGTCATCTTGTCTTTTATCTATTTGACCAAAATCTGATGTGAAAAGTGGCCATTGTACTTGATCTATTGAAGCTTTGTTGATGTGCCTTAGTGGGGCAAGGCTGTATGTAATACAAAAAAGAAGCAAAATTCCACCACTGACTATGATAAATGTTGGTGTTCTTCGTCCTACCATGGCTACTTTGACCCCAGTTTAATTTATTAAGAATAGGTTATTCATATCATTTGTTTTAGGTTTGATGATAATCAATATTGTTGTACAAAGGTAACATAAAAGGTCATTCAGTCTACTTGTAATCATGTATTTTAATTAATTTAATACATTATAAAGGTTACCACATTAATAATTTTTAAAGCTGCACATCGCTCTAAAACACAATATTTCGACATAGATTATTTTTATATTTTCATACAGCCAGTAAGATTACTAAGCTCTAGTGTAAAGTTGACATGATTAAAAACTGTTTTTCTGCGTAATATCAAAGCGTAATTTTTAGTTAAAGAAACAAAAATAAATCTCCGGGTGGGGTTCGAATCACTGCCGTCTGTGTCCACGACTGGCACTCACTAAATTACTCAGGAGTAATTTAGCTCTATAATATTGAATGTTCTAATTCAGTAATGACGTCACGTTCTAAATTTGAAACCTCCCAAAAATAATATTGTCGGCGACAATCGAAGCAATTCAAAGAACAATCCTCATAATGACACATTTATCGTGAGTATTTGTACACAAGATTTGCCCCATTTGTTCACCAATGTATATTCTTTCATTAAAGCTCAAAATCTTACAGTTGGCCCTGGAACAACCCAAGTTTGCGTTCTAGAGCGATGTGCAAGTTTATAAACTAAAGGGAAGTTGTGAATTGAAAGACTCAAATGAATACTTATTTGTTATAACAATACTTATTTTAATCCAAAATTTCCCCAATCTCATTCACATATTTCAATCCACCCATGAAAAGTTTTTGCCAGTCATTTGTACAAACTCTCTATTTTGATCCCTAAAGTGATTAGTTAGTTTCTTAATCAGTTCTGGGTGAATTTCTGGATGAACCTGGTGTTTGTCAGGACGTAACATACAGCCATTATATTTCCCCATATATTTTGTACTCCAGTACTGTGGTTTGACACAGAATTGTTTTGTAGTCTCATCTAAATATAACATGTTGTCATTCACTACTTTTGGGAGGTTTAAAAAAATTTCAAACTTTTTGATAACACTAATAGGATCTGTCTTCAGCTCATCAGTAGATACCACTAGTATTTGTTCTCTAGGAAATACCTCCAAGTACCGTTTGAAATAAGTTGCGTAGTGTCCCCTGTAGATGTAAGGACAGCCTTCTGTGTTTAGTGTGCCATTTTCATGTAAGATACATCCCTCGTATGTTACATTTTTCTTGAATACTAAGGTCTTTAGCAAGTGGTTTGACATTGTTCTACGTACAGGATCACATACTATGATGGCTAGCTTTACATCTTTGTTTGCATTATAAATATCTCTAGGGTTTGCTCCATCAAAGTAGCCAGGCGTTTTTTCATAACCAATCTGAGTGGGATCCGTTAAAGGCATTTGACTGATATAGTAATCCAGTCCTTTTTTATATTCCATTACCCAGTCAAAAAAGTGGATTTCTTGACCCTGGGTTCGTACTAAGTTTGGATGAATCTGTAAGAAAAATGACAAGGCAAATGTTCCGCATTTATGTATTCCTATGATAATCAAACCAGGAAATTTCTTTGTTTTTGGAAGGTACGTCTCATTGGCATTATTCCCAGTCTTTTTCTCAATGCTCTGCTCAGATTCTATCACATAATGTTCAGTCTCCTTATCATAGGTATCTTCATTGTCATTCTCATCTAGACCCGTACCTTGTTCACTTTTTACTGTTTCTAACAAGTTATCTTGCATTGAAACCAGAGTTGTTTTTTTGGTCTCATCATTATCATCATTTACTGATTTGTTTTCATCTATTGCTTTATGATTAGTCTCACCAGATTCCTCTTGTGTTTCACGTGCAATATTGTCTTTTTGAAAACCATTTGTGCCTGGTGGTTTAATGTTACTGAGGTCAATCTTAGTTTCAGTGTCATCTGACCCAGTCTGTGCATTTCCTAATGATGTTTTCATATTGTTATCATTTTCATTGTTACCATATGTTATATCCTTTGTCTCTGAGTTCTGTTTTCTATCTCTTATATGTTCAAGTGTGTTGAACAGAACATCTTCTTCTTGAGTTTCACTTGCATCTGCTTCATCATTGTCATCTTGTCTTTTATCTGATGTGAAAAGTGGATCTTGTACTTCATCTAATGAAGCTTTGTTGACGTGCCTCAGTGGAGCAAGGTTGTATGTAATGCAAAGAAGAAGTAAAGCACCCCCACCGATTATGAATGATGTCGGTGTTTTACGTCGTACCATGGCTGCTTTGACCCCAGTTTAACTTGTTGGAGGTTGTTCATGTGATTTATTTTAGTTTTGAGAAAAATCAATATTGTTATCGAGGGCGATCAACAAATAAAGCATAAATCTCATGAAATAATTGAAGTTAGAACACCAGATTTGGTACATCGTATTATTATTTTGAATTTGATAATTGTTTTTTTCCACTTAATCTTAATTTTCTGAGTTTTACTGGATGTGAAAATAAGAAAATGCTAGTAATATTTTTGAGAGTAAATGTAAGTGATTGCTTAGGGGAGGTATCAAAAGATCTCATGAGCTCTACTGCTTTCAAAAATCTAGTTTTTTCTTTTAGTGTAGGAAGGATCATAATCCGTAGTTAATTGGTCTTACATTTCAGGAATATGTTACCTCCAGAAGTAAAATTGAATGAGTTATGTTTTTAAACAGACAGTAAACTTTTGATGCCTCCCCTTATCAAAACATCTTTAAAGATTTTTTTGAATGGTGCTGTTATGATAAATTACGTATGATGAGCTGTTTCAAAAGGTCAAACCAAACTCATTAATAATAAATATGTCTGCAATTCTTTTGTAATAATGATATAGTTTACAAATGGCATTACATTAATAGTTTAACCCTTATCCTCCTGATTTAAAATGGTGGAAAATTTCAGTTTTACGCCTATCTGAAGGTTTAAAATCAAGAAAATAAATATTTTTGAAAAGTTCTTTATTTTTTACATTTACTGAGAGGACCATCACAAACTTTCATTTCACCTTATATCTTCACTATCTGCATCATACGGGGTACTTCAACTGCCCAAAATATGCTAATGATTCTTCTAAATCACCATTTTTATGTCCCCACCACATAGTGTGGGGCCATATTGTCGGCCTAGGCGCGTCTGTCTGTCCGTCTGTCCGTATGTCCGTCTGTCCGTCCGTCCGTACGTACGAACGTCCGGCAGTTTTCTCCAAAACCGCTACAGATATCACCTAGTACCTTCAAATTTTCAGGGATAACTTATGAGTGCATCTAGATGTGGATGAAAAAAATTTAACTCGATACCTACTTCCTGTCGGCCATTTTGAAGTCAAATGCTAAAATCCTTGTCTGCAAGCTTCAAGAAAAACGGCTTCACAGTTGCTTTTAAAACTTTAACATCTTGTTCAGCTCACTTCATTCTAGATCTGATTAGGTTTTGGACCTGTTAGCTCAGTCATGTCAGCCATTTTGAATGTTTTAAGAAAGGTTAGCGCACAATAATACTTTGTATCATATTGAATGGTGTTTTTCAGTTTTCATACTTTTAATATTTAGTAGCTTTATAAATAATTTCAGATGTACTTTGTTGTAAAAGCCTATGTTATTGTTAACAGTAGTTATATTTGATAATTTTATAAAAAGAAATCCGCAAAAACTCATAATCACTTTTTTATTGTCGGCCATTTTGGATTTTTCCGTCCTAAAATCTTGTCTGTAAAGCCTTGTCTACGCATTTTCAGGTGAACCGTTTGGTAGATCAATTTCAAATTTTCAGGGATGGTTCTTAGTATTAAAATCTAGATCTGACTAGTTTTTGGGCATTCTGGGTAAATGTCAAGGCAGCCATTTTGGATTTTCCGTCCTAAAAATCTTGTCTGTAAAGTCTTGTCTACGCATTTCCAGGTGAACCGTTCGGTAGATCAATTTCAAATTTTTAGGGATGATTCTTAGTATGAAAATCTAGATCTGATTAGTTTTTTGGCATTCTGGATAAATGTCAAGGCAGCCATTTTGGATTTTCTGTCTTAAAATCATGCCTGTAAAGTCTTGTCTACGCGTTTTTAGGTGAACCGTTTGGTAGATCAATTTCATAGTTTCAGGGATGATTCTTAGTATGAAAATCTAGATCTGATTAGTTTTTGGGCATTCTGGGTAAATGTCAAGGCAGCCATTTTGGATTTTCTGTCCTAAAATCTTGTCTGATAAGTTTTGTCTACGCATTTCCAGGTGAACCGTTTGGTAGATCAATTTCAAATTTTCAGGGATGATTCTTAGTATGAAAATCTAGAAGCGATTAGTTTTTTGGCATTCTGGATAAATGTCAAGGCAGCCATTTTGGATTTTCCGTCCTAAAATCTTGTTTGTAAAGTCTTCTTTATATGTTTTCTGGTTATCTGTGTGAGGGATCAATTTCAAATTTTCAGGGGTGGTTCTTAGTATGAAAATCTAGAACTGACTAATTTTTTGGCATTCTGGGTAAATTCTATGGTGGCCATTTTGGATATTCTGTCCTCAAATTGTGTCGGTAAAGTCTTGTCTACTCATTTTTAGGATAACCATTTGACGGGATCACCCATAGGTGGGGACATTTTGTACACATTTGTGTTCTTGTCTAATATTTGTTGTATTGTGGTCATAAAACATCTTCATTTGCAATATTAAATATTTTTTTTTTTAGATTACTGTATAACATGTATTAAATCCGGGTGCTTTATTTTCCGAATTGGATTAAAATTGTTATTGCCGAATAAAAGTTTGCTGACCTGACACCCCTAATGTAAAGCCAAATAAAATATTGCTAAGCTGACACCTCTAATATAATTTTGATTTACAACTGAATTTTAATCACCTTCATTTTACTGACTCAGAAAACCTGACATCCTGACATTACGAGTGACAATTTGAGTGATTACCCGCATTCGATAGACTCAGGACAATTAATAACAGGATTAAAACTTTTAATATCGGGATTTAAAACTTTTAATACTGGGATTTCCAAAGCACTTGGATACAATTAGATCTTCTGACATTTTAACTTTTTAACATGACTTTTTATTGTAATTTTATGCTGGGGAATAAAGCTTCGATTTTATCGTATTTTATTTATGATTTTTGTTAAAGTATAGTAAGCTGATACTCGTTAGAAAATTACCCTATTACAGTAAGTTGACACACGTTAGACAACTACCATATTATCGCCCACAAAGATCGATCTTCAATTACTTAATTATATTTCCAAATTTTATGTTGCCGTTTCTGTTTTACATTCGGCAATCAGCAACTTCATATCCACGGCAATATTTTTGCCATTATTGGTATCACAAAATAATGAGTTTAACACTTTGTTTTCCGATTCTACATAGGAGGGTAGGCGACCAAGCTTCAAAGCACATCTGGGAGGATAAGGGTTCAAATATATTTCTAGATATCAGAGTACGACGTCTTCTGTGTTTCACGTTACAAAAGCCGCTAGCGCCTTTCGACCATCTCTATTGCCACTTTGGAGAAGCTGGTGAATTTGACGCGTCATCGTGTGAATGACGCGATAGCGCTAAAATATATCCATAGCGTTTTGGAAGATCGCTTGCCATTTCATAAATACTGACCCTTTTATCATCTTTATACGAGCATGTTCCTGAAGATGTCCCCTATCAAATGGTACAAGAAATTTGATGACAATTAAAATATCTACGCTACAATCACTGTGTACAAATGAACTTTTCATTTTCTAAAAGGTTTGTTTACCTTGGCAACCTGTACTTTTCACGCTTCTATCTTTGCTTTTATTCCGTTTTGCATCCGGTTTTTTGATAAATAAGAATCATTAGATCAATATCTAACAAAAGAATCATCAATGGGAATTCTAGGTGAAGTATATCTCTTCATCTAGGCCGAAACATATTTTTTGGGGGGCCCAGAAATATATTTTCTGATTTTTACGTTATATTTTCCCGGGAACCATTGCTCCTTTAGACGTAAGTAAATCGTATTCGACTAACTATTCCAATGTACAGATGTAAGAAAGTTGGACAATATGCTATGTAAGGCCATAAGAAGTAGATTCTTTGTTTTACATGCTGGAAAAATCCAAAGCATGCAAGGTTACAAGGAAAACAAACACAAACTCAAGAAAAAACACAAGCTTGTTTGCTGAGAAATATATACATTTTATGGGCATAAAGAGGGATGACATACCAATTTGCAGTGATTACAAACACATATCTATACATTTTATACAATATATTTAAACATAGCTATTATTCAATGGGAGAAATAATGCATTTTCAACAGTGGCGGAGGAACAATATACGCCAAATATTCGTCAATCGCGTTCTATTTACGAATTTGAGAGAAAAACAGTTTTTTTACTACTTGATGAATACCTTTGTAATTTTTTCTGGAAAGGTTTTGGCACCCCCAAGTCACGTTTACCTTGATTTGACCTTTGTGGAGGGTGGAAGGGGGGTTATTTGGTCTTGCGAATTATTGTTATAAAAAGGTTGCAGACATTAGGGTTAATTGTCATTGATCACGAATATGTTTCTTTGAAACGATCAATCACACTGCGTTTCTTTACTCTGTATCGTCGTATTGCACGATTCACGATGGAATCAGACAATAATATGTATCTAAATTCATTTATTCAGAAATGGTAAAAAAATCTCTCATTGTTATCTGGAAATTTGTTGTCTATATTGTTCGAGAAAAAATAACATTTACACATTAGAAAAGTGAGAATGAGTTGTGTCGAGATTTAAAAGACCGGCTTTCCATAGTGATTTTATGTGATGAAAAACATTCGAACATTTTAAATTAGAAAGGTATTGCCTTAAAGTGACGTTTTACGAGCATAAAATAGGCGTTTTGATATAGAAGATTTGACACAGTTGTTTCATTTGGCGTTGTGTTGAATTTACACCTTCCTACGCCATGAACGCTCCTGTTTCTCCCTAATATAAGTAATAGTAATTAACAACAATTTTTTTTATATTTGTTTAAATTACGTTCAATTCTTAGAATAATGACTCCAAAAATATGGGGTCACCGAGCTAATTTTTTTTCTACAGCCAAATCAAAATCATATCCCAAAACACCAAAAATCACATGCCCTTTCTATTGTGTATTGTAGGTAGTCTAAATGATGGCCCAAAAGCGCTAGTTGAAAGTACTTATACATGTAGTTATGACATAGGCCTAGGGATAAATTTGGTACCGTTGGAAAGCTCATAGTGCCTAGTTTTGAGATTCACTTGTTAAAAATTATGAAAAGTGGACCTCAAGTGCCTAAATGCCCATGTCAATAGTAACCAGAAAATAATGACCAGAAAGTGTTTTTTACACATAACTC